CAGAATATATATCGGCGATTCAAAACACGCAAAGACTGGGCGCCGTTGCGTCCGACCAGGATAGCTGGTGCTTGGGAGAGACAGCAGGTGGTTCGAGAAACGAAAGAGCGCTCGATCAGAGAGACGCCGATACGTTCGCAGTCTTTGCGTGCAACGAATCGCCTATATGTGCAAAGTTTGATGCTCAGACTGAACATGAGAATTTGCTCGCAATTGTAACCAAGTCTTTTGTATCTAATTGATATGCGAGAATTACTCGCAGCATCTCATTGCCTTCCACTTGCCAAGTTTTCTTCTCGTTTTACTCGGTTTAACTAACATTAAGTGCTATCAAAAATAGTCTGTTCTTCCATAGTGTTCCGGTGCGGCCGCCTCGCAAACCCCGCCTACGGCGTCTGCAGGCTTTGCGCCGTCAAAGGCCGAAGGTCGAAGCGCTGTGCAGAGCGGACGCAAAAAAAGACATCGCAGTCAATACAGACCCTAGATTTGATGCCATATCATTTTCTTCATTGAGATGATTTATTGATTTTGAAAACCATGAAACATTTTATATAAGGCTTCATTGAACGTGACTGGCTATTCGTATGCACTTTTGGCCACCCAAACGTCGCAGAGCCCCGAACGGCTGAAATATAAGAATGCTTATGATAGCATGATCACCTATAGTATCAAATAGTGGCATGCATAAGCAACAAAACCAAGCTCGAGATGCAAAAAATACGAATGCGACGCGAACAACCGTAGCGCTTGTCTTTTTCCGCATTCCCTACAATTTCTTCCCGAGTTGGTACGTTTTCATTGCAAGACCGTTTTTCATCCTTGGTTCAAGTACTACAAAACCGCGTGCTTTACTGTGGGGGTGTATGTCAAGCGGCGCGATTTTTATTGCCAGATGGATACCAAATAGCACATAATAAGTGTTTTATAACTTTCTAAATTTATTCAGATTTTAGAAGGAGATATATTAGATAGTTGCATGGGTTGTTCAACCTTAATATCTTGGAATCGATTTAAAACAACAATTTTGAAGGTCAAAAACCCATGAAAATGCGGTTAAGAACGATTTCGTAAATATTTCGGTCCGTTTCCCAGCAAAAACTACCAAACTCGGCAAGGGTAACCTCAGACAGAATTAAGCTAATGCACTTTATCTGGTACTTTTTGAGACTCGCATAGCACCAAACTGAGGTTTTAAGTTGGTGACAGCCAGAGAAATCGTGCCTCTTGACCGTCTCCCTTACTGTGGATTTTGTAATTCTGGAAATCAATAAGTTTTCCAGTTTGTCCAAATCACAATCTGCCTGAAATTGGCATGGTGGGAGTACGCGCCGTTAGGTTTTGCATCACGCGTAGCGCAAATCACTGGCGCTGTGAGCGCGCAAAATTCATGCCAACGGTTCGGCCTGATCGCGATTGGAACAGACCGTTACATTTACAAGAAAATCGAATTTTATTGGGGTGGTGCAAAAATAACGTCCGTTTTGAAAAGCTTTGCTTTGAAAAGTTGAACTTTGTTCAGTCCTCATATTTTGAATATAGTCAAGATCATTAGAAGCAGCAAGCCTTTCGTAACTTAGCGCACATCCACTCTTACTAATAGTGCAAAGGGAAGAAAACCATGCGTCAAGAAACCGAAAGGTTCTCTTGTAAAGACCTCGTTTTCGAAACTTTACAACTCTTTGTTTTGTTCCTATAGCTGATAATCAGCTCATTTTGTAGCAAGCACGTAGTGTATGTACAGAAAACACCTCAACAAAAGAGTTCTGCGAAAAGAATAGAAAAAATTCCAAAATTGTCCACCTTTTGAGCCTGTTTGTGGTAGGCTTGGAGGTCCCAAATTATGAAAATCTAGAATTCCATGCGCTATATAGCTGAGTTTCTCTGCAAAAATTTTAGGCAAGATGTCCTAATCTTAAGCCGACACATATGAGCGAAGTTTTGGCGATTGCCTTATTCATGGGAATCTTTTGACCCGTAGAATGCCGGGAGCAAGATTTTATCTTAGAGGCGTCGATTTCTCAGTCCAGATATTTTCGAAAATTTGCTCAAACATGCAATGGGTAAACAATATTCATCCCCTACAGATGCTATGTTTTCAAAAAAATTCGTTCATTTACGCCTGAATTGTGGCTAAGGAAGTTAAAGCAGCGAAATTTCGATTTGGGTGGCTGTGCGAGATGCTTGTGAATTTTCACAGATGAGATAGAAGTTCAATTTAACCACTGCTGCAAAGTACATGAAGAATGCTTTCCAGTATTTTGAAGGAAAAAAGTTGTTCGGAAAGTAGGCCTTGAAAAACGGGCATTAGTTTTGCACCAACCTAATACTTTTGGTGCAAAATGTTGGTTACTGTGGCTCAAGATTTCTCCCGTTGACAAGCATCAACGTAGAACTTCAGAAAAAAAACCCCTGCTCTTCAGAGTCATTCTATGGCCTCGGACAGAGTTCACGCGATTTGACCGTCGCGATTCAATCGCTACAGACAAGTGTTAAGAGTTCATTGCATGCCGATCTTCTTGCATCTCGGTTGTGATAGTTAGTCTCGATTAGTCGTGTTGGAAAACTGTCACAACCGGGATGCAAGAAGATCGGCATGCAATGAGCTCGTAACACTTGTCTGTAGCGATTGAATCGCGACGATCAAATTGCGTGAACTCCGTCCGAGGCTTCTAGCAACGCTACTTAGTTTAATTATTAAGTTGTCCCAAAAGTACACTCCATTTCTAATAAAATGAGCTGTTCTTGTTTTCCTAATAGATTTAAGGTACCACGCAATCGACCGAAGCAAGCTCTACAAAAAGATCACCAAAGATCCACTTAACTCGTAATCCGGGTAAAATTTGGAGCCAAAAATCAAAATTTTTCAGCTACCCTAAAAATCGAATCTCCTTTCAGAAAATTCCTACGGACTTCCAACTTGACCGTTATGTACTAGACACATAGTAGTACCCAAAAATGTATTTGCCGCATTTCTTCAGGGGCTCAAAATTGAGAAAAAAAAAGATGGGTAGTAGACACATAGTAGTACCCAAAAATGTATTTGCCGGATTTCTTCCGGGGCTCAAAATTGAGAAAAAAAAAAGATGGTCCGAAAATGCCAAAATGTGACTTTTTTCGTTTTTTTTTTTTGATGAAAAACTTGGCATTTCTCGATTATAAGCACGTAAAGGTGCAAGGTTTTGAAATTATACTTAGTAAGGCTTATAGTATATAACTTATGGGAGGGGCTGGGGGCGGAGTTTGCCGTTCTTGTACAATTTCTGTTTCTCGCCTTCTGTGCTCGGAAAAAATTCATAAAGGCAAGGTAAAGGCATATTGAGTATTACTATGTGCCTACTGTATAATGACCAAGTTGGAGATCTATAGGATTCTTTCTCGCAGAAATCCAATTTCAAATTACAAATTTTTTTTTTGATTTTGGCTTCGAACTTTCCATGGAATACGATTTAGGCGGATCCTTGGTGGATATTCTGTAGAGCTTGATCTGCTCTATCGAATGTTACCCTAAGTTTACTGGATAAACAAAGATAGCTTCAATCTTTTGAAAAAGGAGTTTACTTTTGAGACAACCTAATAGTTTGTTTGGCATGAAACTTCAGTATATGAGAAACTTGAAGATAGTTCGAAAGATGAGTGGCAATGGTCCCTTTCCAGCACAACTAAAGTCCTTCCAGAAACTCACTCATAACCATACGCCTTGCTCATTGTAGAAGAAATTCTTGCACTTATTAGTAGTGACTATGATCATGGATGCTACTGTAGGAGGTCCTAAAAAAATGTTGTTTTCATGCTAGAAACAAGTGTTCACTAATCTAGTGCATGCTGGTCAAGGAGTCGTAAAACTCCGTGGGCCTTGTGCAGGGACAGATAAACCACAAATGACTCGGCTAATTTGTTTACAAGTTTACATTTCTTTTTATGGGTTAGGGATTTAGTAAGCATGATTGGGAAGAGTCCGCAATCTATTTCCCTGTAAGTAAAACAATACTCACTTTATTCTGTAATAGAATAGCATAGTTTACCATAGTGAAATTTGTTGTTGTTAGTGGCTCAGCAGCGGACAGAATATAGAGTTAGTAGTTCCTTGTCCTTGTAAATATATCGTGACGCTACTGTGTGGTACTATTAAGCCTTGTACTTTCAAAATTACTATCTCTTTTATATGTGAGATTCGACTTGCCGCAATACAAATGTAGATGTAAATAAACACTGAAAGGGCATTCGAGTGCAACAATGATATAAACTTTAACGCATTTTCACTTCCGAGTAGCACAGTGTGACTGTTGTGCAACGAAAACTTTCAAAAGCTTCAAGTAGCTAATGGATGTCTGTTACGATAAGAAACTCCAGAGGGAGCATGATAATGAAGCCTAATCTTAGTGAAAGAAAAGAAAGAGATCCAAGTCTATCTAGCGCTCAAATTCAAGTTGCTTCCTGGTGCAGGTGCTGCTCATAGCTGATTTCCACTACAGCTTTCTTTGCCAACACTAATTGTTCTAGAATAGCATTGCTTGGCCATTTTTGGTATTACTTTTAGCCCTCACTCTTTTAGCATCGGAGCGCAGAATCTTTAGATGCGAAACTTCGAAGGCAGCGAGTCGTTCCTTCGATAATCTTCTTCGTTTAAGGCCAGACCAGATTTCGAAATGCCAAATTTTTCTAATGTCTGTTCACTTTCTCGTGTGAGGAGAGATAGGGAAAGTGAAGAGAAGTTAGAGAAATTTGGGCGCTTTTGAGAGCGAAGTCTGGCCGGGGCCTAAAAGACGTTGACAGCTTAAAATTGAGCAAGTTTGCAGTCACGTAGTATATTGGCGGTGACTTATCCTGTCTAATTGCTTGAAATACCAATAAAAAGCAAGCGCAGGGTTTCATTTTTCCTGTTTGTTATGATTGCAACAGTTTTCTTTCATGTTGTTCCAGTCAGTCGCTGCTCACATTATTTTATGAGAAAAGTTTGATTAGACTCAATCCGATTTAAATCTTCACCTTTATTTTTTTAGCCTCGTGTGGGTCCGACGTCGAAGACGACATCGAAGCGGACGAAGACTCGAATTCGTAAATGCGCAAGCGCACCCATCAACAAGAAAAACAAGAAGAAAGTCAGCGTCTCAGATCAACCGCTTCCAAAACCAATGGCATGTTTTTTCATTTACTACTCTTCATCACCATTTTATATAACCTCTCATCAAAGGACGATATGCAGGGACTTGCGAACTTTGCTTCGTTTTGAAAGGTTAAACGTGGCCACAGAAAAAGCGTGTAAGGAGAGTATAGTAATTTTGAGGGAAGAGATAGGGACGCGGATAACGAACTTTGCTATCGGCTTTTCTGAAAGGTAGAGTTGTTGGCCGATAGAACCATCGACTAAAGTGACCGATCTACAATGCTGCTGCGTTTTCTGGGTGAAACCGTCCTCAAAAAAGCTTTTTCGGCAAAAACATGTGGGTCAACCCTTGAGTATGAATATCCCTGCTCTTTCATCTAAACATTTCTCAAACCACTCTTTCGGCTCCTTTCTGCCCTTTTCAGTTAGCTCTTTTCGTTTAGCACGCTTTTTGCAGGTTCTTAAGTGGACTATCAATTCCGGTTTTTTATTCTCGACTTGTATAAGTAAAAAAAATTTGAACAGTGAGGAGGTTAATTCGTGACCGTTCTTTACGTTATCAGCAATATCCCGTTCTGCTGGCTTCGAATTATGTGGTCAATAATATCCCGTACAAATATGCCAGATGTAACGCGCATTTTCTGCTGACAAGTTATTTTTTTTTATGGTTCAATACAGCACAGAAGGTGCATGCGTTTTTTAGCGGATTCAGATTGTGCGTTGTAGATAGAGTAGGGGTAGTCGAAGTCAAATATCTAGTTATCTACGCCAAGCGCTGTATCAGCATTGTTTTAGTGAATACTAACCTATGGATCCATTAGAAGGAGTGCAGTATCGTATGTGCATTCTCACTGATTAAATATTTTTAGGCCCCACAGCCTCCTCCTTCCCATCCTTCTCATTCTGAACTTGCTGCAGCAATCGATCTCGGTCTGTCGAAGGGGTTACGAGGAGGATTTATTGAGTTCCTGCGCTCAAACACTGACGAAAGCATCAAGAAGTCTTTGTAAGTCACTAAGCTAATATTGTAGTATTGCATTGCTTTTTGGGGTCACATTTGCAAATATAGCGATGAAGTGAAGAAGGAGTTAGCTAACAAGCAGTCTTTCCTCAAATCCGCAACCACTGTCGTGCGATACCTTCAAGCCGCTAGACTACTGGTAAGTTATCTCGAATGATCCCTACCGCTGATTTCAATCCTTGCTTATAGTACAATCGGTTGGATTGGCGAAAGAAGCGAAAATACGAGCAAGATGCACGTTATAGAATAAGAATGGAACACATCGCGAAGATTCGAGAAGAGAAAGGTAGGTACTTCAATTTAATCGTTCGCCCTCGAATGTCGTTTTTTTTTTCGAATAATAGATCTCAACTTTAGAATTGGCGGACTTGCCTCTTTTCGATAACGGGAATCGATTCGATGATGGTACAGTTTCCGTCTATATTCCAAAAATAGATTACAGTGCTTAGTCCTTTCAGCGCTCGAAAAAAGAATTGGTATGGTAGCTTGCCAGATGCCTTCCTCTGAATATGTGTTCAAAGATCGGCAATCCTTGCGTGATTTCAAGAGGTACTGCTGCCACTGCATTGTAATTAATGGTAGCTTTCTTTTTCAGATATGAAGCGCTGAAGGCCCGGAAAATCTGCTGCCCTTTATGTCCCATCAGCTCTGAAGTGCTAACTAGTGCTGTTCAATATCAGGTAACATTCGCACAGCCTATTAATTGGCTGCCATTTCTTTGAATTTTTCAGGGCCACATGACAACCCACCATTCATGTGCGCATCTTTTCGCGTGTCATTTTTGTGGATTTGTGTTCCCTTCTCTTGAAGCTTTGAAAGCTCACGACGGATGTGAAGGATTTGCTGCCGCAATGGTGCAAAGGATAAATCTTTGCGGTGAAGTAGATGTATGTCTCATCACTTTCATTGGTGGTGTCAACACATCTCTTAATTCAGTGTCCTATGGGCTTTGCTATAGTAATCATGACTTGTACTGACTGCGGCTCGCAACAACTTATTCGCTCCTCATTTCTTGGAGAAGCGTCAATGGCTCACTGGAACGAGATTATAAACTTCCATGTATGCCATTTTGAGTCAGTTTTGTACACATAATCCATTCTTCTTTTCTACAGACAGTGCACAATGCTGAGAGCCTAGTTCCGTTGGTCATATATTCTAGCGAAGATTTTCATTGCAAGATGCGATTACGAATACACACTGTGTCAACTTTAATCAAAGGTATCATCTTATTTCAACCATCATTTATTGATATCCGACCTTAAGATGTCCAAATTACTTGCCCTTATTGTGGGAAGTCTGATTTTGACACACTCGAAATGCTTGAGTCGCATTTCCTCTCTCACAACGAAGGCGTCAAAGTTTGCCCCGTGTGTTCGAGTAAATTTGGACAGGAGGCCTTTTTCAGGTCAGTTTTCTTTGCGCCATCAATTCGATTTCTTTCATGCTAAATAGTTTCACATAAGTTGGCGAGCATTATCAGTATTCACGAACTAGTCTTATCTTGTCCTGCAGCCTATACCATTTCATCAAATCTTATACTGAGTCCATCTCTGCTGCTTCTGCTTGGTTTAAGGTTACACGATATATAGCATATATATCGTGCTTATATATCGTGCGTTCATTCAGCTTGAGTTTCTGACATTTTGTGATTCTGTAGCAGCCATAGCTTATGCTTATGCGCGCTTGAAAACGTTATAGACTTGAAGTGTGGTAATCGTGGAAGTGCATATTTCCATAATGATTTAGTGCTCATTGATAGCAGACCGCGGCTAACCTGGATCAGGATTTCATATGCTCAGCGGAGCCGGAGCGCGAATCTTGCAAACATTTTCCTTCAGTGATTCTAGGTTTTTTTATTCAGAATCTTGCAAGTTAGTCAAGTAGATTTTTCACCCACTATAGTGTGCTTGGGTGCCAAAATTCGCGGTGGAACTTGCTCGTGAACACGCAAGATTTTGGTGCCTTAAGCACACTTGGGCAAGCCAGAAATTTATTAGACGTAGGCCCGTTTTCAGTTTTCACCAAACCTCTACAGCTAGGATGGATCGTTGACTTGTTATGTACGAACCTGAGTTGAATCTAGCTGTTTAGCATATTTTGCGATATGGGAAAGAAGTTGAACGATGTTTTCGAATAGCAAGCTCATTCAGTAACAAAGTCGTGCACGATTTTAAAAAAGGCGATTGGATGTGTAAAGAGTATATGGTTTTGACTATATCCGTGGGCCAGTGGAGTACTGAGGGGGGCGCCCCCCCCCCCCCCCGAGAATGGGTCGCGAAATTTTTGAAAGTTACTTATATGGGTTATAAAAAATGTGCAAGTGACTTGTTTATTTTTGTAAATAATTAAAATGATTTTTAAAAAATTTTGAAGATTCAAATTAGCCTTGTAAAAAAAATTTTTTCGGGGGCGTGGCTGACGCCACGCCTCCTTTTTTCCGGATTATAGAGGTTGGGGACCCGCAAAAATTTTGAGAAGCACTCCTAAAAATTTTTCGGAGTGTAGCCGTGGGCTCATGATGCATGCTACTACTAAACATCAGTCTAGGTACTCATTGGTTTCCCAGGAGTAGATTTTTCTCAATAAAAGATGCTCTTTCTTGATTTGGTCATACTTTCTCGCTACTCTCCTCATTCCCGGCAGTTTGAGAGCTGTCTTGCATGTGTTTCTCCTTTTATTCTCAACGCACTCGCATGTCCTTGTTGTCTGAGGTTTACCTTTTGAATGTGAGAGACAACGGCGAATAGTTCAGAAGGAGCATTTCGGAACTTATCCATAGTACTACTACATCCGCTGATTTCAAGATTTCCACAATCTTTTATCTTTATCAAAAAACTGTTTAGTAAGTGTGGAAAGTTTACTCCCTAAAAAGTTTAAGGAGAGTAGCAGCCATGCAGTTTGAGTGCTTTTTCAGAACGGCTCCTCAGTCGCCTCAAAATCTAACCCATTGACGTTAGCGTGAATTACCAGTGGCCGCGGCACCACAAAAGATTATATCTCAGTTCATATCTTTCGTAAATCCTTGCAGATTAGCTGGTTTTTAAACAACTTTAAAGATATGGTACTTGCCAGCACAGCATTGGCCGAAAAGTAGTCGCCTAACAATGACACGAACGATCTGTAATTCATGCAGAGACACTGATGAGAACTGCGTTGTGATGCCTGGCCTGAATAATGTAAACTTATTGAGACTAACCAAGCAAAATTGCAGATTAGGTAAAATTCTGATTAGGGTAAGGCTTTTGGTCAAGCAACACCGCCAGTTTGAAGTATGTGAGAGCAGAGGTCGTGAGAGCACAGAATGCGTGATCTTGGTCGAGGAAATAGAGCATAAAATAGAAGTAACAAACAGTAAGAAGCTCGAGCTGTTCGAAGGGTTCGCACAGCATGAAATAGTTGTTTTGATTTTAACACGTACACAAGTTTCTTATGATTAGATGTTGGTTGCTTTCATTTCGAATTCTTGGCATTACAGGGAGCATCTCTTATCGCATCTGGATACCAAAGCAGGCTACCTGGCTCTGTATTTGGCTCAAAAGTGCACCTTTGTCACGGTACTGCTACAAACACTAGTTTGATTATTTCGCGAACTGTTATTTTCAGGGTGGACTTTCGAGTTGTGGACCTTATCTCGCAAAAGGAAGCGAGCTTATCTATGGGGGTGTGTCAGCAGCTGTCTTCACCTCCAAATTACGACTGGTCAGTCTTTTAAATCATCTGCTGTGCGAGATTACTTGTTTCTAAGATTTAGCACTTCAGCAATTTGTTGATCCATGGGAATCTGTGACTGTAAAGAAAAAGGCAAACCGACGTGGTCGCAAACGTAGGGCTGGTCCAACATACAAAGCAGATCCAGCCGAGGCGGATGAGGAGCAGATTCCTCAGGATGAGGCGTCAATCAAAATAAGAAAACTTCTGGTTCGTGCCTTCCTGACAAAGAAAGCGATTGAGAGCAAGTGATGACTTTTCATTTACACATGTGGACAATAACTCGGCGGGCTTCTTTGTTTGACGAATTCGCCATGACCATTTCTATACGAAAGAGCTGATACCAGTGGGGAGCAAGAGAAACAGGGTGTATAAGTGGTTTTATCAGCAGCTAACTGGCTTAATAATTTGTTTCGGATTGAATCACTCTTTTCCTCTAATTTTTATGTAAAAAAACGGTTGTGGACGAGAGGTCATAAAAACAATTGTTGAGGAGTTTTGTATCATGAAAGTTTGTGTGTGCAAAAGGAAAAAGCGAAAAAAACGAGAAATTTTTAAAGTTCTGAGTATTTTTTTACACTGCCTGGTTTTGTAGCAAATTGTAAGTACTATACTGATGGTGAAGCTTCATTGGTGTCCTGTGCTCATGGGTTGTTTGAAGCTTCCCATAAGAAGATAATTGTTTAATCACAAATATTTATCTGTATAAGTATGTACAACCATATTACATACATTAGCGGTCGCAAGAAGTTTTTTGTTCAGTTTCTTCATTATCAAACGTTAGTGGACTTGAATCTCGCGAGAAAAGATTTAGGATGCAGTAGCGTTTGCCTTCCCATTGTAGACGCTGAGTCTGAAGTGTTCTGAGTCATTTGTATTGTGTCTAAGCTTACCTAATTTCTTTCCGTATATTAGATTTTCCGAAATCATGGTAGGCGATCAGAGCTGTGGAGAACTTCCTGTTTCATAGAATTTCAGTCTGAAACGGTGGATTTCCTTGAACAGCTACTTATTGATAGATATAAATTTAGAGTCTCGTTTCAAGGCTGAAAGCATTCTTTGCGCGATTTTAGTCGCCGTGTGATTTGGCGAAGAACCTGTTGTTTATGACTCGTCTCAGCGCAAATGCTGCGCTTTGTTATTGAAGTTTACATATGGTCAAGTCTGGCTGGTCGCCAAATGGTGTGGTGAATTCGGTATGCACAGACCTCTACTTGAATGGTGAACACTTTCAAGGGCTAGGCGAGCTTTGAAGTACAAAGTTCGTACTCAAACCTAGTTATCAATTGGAACAATTATTTTCGCAAAGTTCTACAAAGCAATGATTTCTGTTGTTATCAGGGTTTCAGTAGGAAGATGAAAGTTGCTTCAGTAGTGGACATCACTAAATGAGTGCGGCTGGAAAGCCTGTTCTTATACCAGTGATCACATTATATCATTCAGGGTCACTCATTTGATTACGAAAATGTACTCCGAGTGAATGGCTTCTTCTATACCGCTATCGACTCCAAAGATGAATCAGTGAGCACGTTTGCTATTCTCTCGCCACATCCTTGTTAACAATCTTACTGCAGGAAGAGAGTGCAGCACCGTACAATTCGTCTGACATCGAATTCACCTCACTCATCGAGCACAGTCCTACAGCCGTCGACAGATTAGCGAAGGATATCTCGGAGCATTTTTCAAGAATCTGTAGACTCGCTGGTGGAAAGACCCTGTCAAAGAAACACAATCCATCGCATATCGGCCTTTCTAAAAAGTGCGTTCTATCTCACCTATTCGTTCCATTCAGAAACTTTTTTTTGTGCAGAATTTACATGTGCCGTCGATGTAACTGTATTTGTACCGGCGATGATGCGGTTTATGCTCACCTGTCACGATGTTGTCCAGAGCTGCGCCAAACTGATAATAGTTCTGAACCCTACGACCTTTCGAATGGATTGCTAGTCAGTGCTTTTTCAAATCTTTTTCGGTGATTATAATTTTTAAAAAGGCTCGATTTTTGAACGCCAACTGCCCATAAACAGGGCGTCTAAAAAAATGTGAACACTGTTTGATTGTTAATGACTCTCCTATTTTCATGTCTATCGCCGAGGTTGAGGTATCATTCTGTAAAGCGAGGTTCAACTTACAATTAGATTCGCAGTATAGAACGACTCATCAATCGCTCTTCATTGCTGTAGGATTACGGCAGGAACTTCGAGAAGAATCTTAGGAAATTGAAAGCGATTTTTGCGTTAGAAAGAAAACCAAACGATCCAGGAACTCTTGTACTGGACTAGTCGAAGTCGCTGATTCTAAATATGGAATTTGCACTTCACTGTAATGCTTCTTTCAAAAGTATTTCAGGTGTAGGGTTACACCTCTTTTTCTAATGTTCTTCGAGTGTGAGTACACCAGTGAAAGAGCTCAAAAAACTAATGAAAAGTTGTGTACTAGAATCAGCACGCCTGAAAACCTTACTACTCAAATCTCCAGAAACGATCAAACAGTGTTCACATTTTTTGGGGCATCCTGTATATGATTAAATGAATGGCTATTTCTTTAGTAGCTGATACCACGTTAGCGCAACTAAGATTAGTGTGTTTCAGCCACCTATTCGGATCTCCTTTTTGCTTATTGGTGGATCTTCTTGAGAGACACCAATGCATTTTCCGCGTGTTTGTGCTAGTATACTGTTTTGAAACTCCTTTACCATCCTACGTATCTATTATTGTTTTGCATCTTTATCATCCGGTCTTGATATCACATCTCATTGATCCAAGTAGCAATTTTGAAAAATGTTGCATATGGCACATTTGAGAGCAGTGATCACGAATCAGCAATCGCAGCACTTTTTTCGTATGCGTTTATAAGCTTTCATGGATTATTCACATCATTTCATGGTCATTACCACAAATGCCGTGTAATAGTGAAAGAAAACTACTCCTCATTCAGCATTTACCTACAACGAGGGCTCGAAGGCAGCGGCCCGGCAAATCGGAGAATTTGAAGTATTTATCGTTCTCGATTCCCTGAATGAGCTGAGTCCGAAACTGTGTTGATACAGTGATAACTCTCTTTTCCGGACATTGAAAGTGCTGTTTGTGCGGAATGCGAGAGTCGGCCCTCTGCTTTGTGTCGGTGGAGACAACCTACCCATCTCGGCACCAATAAGATTATTGGCTCCAGCAGCCAGTCGTTCTAAGGGGGCGACTTTTCGCCTCCCGCCCAAAAATCAGTTTCCACGTCCGAAAAAGCGATTTATTGATATCTTCAAAAGCTACAAAGCACGGTTTTAGACTCAGCTCATCCAGAGGGGTCAAGAAACTTTAGAAACCATACTGTAGCTCTAAGATCTGTTTATCAGCCCGCAGTAATGCAGCGGCACCTTGACTAAGTGTTTTTTCCTATTCTTCAAATGAAGGACGGGGTCTGCTTTCATTCGTTATCTAAAAACATCAGCCGAAAGTTTCTCAGGTTGTTTGCGTATATGCGGGCAATGGTTTACCGAACACACGCATCACTTGCTGGGAGTGCTCATCAACTGTGTGCTCAGTTTTTGGTTTACGAGTGCACATGATTGCAAGGCACGGAATCTTTATCAAGGCTGAGGATGAACCTACCATAGGACCTAACTCAAAAGGAGGTAAGCTTGGTGGTGTTGGATATCATTCGGTTTTCTACTCTATTCCATTATGTAGAAGACTTGGAGCTTTTCACGGCAACAACGAGAGCAATCAACAAGCTCATTGGCCTCACCGAGAACGGATGTCTTCCCGTCAACCTAGAGGAAAGAAAAAAGGAAGCTCTCAGAGCTAAGATGAAGTTGAATCAGGTGAGGATATCACTTTTTTTCCATTGCTTTCATGTAAGGAATAAACTAAAAAGCATCTTAGTCAATCCTAAAATCATTTTTTAGAGCGCAAACGGCAACGAAACCGTTCTTAACCAGTCAAATGTAATCGCGTCTCCACACCCCCTGCCTCCTAATCATAGCAATACTTCGAGCAAAGAAGCGGCCATCGTAGTTGTGACGTCTTCATCACCTTCACCTGCAGCTACTCCTGAGGAATCACCGCCTTCTGTACAAATCATCGAGTCACATGCTGAGCTTTGTCAACCAAGGCAACAATCTGCCAGTCATGCCAATCAGCCAACAGATACGGCTCTGGACAGGGTTGAGGCGCTCGTGAGAAACCTAGGACATTTTTCTATGCCAGCTCGGGACACTCCCCAAAAAGAGAATCGTATTGAGGAACCTCATTATGTCTTGACAAGTATCTTGAATCAAGGTATATACATTTTTTTATACAGATTCCTTGACTCTTACAAATTTTTTTTCTAGTGGAAGCAGGTGTTACATCCAAATCTACTGCCTTACCACAAGAGAAGTCATTGCCTCCGGCACTTCCAGTGCAGAAACAAGGTAAATTCTATCTGCTTATTTACGTGAATTGATACTCTTACTCTGCTTCAGGTGATCTACATGCCAGTACAACTTCATCGCCTTCACGCGATGATTTGAATGTATGATTCTTCTTTGTCTTATCACAGTTTTGCTTTATTTTTTTATGCAGCTAATTAGTGCAGTATGAATGCAGGATTTTGGAATTAACTTTTTGCACGGGAGCCCAATTATTTGATTCTCGATGGAGCATGAGACCTTTGAGCATGTCTGCAGGAATCCCCATCTTGTAAAACATGCAAAATTTCGAAGTGAGCTTGTAGGTAGTTCCGAAGGTTGATTAGCTGTACTGCAAAGGTGGGGTCTAGTTTTGGAAATCGGTTGGAGACTTTCTTATAATCTATTCTTCAATACAAGCTGTCAATTAGTGCATCTCTTTTCTTATTTCCATGGCTATAGAGTTGTGAGACTCTTCATGCTTGCAGAATCCAGAGTGCGAATTTTGTGGTTTGAAACTGATGTCTCAAGCTGCTTTGGCAAGGCACTATGCATCTCACTCGTGAGTCATCGTATACGCCTTGTGCTCCCGTTTGTAAACTGAAATTCAGAGATACAACAAGTACCTGCCATATATGTGATCCACCTCAAGTCAATGTCTTTACGCCTGAGCTTTACCTGGCTCACATACATGCTAAGCATACAACTCAGCCAGACGCCAGTGAACAGGTAAAGTGCTTCCATATTCTTTTCTAGCTGTTTCTTTTTTCTGCACTGCGTTTTTTCAGGGTCGTGCTTTTGCAGTGTGCTCATGTTGTGATTTTCGGGTGAAGAAATCGGAAATAATAGCTCATTTGATGTCAGATTGTTACATGGCTCCATGCTTACTCTGTGGAGATAAGCTCAGCCGAAGAAATGACCGATTGACACACAGGAAAAATCATAAGGAGATTCATTCAAGGTTTGTGACATATGAGTTTCTCTAAAGCTTCTGTTACTCATCCTGAAAATTCTTGTCCTTTTTTATTGACTCGTAATGTATAATAGTACACATTATTGTAAAGTGCTGTCACCAACACTCTCTACTTCTATTGAAAGTATGTAATAACACTAGCGCAATATGCATGATGGGCATCTATGCTTTGTTCTGACACAACATCCGGTGCTATATCTGCTTGTAGCTTCGTTTCATTCAACATTGTGATTAGTAACTTAGTTGACGTGGAAGGGAGAAATCGAATTTCGTACCGATCAGATTAGAACGGGGGAGTTCTCCGAGCTATCACTAAATCTGGGTGGGCACGATTCTATAAGCACAACAATCTCAAAACAAGATTCCATTGAAGGTTTATTTTTTTCACTATTACTGATAATAATAATTTCTTGTAGCGGATTTATTTTCGAGGGTGTAGGTACCAACAGGCACAAGTAGGACGCCGTTTAAAAGGGAAACCTTGACCAACTAGAAAATAGTAAGCATTGATCTATTCAGTGGTACGGAAATTCCAGATATAAGTCAATCAATATGTGTTACTAATGTGGGTTTGGTGAGTTTGTGGAATAATAATCCTTCGATTTCTATTTGTTATAGCGCACGTCATGTGCATGAAGTTAAACGATAAAAAAAGCAAAGATGTTTCTTTTGTAAACCTATGCAATTCTTATCATTTGTGCAAATATACATTGTGCTTCATGTATAGAAACCCTATTGTTTGCAAATAGAAAGCAAAGAATAAGCGGTTGCAAGAAGACAAAATTCTCCCCTTCAGAGGACTTTGTCTACATGTATTCAAAACTAGTTGTAGCTTGGCTCAATCTGTAGGCACCTCTTGCTTATATTTCAGACCTTGCAAGTTCCTAATGCTATTTTCAGGTTTGTGTGTGAATGCCATCGTGGTTTTTCGCATTTCACTAAGTTCCTGGAGCATCAGTGTCGTAGCAGAGTCACATCCACTGCTAGATGTGCTGCCTGTGATGCCAAGTTTTCTGCCTCCAGTCGCAACAAAGTGTTGAAGGATGGCGCTGATCATTTTATTGTAAGTTTGGACTTCAACGTCTTTGTTTAGTTGACGAATATGTGCTGAAATTGTTGCTTTGAAATTCGAACTTGGTGTCTTTTGATTTATCGTTGCAATTATCTCTACATAATGTGCATCTTATTTCGTTGCTCTATATAGATGGTTCTCTTTTTCTTTGACTTTTTCAAATTACCACATCTACTTGACAGCTAAATGATGCACTTTGTCATTTCCACCTCACTGTGAAACTTGGTACGTTTTCGTCGTTTTTCTAGATCTTGCCCATTCTAGGCCATGTTCACTCATTTTCATTGAATTATTTCTAAAACTTTTTGCACATCTTGGAACCTCTATACGTATAGGCCCGTTTCGTGCTCTTTCCAACATTTAATTTTTTTCGAACTTGGGAGATCTGTCTTGACGCATTGTGGACCGCATTTTCATTTTCTATCCGGCCAATCAGTATATGTTAGCAGATTTTTTTATGAACAAATTCTGGGCTAGCAAGTATCACTCCGTAACGAATGCCTGCCTTACGATTATTGGGCGCTACCTTCTGGGGCTACAGCATCTAATGGTACAACAGAATATGCTGCGGCTACAAACCCTATCTAGGGTTACGAATGCTAAGAAATTTTGCAAGTATATGTTTTCGAATGTCTTCCTTCTTCTGCTACAACAACTTGATCTCTTTTGGAAGGACACTCATTGATTTGTAGTACTTCCAGTTACGCCGCAGCCCATTTCTACCAATGCACGCGCTAGATCTTGAAGAATTTCCACTAAAATGGCACTATGGACGGCCATTTATTGATGGAAGGGGGGGGGGGGCTGACGGAACTTCGAAGTCGCTCTCATGATTTGGTGCATGAAGTGGAGGATGGGGCGATGGCTGCTGTGTAAATTTAAGGTCTATCATTTGCATCACCACAACGAAGGGTTTATTCCGATCTACTATTTAGGAATATTCTAAACTATCTGAAGAGAATTCTGTGAAGAAAAAAAATTAAGAAAATCAGTGTTTATAACATTTATATTCGGTATATGCGCGCACTTCAAGATGCGGGATTCCGGCTTTATGTTCATCCATTCCAATGACAAATGAGCAGACCCTTACATAGTTTTTTTTTTGAGGTGTTCTTCTTTTTCCGTAAACATGCATATTTTCAGAAGGCACACACGAAAGATCTTTCATGCTGCTTATGTAAGAATGAACCTCTAGAAGCACTGCGAGAGCATGTCTCAAGGCACCTACTCCTGTCATCCGAAGCTTACAAACCGACAAGATCACTGTTATCTTATAAGAATGTCGAGATCTCGGAAGTAGGTTGCAAATTTTGCTCCTCTGTTTTTTTTTTTTTTGTTTTTTTAATAGCCTCATTTACAGACCAGTGAAGAGACGCTACATGAAATGCAGAAAGCGCCAAAGGAAAGGAGCCGTAGCACAGAATCTGGTGTTACTCTCGATCAAGGTGCAAACATATGCTGATGCATATCTACGATCAATCGCATTACTTCAGATGGCGCAGATACAACAACGGATGCATCAGACGCTGAAACAGCGTCTGTCACGCTTGAAGATGCTACCACGGAACGTGCATCGAGTGCGCTGGAGGAGCTGCTAGTGTATGCATCTTGCTTCGTTTCTTCGTTAACTTGTTTTACACCCGTAATTTAGGGAGGATGTTGTTCCGGTCGAAAACGGAAGTTCGCGAGATGGCAATTCACCCTCTGTACTCGAAAAACAACGACAAGTGCTTGCAGAACTGCTTGATGATCTTGGACCACCTCCTTCCGTTGTGATATTGGAAAGCAGTGAGGACGAACTTTTCCTTGCTGATGATTCACGTTGAATCTTACTCATTTAAGGTCATGCCGTAGTACGTGAAGAGGTAGATGAACCTCAGTGTGCTGTACCCAAGAACTCCGTGGCTGATGACGAAGATGAGATTGTGATAGTGGACGAAGAAGCTGCGGTAGGGATTGATATGCGAGAAAGATACTTATTTTGACTATATGACATCATTTCGTATCTGTATTAAATCTACCTGTCTTTGCAGTTGTTACAAGTTTTATTTGAAGACGTAATGTTTCTAGCAAGCAATGCTGATGTCACCTCCACCACCCGGATCAGTTGCTTCCGCAGTTGTGCATACAGTGAATGAAGGCGATGAAGATTGTATGATGATGGATATTGTTGAGCTGTGAGTATACGGTGGTTGTGTTTCAGTCCAGCCCACAATCTATCTCTAATTCACAGGCCAACTGGCTCCGTATCATACACTGTTGCTTCCACTCGCGAGAAGAAGCACAAATGCTCCATGTGCAGTCAGTCATTTTTGCGAGAATCCTCCTGCCGTCTTCATGAGCAGACTTCACATCGCAATGACATCGCCTCTGATTTGTGTGACGAGGTAATTTCTTTCTGCTACAGAAACACTCAGAGATGTCGTTACGTCGAGTGCGATACCGCCCTTGAGAACATGGCTATAGAAAGTAATCATCTTCCAGGACTATGGTATTCCATTAGAGCTGGATCGTTGCATGTATTTATGCCAACAATGCACTGTTGCATTCGAAGATCAGCAGCGAGCGCGCAAACATCTCGCTCAACATATGATCAAGGGACCGGCGTTGTGAGATTATACTATTACAATACTTTATTAACGTATGTCATCTTGACTGTGACATTGCAGTCCGTGTGAGAAATGCAGCAGTATATGTTTGACTGAAGCTAACCTCCGTGATCATTTGAAGAAGCATGCGGAACAGAAGTTATCATATCGTTGCTTGAAATGCACTCCCCACCGGATCTACTACTCTGTACGTCATTCCATGACAGTAAGGGTTTCGCCTATAGTTGTGGTTTAGGAAGTGGCATTATACTACCATTTGAATATGGAACATCGTATTCCTATCATAGCGTTTTGTAAGAGTTGCCTTCTTGCTTCTGCTAACATGGACCGCATATTCAAGCATACTTACACACGTGAATGCTCTGACAAAAGAGAGGAGCCGCGTATGACATCTGTGGTAAGTGGGCTTGGTTATTACCATTGTGTGAGCATATTCTAGTTTCTTCTTTCAGCCCATTTTGCTGCGTAGCCTCGGATTCGCTATTGCATCGGAGTTGTGCTTTCAGCCCAACGATGAGGCGGCATACAAAAAAGCGGTTGCAAACAAGGTATCAAATCACAATATTTGTTCTGCTTCATTTTCCAATGCTGCGCTTGGTGGTGCGGGTGAATGTCATTCGATCGCAGACAACAAGCAGGATTTTTGCATGCAGTCCCTCTTTATATTGACTTTAGACTTCAAATCATCTACAGAACTAATTTAAGCTGACTTTATAGTGATATAGCCACAAAGTATCTTGGGCCTTTCAAAGGCATCGATAACTCAAAACCAAAGGTGGAGACTTTTTGTTACGATCTTGGAAGTTTGAATGTAAAGCCCAAATTCCGTTTCATCCTTGAACGAGAACATCACTCCAAAATTTAGTTGTGAGACAAATTCCTCCCTTGATTTAGATGACGTGATTGTTGACACTGAAAAGTAAAGCGGGCGGAGCATCGCAGACATTTTATAGTTTCTACATCAATGAAAACTCATTGCTGCAGAATGGATTTTGACGAGTTTTTGCGTTTTAGAAGTCTGCAATGCTCCGCCCGCTGGGCTAAGAGCCGCTTATACTTCATCCAAGATCAGAATTTACATTAACTAGAAATCTCAAAAATTAGGACATAAAAAAGCGGATTTTCGGCATTTTCAGGTTTCTTAGGGCCGCATGCACTAACATCCCTGCGGCGAGGGGAGCGGCGTCCCCCGTTATGAAGGGACCGCGTGCGGACGTTGCTGCGGCTTTTTCATCATTGGGGACGCCGCTCCCCTCGCCGCAGAAATGTTAGTGCATACGGGCCTTAGAGCCTATTTCGAACCTACTATTTGCGCATCACTTAAACGGGTGAAGTCACCATTGCCACTTTCCTTCTGAACCGATTCTTTCGCTTCGAAACTCACTTTTGCTTTGTGAAGGTACTTACTCAGCCAAGGGTCCACAATTGTACTGGATTAAATTCGCACCACCTCACCTCCAGATTAGTGGTGCTCTTAATAAGATCCTCTCTTCAACATATCCACTTCAGAATAACAGTCAGATAGAAAATTCGATAAAGTTCAAAATCGCATACATCAATAAACTAGAAACTCTTCTTGCAATATGCAGAGGCGAAGTCTATGAAGAGCTGGTATTGGAGTCTGAACTGTGAATGCTAATTTTCTAATGTTCAACTTTAGGCGATACGATTCGCAGTGCCAACTCAGTGCAGCCATCGAACGTTTATAACATTTGGAGACGCTTTTACCACTTGCCCAGAGGATCCTTCTAGATGCCATGGCTTGGTACGTTATTTATGTAATTACTTCGTTCGATATGCCTTTTCTATCAGACTTTTTGCGCAGGTCAATCAAAATCGTTGGCATTCATTCTTGTGCGCTACGAATCGTGATACGCCCGGGGAGATGCCGGCCGTGATGCCTGAAGCGATCGTGGTCAAGAAGGACTGTGGTGAAAACTTGGCGGATATGCTTCTTACTCGTTACAGAACGAACTTGGCACTAACGAGTGAGATTTTTTGTGCTCAGTACCACATCTCAACATATTCATTTGAGCAGGCTCGCTGGCTAGACGTTCCGCTAATGCACTACCCACCCTTGCTCCTGCCGTGCCACTAACAGCACCAGCACCGGTGCGACAAGGCACCATATCTACCTGCCAGATCTCAAATCGCCGTCAAGATGTAGTAGAAGCGTTGCCGATATTGCCGCAGCAGGTTGGTCGAAAAACTGAAATGTATTTCTCTCAAACTTCATCGCGTATCCTCATTATAGGTACAGGTCAGTCATGCGGCAGCACAAATGCCGGCTCTTCGCCAGACTTTGAACAGTGCACCCATATCTCTCCCTCAAAATCAGGTATCCTACTTTATTCAAAACTTGGATCTGTATCGTATAAATGGTTGTGCACTGTTGAACTTCAGTGAAAAATAACAATTTGATGCATTTTCCCAACAAATAGAATTGATTGAGTACTTTTTATCCTTTTTCAGTTCATTATTGTGGCAGGTTAGGCCCTACAGTCGATATCCTATCATTGATCTTGTTGTGAATGTCGATGTTACCACTATCTATTCAGAGTGCTTGTATATTCTGCCGTTGTCGTAATGTGGCAATGATATGCGAACCGCCTAATAGGGCGTATGAAGCTGTGAATTCACTCTGTACTAAGTTCAGAGAAGTTCATCCTGTTGCTGCGCAAACATTGTACTCTTCGCTCAATTCGTTCATACGAGGTTAGTGGTCGCGTCTCATTTTTCATATTTTGCATTAGAGCATTTAGAAACTGTGAATCGCCGTCACGGACAACCGCATTTCTGTTTCTGCCGTTGGCACTATTCGCAGCAAAGTTTTGACGGTCAGCATCTGACTAATGCACCCCCGAGTCAAGTGAACAGCGCGCTTCTGCTGAGCAACTATCACAAAGGACTGTTCTACCCTGATCCAGCCTGTGTGGCCATCATGACTTCTTTACCGCTCTCTCCTGTCGCAGGCGTAGTACAAACTGTACAATCTACTGCTTCATGCAGTTCTTCGTCGGTAGGTTCAATGGTAAAGACCTGTCATATATCATTTGCATGGCCGTATTTTCCAGCAACCTTCGGCACAGTCGTGTGCTGTATGTGGTGTGGTGGCGCCATCTGGGCCATGTTCTGCGACAACGTTCCGGCTGAATTACATGATAGCGGTGCCGCTTATGCCAGTCACTGTGAAAGAGCAATGGGCAGCTAGCGTCGTTCACTCTTTAGCTGAGGCGTATGCACAGCGGGTAATGAACGAGGTTAGTAAAATGTTGAGTTAGAGTTTCAGTATGTTGCCAGTGAACCGCATATTCAGTTTCGAATCTCACATCCACCTCGTCTCTGCATCCGGCATTTCAATCCTCGTTCACTGATTATTGGGCGTAATGGCGCCATCACCAGAAATCCAAATTCTGTAGCTGAGCTGCCTATCTTGGATTTCCCTGAATTCGCTTCGTTGACTCCGGAGTTCTTCCAAGCGTTTAATAAACTCCTCGACGTATGTGCCTTTAAGATCACTGCGTCATTTCTTCCATACTTTTTTCAGGCTATGGATAAGAATCAGAATTCCAACAACACTATTTCGACAATGCTAAAGATAGTCCAAGATCTTGTCAAATGCAAAGATGAGGTTTGTTTTGAAGTATGAGCTTTTTTCCATTGAAGTGATTTTCTCCAGAGGTGTGGTCGTCCTTTGAATTTGTGCAAGGATGTGTTATTCCATCGCTTCCATGGTCCTCAACACACATATGTTTGTATGGAGTGTTTCTGCACAACTGATGTCATTCGAAATGAGCAAGAGATGATTGAGCACTTTGTTTCTAAACACATACAAAGAAGCCGTAAGTAGTAGATTTCTTTGGGCTTACCAACTTTAATGATTAAAACGAAATGTGCCATAACTTGATCTCATTCATCTTCCTCATTTTCATTGCACACTCATTCATAATAACTTATGGAGTTCTTTAGAAGCAATTGCTGCTGTTCCGCGTGTGTATTCGCTTCATTGCCCTCTGCGCAACTGCAGTGCAACATTCCCGTCTGTACAGACTTTGCGGAAGCATATCAACCATGTTCACGCTGCGCAGTTTCCACACTCCTCTGAGTCTGCTTTTCACTACAGAATCTTTTATAGCCGCTATGAATTTCTTGTTTTGCAGCAACTGTGCTACGCACTTTTTCGATGCTCAAAAAATGTCTCTCCACAATGCTCAGCACGAGAAGCATAGGTATGCAGACAACTGTTCAAGTTTGACCGCACTGAACATTGTCTTTTTCAGCTGTGATGTCACGTGCTGCTATCTTTGCGGTTTGGCCGATCCATGGCAGCATGAATTCAATGGCGTTAGGATCTCGCATGAGCTGACACATGGAATGAGGCGGTTTCTCGCTTGCAAAACGTGTGGACTTCCGATGGGTCAAGACCCAGCTGTAGGTTTTTCCTTTCACGCCTCTTTCTTTCCATTACAAATTCCTCCACAGAATATGGCGCTGATTGATCACTTTATGAAGCAACATATGGTGGAGCTGCAAAAGCGAGTGCGCTATTGCAAAATATGTCGAAAAAATATAGCTGAGCATGGATTATTAGCACATGTTGTTGAACAACATAGGGTGAGTCAGGGTGACTTCTAAAAACATGTCTAGATTTTCTTGTTTTTCCGCGAACAATCACATTTCAGTTGATTTCGTTCCAACCTCGTTATATACAATCCGGCATGTTGTCTATAATGAATGGCAGCGAGTTGTGTGCTTATCTCGGGATACCGCCTGAACGCTGGCAGGTCAATCCTCAGGCTGATATTTCAGAACTAGGATAAAAATATCTAGTAAAGCATGAGCAAACTGGTTGTCACGCTTTGAATTATGATCTCTGTGGAATTGACCATATTCACGAGCCAGTAGGCGTTTTATTGGTTTGTTTTATTGCATTTATTTTCTATTCAATATCGTAAGATTCCAAAGTACCCTTACTTCTGTTTTGTGTGCTGCACCATATGTTGTACCGGTAATCAGTGTCTTTTGCATAAATGCAGGTTCGTAGTTTTACCCTAAGTTGACCTCTGTTGAAGAAGTGTTCAAGTGCTTGTATCGACACTACTTCATTCACTGATCTGTATATTCGTTATATCTGTTCCATTCAATAAAGACATTCTTTACTCATGAATATACTTTCGCACTTGCTGAAATTCAGTAACCACTGGCCTTTCTCGGCTGAGCTTTTCTCAGAATTGAAGCATCTGATGCACCAGCTGCGTGCCCGATTAGTGCTCGCATGAATGTCAAACCTTTTTGAAAATGAAGTCTCCTTCGACTTTCAGTAATTTTACGAAGGGCCCTTTAATATATGGCGAACATATACAGAAAATAATACTTTGGTAGATGATGTAAAGATGGATTTCGCCTCCTATTTCGATCAAATTATGTATGAGCGAAATAAGTAAATCCAGGCAGAGCATGCGAAAATAGAGAACAGGAAAGAAGAAAGGGAACAAAACGACAAAAGGTGATACCGCAAATGAAAACATCAACGTAGAGGCATTTGCAATACAGGTTGGATCGCAGTAACTATTAGGTCGTTCCCAAAGTCGTTTTTTTTTACCTGCCATAAAAATACGTGGAATAAAGGCGAGAAACGTTCCAAACATCCGGCGCAGCTTTTCTTCCTCAATTTAGCAGTCGTTTCTGGGCTGGTCACTCCTTTCACAAAGATAATCACCAAATTACCGAACACATGGTTTTTACGCGTGTATGTCAAGAGGCGCGATATTTATTGCCAGCTGGACACCAAAACGAGCACATAATAAGAGTTTTTTAACAGTCTAAAATATTGAATTCTAGAAGAAAACATATTAGATGGTTGCATGAGTTGCTTGATCTTGTCTTGAAATCAATTCAAAACAGTAATTTTGACGGTCAAAAACCCGTGAAAATGCAGATAAGAGCAAATTCCTAAATCTTTCGGTCCATTTTCCAGCCCACCAAACTCAGCAAGTGGTAACACCACACAGATAGTAAGCCAATGCACTTCATCTGATAGTTTTTTAAGACTCGCATAACTTGAACTGGAGATTTGAGTTGGTGGCGGTCGGATAAGTCGCGCCTCTTGACCATCTCTCCGGGCTTATACCATGTCCTTTGACCATTTTTCAAGATCTTGAAAGCTAAAATTTTTTTCCTGGTGCTATCAAATTCCACTTTTGATCACCCATGACCCATAGAACATCAAACGGCGTCATCACAACTAAGATGTCATCTAATACATCTTTCTTTCCTCTTTCTAATAGGTGTTTCTACTAATTCGTGGAGTTCTTGGCGACAATTTTCCATAATTCTGTTTGATTCTGTTTAACCCGCTCCAGCCTGGATTCTTAAAATGCGAAATTTGATATTTCGAGGCAGTAGACGCCCATTTGCTCTGTAAAATTGGTGTATAATCATAAACGATTCTTGGAAGTTTCCTTTTGTGTATTTTGCGACTTCGCAAAAATGAAGATTTTTGGAAAATTCATAATAAAAAACCCCGAGAAGTCCGTTGAAGATGCTCCTTACCATCAGCTCTCGAAAAGCTTAATAAATGCCAAAATCTCTTCGAAATCAGGCTTTGAGTCTGGATCTTATCGGGATCTCGGTTATAGGCATTCGACAGATCGTGACGATGGCGCAACTGCGCGAGACACGCACGCGCCTTTCGGAAACCACAGTTTCTTGGGTTTCACCTCTACTCCAATAATTTTCAGCTTGTTTAATGTAGTATCTAGACACTGGAAGTGACTGAGCTGAGCGTTGAGCCGATGCCTTTTTGTATGAATGTTTTATGTTCCCGTGCGTGCAGAGACCGCAGTCAAATCCGCCGTCACGATTTTATCAATGACCTATACGTACAAGGTGTCCCAAAAAGATGTGCACACTGTTTGATTGTTAATAACTTTCTTGCTTTCATGTCTTTTGCCGAGCTTGAGGTACCATTCTGTAGAGCGAGGGTAAACTTAGATTTACAGTATGGATGGACTTACCAGCCGCTTTTCATTACTGTAGATTCACGGTAGGAATTTCGAGGAGGATTTTTAGCAATGGAAAGCTGTATTTTGCCTCAGAAAAAAACCAAATAAGCCAAAAACTCTTGAACTGAGTTAATCATAGTCGCTGATTCTAAATATGAAAAGTGCACGTTAGTACAATGTTTCTTTCATGAGTTAATTCAGATTTAGGGCAACAACTGATTTTCTAGTGTTCAGCAGAATTGTGAATACGCCATCAAGAAAGCTCGAAAAACTGATGGAAAGTTATGTAGTGAAATCAGCATGCCTGAAAACCTTGCTACACAATTTTTTAGTTTTTTTTTGAAATTATTTCATCAAAAGGCTTATCCCACAGTGATGCTGTATGCTGAAAGTTCATACCGTAATCCTACAGTAGCAAAAAGAGACTGGAGTTTCGCTTAATACTGTAAATCTAAGTTTATCCTCGCTCTACAAAATGATACTTCAAGCTCGGCAAAAGACATGAAAGCAAGAGAGTTATTAACGATCAAACAGTGGGCACATCTTTTTGAGACACTCTATAAATCACATTTACAAGAATAACTCATACTATCTACTGCTAAGCTGTACTTTCTTCGATGAAGGCAAGCAGTAATTATTTGTTCTGAGAAGGGAATGATCGGAACTTTTTGTGGCCAAGCCAAACCAGATTGTAAACCATTGCATTCGCCTTCAAATGAATATTGCAAATATAATATACCAGTGCATCACCTCCTTCGCAGAGGCTCGCACTGGCCCTACTTTTTGTATGCCTAACTCATTCCCGCATAATAGTGACATTGAAACTCACCGAGCCATGCAGGCTATCACGAATGATTGTAAACAACTACTCATTCCCAGAGCTTTTTGTGTGAGATCGGTATTTTCGCGTGGATGAAACTTTTTCGAGAATAATTAATGCGAATTTGAATTGGTTTTTGGACTTTTTATGACCTGATAGTCACCATAATGACAATAATCACCGTGGACTACACCCCTGTGCAAGAATCTTCTCAAACGATCAGGTAAAATCTTGGCAAATTGAACATTTATGCAACCTATTCTTTTTGGCGCCATTTTCGTAAACTAATCAACTTTAGTCTAATTTTTTGGGTTAACGTCCATGGCTTGCACATTAGCTTGTCAAACGTATCCATGATTTCGCAAAAAGTGTTGGTACCGGCCCAGTTTTGCTGGTCAGAAGCCAAGTGGATCCGTTTGAGGCGCAATTTTCAACGGACCCACTCAACGGATCCGCTCATGTTTTTGCATGGTGGGCTTTCACGCAGGTAGCGTGCGCTATGTAAAATTTGGGCTTAGAACGTTGGCTGGAACACGCTCTACGAAAATGCTAAGATGCTAAATGACTATGTGAAAGGAGTTATGAGCATCGACATTTAATAACTTAACCACTAGTGCAAGAAGTCGTTGAAAAGAGACTTGAGGGTACGTAATTAGAGTGCTTATGAATTTGCAGTTACATGAAAGTAACCCACCGAGCTATTGCTTTTGAAACATACCCCACAGAAATCGTTACAGAATACATTACAAATCCGCATTCTCGCTCACAGTTTCTTTCATATAGTCGTTGAGCAGATAATAAGCATGTATCTGAGATCAGCGCTTCAAGACGAGCACTATTGGTTTGAATTAACCGGACCAATTTATGAGTTTCCTTGTGGAAAATTGTGAGATAACAATTTTTTTCAAATTTTCCTTTCTTTTTCTTTTTTCTTTATGTCATACTAGTTTACGATTTTCCTTAACCACTGATGAGTTCCAGGAAGATCGTATACTTTGCCTAATATCCGTGTAGAGAGTAGGAACGAAATTAGGTATTTTGTTTTGTTTTTGGTTATGGTAAGAATACAAAATTGCAATGACCATCCGAGATGATGTGCATACCAAGTTACTCGTATTGAAATGGTTGAAGCAGTGCACATCGTATCGCACAGATTTTCTGCTTTACAAAAAATGTATTCCGATAACAATGACATACCGAAACGGAAAGACAGATTTTCCTTGACTCAAACGGCTTTGCTGTCGCATCCTAAAAAGCGCTACTCATGTCGCACTTGCCTACATTTCTCAGGTTTTTCCATGGATACCAACAGTTAATGTCACAATACCAAAACTTCAAACGGGTGGCGTAATGCGTTGCTGGGCAACCGGGTGCAGCAGAGAACACCCCGCTCAACTGCGGGTTTCAGTGTTTCGTTCCCATCGCATGAGTTCCACCACCATCCAGCATGTCGAAAGAGAAGCATCGCTCTCGCAGCAAGGAGAAGCAGACCGGAATTCCTTTACCTAACGCTAAGTAAGTGATTATTTCGCACTTCTTTTGATGGATCCTCATAATTACTCATAGAGCTAAGGCTCCAGGGATTGATTTCCACTCTATCCTTCCATTTAATTGTCCAAACTTTTCTTGGAAAAGCCTTAATACGCACTTATATAAAATTATTTAGCTATTTATTTCATATTACATTTGAGGCGCATCGAGGAACAAAAAGATTGTTCAAATAATCTACGGGACCAGCTCAGACAATCGCAAAAGAAGCTCCGGAGCAAACTGAGCCTGTAGACCTTCCGGAGCGGATGCTGCTATTAATCTGTTGGCAAAGCCACACGGCTCATGCCACACGGACCAATAGCAGCATCCGCTCCGGAAGTTTATAAGCTCAGTTTGCTCCGGAGCTTCTTTGCGATTGTTTGAGAGGCAGCCCACATCCTCATGGCGAAAAAGAGAATGAATAGAGAACAGGACACGAAGCTCTAGACCCACCTAGCAAAACAGAAAAAATCTGTAAAAAATAATCTCAGTTTTGCACCCTTACACATGATGAACCCGTTTTTGCTTGTCAGCCAGCCCCCCGGTAAAAGCTAGCTGACCTGAACCTGAGAGTAAATCTGCTTTGAAGGATAGTAAGATGGTATAATGCGTTCCATCCGTATTTGGATTAATGTGGCAGTGTAACTTCTTTCTGATTCTGGTGGTAACCAAAGCTAAATATGGTAAGTCGCGACAAGCATAGGAAAATCAAAAAGGTTTAATACACTGAACATATCCAAAAAATAAATACAATTAATCTTGAATGCTTGAATCGGACTCAGACTTGATTACATTAGTGACTCTAAACTTATGAAGACTGAGATAAATGTTGCTGTAAAATCATAAAATCAACCTTCTCATAAATGGTTGATGCAGATGTAAGGAAATAGCAAATTGCGACCTCATTCAAACTCTGCTGTGTACTTCCATTGGCGATGGCGAGGCGGATGACTTTGCAAATTTTTTCGTTTCATTCAAATTCCAATTCGATTTGACGTGGTGGAATCAGCGTTTTTATCAGCTATCCAGTCAACGGTGTAATTTTCGGAAAGCTGAATCACGAGAGAGAGTTTCAGTAATTTTATTTATTCATTTTCAACTCGAAATCGGAATGAGCACAATCACAGAGTTTTCATAGTAGCTATCATTTGAATATTATGAGGGGTGTGGTGCGGAAGGCGACAATCCTCAAATTTTGTGCCTTTCAAAACTCTTGGTTGCTGAAGTGACACGGCACCAAAGTAGGGGGTAGGGCAGATACATGACTCGATGCCACAAGTAAAATTCTGTAAAAGTTAGCAAGAGCGATTTTACACTGCTTGCATTTTGCGCGCATTGTCGCCTTCCGCGTGCCCCCCCCCCTCCTATTATGAGATGTGTGAGATGTAAGTTGGAATTAGAATGCTTAAATCAAAAAATTAAACCCGCAATTTCGTCATGGCTTGAAGATCTAGAAAAGTATGCTTTAATCTAAATTCTCAAGATTAGTGAACTTCCGGGAATGCCAGAATGAAGTATAGCTGTACCCTAACTGTCACATCAAAAATTGCAATGACCTTTTTTATGTGCTACTAAATGATACATTTTGCAAATGCCTTGGATGATCTAAACATCTTGTTTACACTCAGTAATTCCTGGTTTCAGTAATAACGATTTGATTAAGTAAAAATCTTGCTGAATACCTTTGCATGTCTCTAGTGGCTTCTTTCACAGGTCCAAATTACCTCGGGATGACTCGCAATCTCGTAAAAAAGAGCATTCGCGAAGCAAACGCCACAGCGAAAGGCAGGTTAATAGAAACGAAAACTTTGATAGTTTTCACTGTCTATTAGTAGTCACTATCACCAAGACTCTATGTTTGAAAAGTGCAGTACTTTAGGTCAAGGGACTCTTCAGGAGAAAAAGATAAACATGAGAAAAAGAAGACAAGATCGAGCTCAGAAGCGGACTCAAGGAAGCATCACAGAGTGAGACTAATTAATGCTCTCAGCTTAGAATCATTGAGCCTTGCGATGTTCAATTCTGTTTTTCAGACATCTGAAAAGGACGAAAAACACGATCACGCAAAGAAAGATGGCGAAAAAGAGAAAAAGAAGGAAAAAGAGAAGAGTCGTTCACAGTTGATTGAACCGCCGCCTCTACCTAAACCTAACTTCGATGGATACGATTACGATTTTGAGTACGAGGTAGTTTCAACGTACATAATTTCAAATTACAATTTGCCTTTGTAATTCTTTTTATGGTGCAAGCTGTAATGCATAACCTCCTGTGCCATTTCATAAAATCTAAATGAGAATAAGTAATATAAAAAGTATCCCCATACATATTACGATAAGTTATTCGGAATTTTTTTGGTACAAAGCAGAATTATTCTATTTCCGCGCGTTTTCCACATTTTTTCGACAAATATTGCGCAAGTATCATAACTCATTTCTGGCAAGTTTGTTATCGTACGTAAGTAGATCTCTCGGAAAATCACAAGTTCCTCAATCATATATTTCTGTAGGTCCAAGTATTTAGAGAAAGGAATCGAATGTTTTCTTCCTTGTCCCTTTTTGGTTCTATAACAATCTCAAAGTCTCTCATGACCATAACCAGCATTTAGGTATAGTTACTTCACATATTGCGCACTTTTCAGGGCATTCTCAGCCATTTGAATGAAAGCTTTTTGTTTGGTTTGGAGTTTTTTTTGTTTATTTTTTTTGACAATATCAAGAATTTATCTTCCTTTTTGACTAGTACTGACATGTTATTCCAACAATAAGCTACGCATAGTCTCATTGCCAAAATTTATTTATTTATTTATTTAAATGCACCAAAAAGTGCTCTTTGATCCTGATCGGAACGGTTAGTAACAAACACACTATATCACCATCACATGGTTAATCAAACACACATGAAAAAACACGTATGAACCAATCGTTGGCATGTCCCCTGCAGGAAGCACGGGGAAACTAAGGCACCAAAACTTGTCCCTGGAATTATCTTTGGGTAAGGAGTGGCCAGAGTTGTTACTCTGGTTATTTTGTATTGTGAGTTTTTGAGTTGAAAGGGTTTGAAAGCTCCTTAGAAGTTCTGTAGCTGGGAAAAATTACTAGTAGCAAAGCACAGAACTTGCTAGCCGTTGTAAGGTCAAGAGACACGCAGTCCAGCATTGATTTTTGCATCGAAAAAATTAGGTAATCATGACCCACTGAAGGGATTTCAAAAAGTGATTCTACTATTGTCCTTTGGGTTTCTGCAAAACATTTGACAGTACTATTTGGCCAAATGTGTTCGTGCTGCCTAGATTCCAAAATAATTCGCTGCAGCATCGAAATCATGCAAAATTATGAACTTTTGAGGTATTCGCTTGTGCAGTTTTTTTTCTCTTCAAAACTTCTATATTTGCTCCTTTAGAGAGTGAATCATTATGGTTACTTTCTGCACTAAAAATGGAAAAACTTGTTGATTCGTTACATTATGTTTTACTAGCTGGGTTTCCTGTCTAACCCGGGCCACGTCAGCTGATCCTTGCTCCAGCCCCCTCCCCCCCCCCCCATTATGCTGCGCTACAAGGGATTCCCGGGTCAAAGTAGCTCACTCGCTGTAGGCTCGTCTTGAATCACCGCATCCTTCCTATTGCGAGAATCGAATGAACTCTACCGCTGTTGTTTACACAAAATCATGGAATTGACCTGTTAGCCCATGTGAGAACTCATTCTGATGCCAAAAATCAGTAAATCAATAGAATGACCCAGCGAATTGCTGCAAAAAGTAGCGCTAAACCACCTCCGGGGTCAAATACGTACCATCTATTCTACGACCAAGAGACGCGAGACCGCATTGCGGACATTGTCTTAACAAGTTTAAGTTTGTTCTTCCCTGTTTCCAAAGAGTGATTAAACGTGGACGAGATAAATGGCAAGTATGAACCTGCTAAGTACACGATTGGGCTTGTTTAGACAATGTGTGCAATGCGGTTGCGCGTCTCCTGGTCATAGAATGAATGATACATACATGTGCAAAGTTCCAGCTCACTCGGTTCGTTGGCGGGCGTTTCTATAACGAAAGAACAACTAAACGAACACACTTGCGAAGTTTGTGTTCTATATACATATAGATGGCAAACAGAAGCAGCTTGTTTGCAGGACGACTTCGAAGATGATGAAGATAATGAGAATGGCCAGTCCGAGCGCAGTGAAGAAAAGCTACCAAATGGTATCCCATCAACACCCCCAGCAGTCGAACAGATCGCAGCTTCGATGACGGTAGCCCCCTCAACTCCTCAATCGACGATCAGCGAAGGAGTACATAGGAAGTTTAAGCTGTTGTTATAGTGAAGTCCAGTAATTAGGTTGAGAATGAGAGGAAGATCGAGGTTGCCATGGAACAAACTCCATTACTGAGAAGACTGGCTAGTCGACAGGGTGGACGCCCACCGGAACCTGCTGCGGCACCAAAACCTCTCGTCAGGGTAAGAATTTCCACCAGAAGTAGATGTGTGCAAACAATTCGAGTTGCTGGTTTTATGTGAAAAAGGATTGGGAGGGCGTAGTTTAAAGGGAATGGTCAGAAGTCGAAGTGGCCAATCCAAGCAGGCTGCCCAACATTCGGCAGCGTACAACGCTAATCGAATCTGCATTTCATAACTGCTTAGCGTCTTTGTGGTTCAAGTTACGAGCAGTATTATAGCGGAAAAATCGCATAAAAATTGCAAAACTCAGCACATCGCTGCACTTTTAGCTCACCTTTAGGCTTCAAGAATAAAAAGTAACATAACTGATATGGATCAGTTTCGAAGTCAGCGTTATGCTGCATCTAGTGGTATCTGACCATTTCCTTGTGGGCAACTGCTCAAGCAGGAAGCTTCGATTGAATCGCGATTGAGAATTCTGATTTCAAACTCTAGTCCTGACCTTATAACATACCGTATCCGAGGATGCTCAATGGTCAGCTTCGAAGTGCGGCTTGCTTTGAAGTTTTTGGGAGTTTAATCGTTTCCCAAGAATCGTATCAGATGCTGCTCAATCCGTGGTGTTAAAAGGCTGTCAATCCGTACGCTAATAGAAGCTTCAGTAGCCATATTTACACGAGCATAGCCCAAATCGCTTTCCAGCGAAAATTGCCTTTTAAGTGCTCCATTCTACTATATTCTGGAGAATTCCTATTTCAAAAGATTTCTTTCATGGGAACGTATCGACTTTATCGCCTGCCCCCGTTTGACTCAAACTGTTTGAGATTTTGCAGCAACAATCACGAATTGCATCTGCTGAACGAAGAATCAGTTTCGCAAATGCATCGAGCGTAAACGTCAGTGCTCTCGTACAAGCAGATGAACGATATCGCAAACTTCGACAGCTCATTGGTAAGCAATCCAGTACAAAAGAATGGGGAGGTGAAGAGGAAAGGAAAAGAGGGAAAGTGGTAGAAAACATAATAATTCAAGCTCATAAGCCATCAATTCCCCGTTTGATGGTACGAAACTACTGAAATAAGTCGTGAAGTAAAGAAGAGGTTAAAAAGGAGAAAGGAAGGGAATTTTTTGTGGAGAATAGCTGTTGTTAATCAATGTTGATTCTCCAAAATTTGCAATCTCTTTGACAAAAAACAATAGGTGTATGCTTTGTTACGAAACAGAACTTTTTGACCTATTTCGCTTACATCTTTTGGATACCTCGAGTTCCCATGAAAAGCTCCACAATAATCCAACCAAATTTCCCCGTCCTTTTGAAAATAACAGCAGGTAGTACATGATTTTCACTCTTCGAGTCATCGATATACTTACAAAGCTGTCGGATATGCAAGAGTGTGTGGGCTGACAGTTTGGGGCAATTTTTCAAGAATTTGATGAAAATCTATTTTCATATTTGACCTTACACCTTGCTATGTACTTCGACGATAAGTTGTGTAAAGCATTCTGAAGAAATTGCTTTGCACATTTGATTTATAAATGACTTCATAATCGTAGTTCAAAGGGACTGAAGAAAGGTGCAAAATGATAGGGCCAAAATCCTGTAATCAGTAATTTATTCAGAACTAATTTTTGCTGTCATAATGGGTTATTGCGGTGCTCTGCAACATTCCGAAAGAATAATGCTCACTGGGCTTGAATGCCGCAGCTGTCAAAATTAATGTGATAATTCCAGTTGCTATGAGTTTCAAACAAATTTCCAGTTCTGGAATCTGTGCCAATCATTCACTTGGATAACCCGCCAGTCAAAGATTATGATTTCTACATGGAATTGTTCGGACAGTCTGGGAAAAGCCAAGTTAGTCTCTTTGATGAAATCTTGAAAACCCGCTGAGGTTTTCTCCAATGTACTTTCTTGCTTTAGTCGTCAACGCAGACTGGAGACGATGATCTCAACGAGGAAACCCAAACTGAGGATTCTCTTAATGAGACGAAGTGGACACAACATCCAGCTCAAGTGAGTTAACTACATAGAACCCTTTAACCTTTTGGCATTCATTATTAAGGACGATTTCGGATGGGGAGCAGAAAGCAGTTCTGTGAATTTGAATACGAGAGAGGACGAAGAAATGGCAATGTTCCGCGAGAATCACTTGCAGAACCCACGTTTGAAGCAGTTTATGGAATCAGCTGGGCAGGTCAGCTCACATAATCACAAATTTTCCCGAACATTAGACATCGTAAAATCTACAGGCTGTTATGGATCTGATTTCCTCAAGGCACAAGTCGTCAAATGCAACGATGATGCGTCAAAAGTCTGCTCTTTCCTTCAGTTCCGGTTACAATTCTTATGAACTTGGACCCATCTCTCAGTGTAGGTGTACTTCCTTCACATTATTTTCTGATTATTTTTTGAAGGCTATTTACGCATCAATATCATCAATATACGCATAGGATATTTACGCATTTCTGCCTGATTAGAGCGTGCAAGTGAGAGTTGTAAGCAAATTTAGCTTGATTGGTAGTACCATCAAGAATATTATTGAATATGGTGGATGTAATTATGTAGGAGAATTTTTTCTTTCCACATAATTTTGTGAACCGGGCTTGCAAAACGGAACTGTTATGCTAGTAGATGAAAGTGTTGTCTTGCTGCTTCTCTGGTTTAATTCATGTGATCTAAAATTGCGATTTTTTCATTACACAAATTTGAACCTACAGAGCACAATATGATTTTCTCGAACAAGTAGCCAATGCTTTTGGCATCCATCGAGTCATATTCTTGTCGTGAATGCATTGTAACGGAAAAAATTTGGGTTAAAAAAGTAATTTTTCGAGATTTTATTATTTCAAAATTCAATTACGCTTCCATTGATTACAAATGTGTAATTTATTTTCTGCCCAGTCCTCTTGAATGGGTACCGGCAATGTGTGAGAAAATGATTATATCCATATTTTTGCAACTGAATTTGCATGAGTTTAAACAAAATGCAAAACAAGTTTTGTCGCTAGTACCTATTACTTCGTGTCGTGCGAATTTTTATTTCAACTTCTCATGTTGTTCATTAGTTGACGCTTGCGTTTTCGAACACATCATTGTTGAGTTGAGGAAATTAGATGGATGAGAATGCAAAGTGAAATTACTGCTTGTTTGCAATCTCGATTTCATTTAACATGTTTTTCAGCCAGCAGAGTTGTATCGATAGCGCTGAATCCAAGAACACCGGAAATACTTCTTGTTGGTTTTTTCATCAAGGAATCTCCAGCGGAAGATCTTCTGAGCCGCACACTTCTCGTGGAGTTCTATTTGGAGAATGAGCAACCTCCAAAAAGGTGCTTGGGCATTCTAACATTCTTTCCTTCTTATGATGCATTTTGAGGTTGTACCTGTCCGAAGGAGAAGTAGCATGCACCTGCTACACACCCGATGGCACAGCTTTGATTGCTGGAGTGGTTAGTTTTTTTCATAATTACCTAAAAACTATTTGAAGCTAAATAACAAAAATTCACACAACAATGTGTATTAGAAATTTTCAGTTGAATTTTTCAATTCATTTCAATCTTAGATCGTCTATTTCTATGATGTACATCAGGTATGAGGAGTAAGATCAATTTACAATAGGAGTTACTTTACAATCTAAACAACTCTTTAATATGATCTAATAAGAACCAGATCTTTTTCAATTCTTGCATCAGTATCCTCACGCTCTCCCTTTCGTGCTCAGAGCATGGGACTTCTTATAAGCTTTAAATTTTTCGTGAAAACTGTAGAGAGAAAACCATCTGAGATTTCACATCTAATCCTCTCTAGTCGTCGTTATTTTTCTATAGTGCTTTTCATGATAGAATGATGGATCCATGGAAGCGTACGATCTCCTTGAACCGCCATATTCATTTACAACTACGATGCCTTGGATGGGTAAGCGAACAATTCGTCTTTTTTCCTAGAGTACTAAGTGCATTAAGTAAGTAAGTGTATTACTTATCATTGATGAGTCGAAGCACAAGAGTTTCATTTAAATTTCCAGACAGTCTCGATGACATCCCATTACGTTCACCATCGTACGACTCATCTTTTCTGAGCTCTGCACTTTCAGACGGAAAAACCCATCCTATAATTGATGTTCAGGTTTTGGCCAAGGAGAATGAGTGAGGAGTCTAGCTTTCTTACGGATACAATTCCGAACAATTCTTTTGCTTATGCATTTTACTATAAGGTTGGCCCAAAAGTTCTGTCGTTTCATTTTCAAAAATTTGTAACTTTGCGCTATTTAAACGGATTTGCGTGCTTATAATTTTATTAGAAAGAATAGGTCTTTCGCTTTCAAAAGCTTTTTTGCGAAGCTTCTGTTTCTCACTGGGTGCGGAGATAAAAATGGAAAACTAAGACTATATGAGCTTTGACCATAATAAGTTAGGTCACCATAAATCTGGAACGCTGCAAAAAAATCTGAAATCATCCGTACATATGTTATTTGGTCTACTCTTTGCAACTGTAAAGAGTTTGTGCTGTTTGGACGTCTCTGTGAGAAGTTATGATTTTCGCGAAAAAATGACAAATTAATTATTATAACTTTGGCGTTTTCCATAGTAAACTCGATATTCATAACTTCTCACAGAGACGTCCAAAGAGCACAAGCTTTTCATAGTTGCAAAGGGTAGGCCAAGAAACATATTTGCTGACGATTTCAGATTTTTCTGCAGTATTCCAAATTTTTGGGACCTAACCTAAATGGTCAAAGCTCATATGGTCTTGGTTTTCCATTTTTATCTCCGCACCCAATGTGAAACAGAAGCTTCGCAAAACAGCGTTTGAAAGCGAAAGACCTATTCTTTCTAAATCACAAGCAAGCAAATCCGTTAAAATAGCGCAAAGTTCTCAAATTTTTGAAAATGAAACGACGGAACTTTTGGGCCAACCTAATATTAGACTTGTTGCACACATGCAAATTTTTGAAGTAGAATTTGATAAAGTTACTTTATCATAAATTTTGCTTCTGACAGCATGAGCAATTGTGTCTTGTAGACACAGCTTGGTGAATCTTAAGATAATTATCTTAGAAAATCTATTCTATTTTGGCGCTCCAAGATTGAAATTCGACAATGCCCTAACCTGTAGAATTAATAGGAAATATTAGGTTGATGCATAATTCCTGCACCAAAATAGGTACAGACCGCAATAACTCGGAATAATCCTAATCTCAAGTAGGATTCGATATAGCATTAGATAGAGCAAACCTAGCTCTACAAGATAGTGTTCAAATATCTACACCAGCTTTGATCCAAGAGAAGTTTTGAGCCAAAAACTGAAAAAAACCATGCGTCCGAAAACCTTAAGACAGATCTTTAAAAAATTGTAACTTCGTTCAAAAAGCTCATACAAATTTTCTTTCTTGCTCACGCGTAGACGTTCCACGTAAGACATTTATCTATGCGGTTGCTGTATTTTTTTTCTCAACTAGACGATGAGAAAACGAAGTTTTTCATGTTTTTTCCAAAACAATGCTGAGATGTTCTAGCACTGACAGTTGTATACTATAGGACCTTAGAAGCGTGAATGTGAATTTTCAGCTCTTTAAAGCAGCTGGTTTACGAGAAATATCGGATTTTTAGCAACTAGGCAAGAAAAATTTGGATAAGGAGAGCTAGATTCGTTATTTCTCGCGAACTAGCAGTTCTAGAAGGCTGAAAATGTAAAGTTTCACTGCTAATGGCATGTACTATACAACTGTTAATACTAGAACATCTCAGCACTGATTTGGCAAAAACATGAAAAACTTCAAAAAACTTCGTTTTCTCATCGTCCAGTTGAGAAAAAAAATACAGCAACCGCATAGATAAATGTCTTACGTGGAACGTCTACGCGTGAGCAAGAAAGAAAATTTGTATGAGCTTTTTGAACGATGTTACAATTTTTTTAAGATCTGTCTTAAGGTTTTCGGACGCATGGTTTTTTTCAGTTTTTGGCTCAAAACTTCGCGTGGAACAAAATCGGTGTAGATATTTGAGCACCATCTTGTAGAGCTAGGTTTGCGCTATCAAATGATATATCGAATCCTACTTGAGATATAGGATTACTCCGAGTTATTGCGGTGTGTACCTATTTTGGTGCAGGAATTATGCATCAACCTAATAGATTGATTTGAAAGATGATGTTTTCTGTTCACGTTCATGACTGTTTTTTTTTGAGTGCTGTGGAACTCGAAATTTTTATTTTTCTCTGTTAGTGTGTACGAAAAAACGGAAATGCGGAGTCAGTCATGAATTAGATTTCTAGCTCATCGTTCCAAGTGGTGTCGCTCGAGCAGTGTGGGTCCCTAACTCTCTGGGCATTAGCCAGGGACTCTGCAGAGCGGCCAGGAGTCCGTCCAGAATCCCAGCTTTCTCTGCAGCTGCTCTCGCTGATTCGCCCCGATCCTTTTGTACTAAGGTAAATAACTCCCTGAGCTTCTTTGTTGAAAAAATTTTTCCAGGGCTTCATCGGACCCAACCCCACTTCTCGCTAACTGCATGATAACTCGAGCTGATCCACAAATGTTTTTGATCGGTTGGTTAACCTAGCTCAATCTCGTTAAGTTAGAGCCCCAAATTTCAGGAACCGATGCGGGCTTTCTCTGCAATTTATCGAGAACTAAGGCATCATCTCAGCGTGGGCCGCGCTTGTTCGATAGCAAAATGAGTGGGTCATCTGTTTATTTATGCCACTTTCCACTGGTGGAAATTTTGTTATCAGAATTATCTCCATCCCTTTCTGTGTATAACAAAATTTTCAAACAAAATACAAGGGGTCGTTTTAGATGCTCAGTGACCTATATCACCTTTGAAAAGCTTTTGACCGAAAGTATGTGGCAGATGCGAAATTCTTCAGACTTCGTCGAAGCACAGATTTTGTCAAATGAAAAGGCTACCCTTGAAATGGAAAAAAGCTCCAAAAAAGATGCTGGAGTCATATAGTACTTGTGTGAACTACTTCATAACTCTCAAAGATTTGGTAATCTCAAAAAATGGCGAATTACCAACTTTTGCTATCATTCTTGGCAACTGCAGTGCAAAGCAGAAAACACGACGCCTCAAACATTTCTCTTGCAAGGTTTTTGTTCAGATACAGGCTGAATGAGAGCGAGTGACAGTTTTTTAGAAAGAAGGATTACCAAAGTTGCTTCTTTTCATAAAAGTGCTTTTTCCTGAGACTCTTGAGCTTATTACATGATTTTTTTTGCTCTGTGGATGCAGTCGATATTTTTCAGATGTGTTCGGAGAAGTTCTTTGCGCGAAAGCATCACCATTTGAGGAGTCCATTATTTTGGTGAGTTATTCGTTTGCTGTGTCTAATTTTTGTGCACATATAAAGAGTCTATATTGGCTGTGAGGCTGAAATACACCAAACTCGTTACGTGACCTTTACTACCTATTAAAATCTATTTGTTGTGTAATCATGCATTCATGCTTCCAGGTGGGATTCTCCTCAGGGTCCCTTGCCTTGTATCGCTTGGGACAAATAAATCCAGCTACCGTTATAACACCTCCATCGAGTTCACGAAAAGCTGTGTCGTCAGTGGAATGGTCTCCAGTGTATGCTAGTATCATTGTCATTGAACAGATGAAGTAATGCCAATCACTATAGATCACAAAGTATTTTCTATTCTGTTCACGGGTACAACCGTCTGCTCACTTGGGACCTATCGATGGGACGCACTCCACAAGCCGTCAGCGATTTATCTCAGCAGGTAATCAGACTATGTAGTTTGCAAAGAAAAATAGCTTAAAATTTTTTGTAGATTTCTTCTAAGGTGGTCATCACTCGAATTTGGTTGCAAAAAAGCGAGACTCCTGGAAGAACTGGCATTGCTTTTATGGTGAGTCGCTTTTTGCTTCGAAAGTCTTGGAAAGTTTGTGAAGTGTTCTTGCGTTGCCTACAACGTTTGCGCGTAAAGAACAGTCGTCGGCAAAAAATACAGAAATGAACATTTTTACGCCTAACTGTTGTCGACACCGCAAAGGACCCTTTTAGCCGCCATTCTACTAAACTGCCTTTTCAGGCACTGGGTCTAAGTTCGGGTATGATCGAAGTACACGCATTGGAAACAGCAAGAGCAAAACGAGAAGGAAATTTACTATCAATAATCAAATCACTGGACGAGTAGTTGAAGATCGCCAAAGATTTAATGATAAGAGTAAATGTTTGAACTTCAATTCAATCGCAGTGAAGGTGCTTTAAGAGTAGAAGAAAATACGTGAGAGTAGAATAAATGGAGAAAACATTCCAGTATTTCATGAGGTAAGGGCTGTGCTACTTTTTATATTCTCCTTTGCCGTGCGATCGCTGTGTTCTGTTTTCCATGTTTGGTCCAGCGGTAATAAGTGGTCCGTAACCAACTGCTCTTTGAACTTTGCAGTGCGATCGCTGCGTTCGGTCTTCCATGTTTGGTCCAGCGGTAATAAGTGGTCCGTAATGGGCTGTTGGCTAATCTTAGCTGGTATTCCTTCTGAAGTAATCTGAGGAGGCTTTTGTTCCGCCTTTACTTTATTTTTTGGAGATGACAGCTGTAAAAAATCTGATATGAATTATTCCCGACGCAATCCTCCAAAAACCATTTGCTGTTGGGGACTCTTATCAACAAGCTATTTACGAAACAAAACTATCCGGTGTTTGGCTCAGCGTGATTGCAGAATGACTTTATGGGAGCATTTCGCTTTTCCTTTTACATATGCATTGTACAAACTTACCGAGGCTAAGGCTGCATTCAGTTCCTCCGAGAGCGATTTTTCCGGACTAAAATTCTGTTGAAAAGTGTTGAAAGCATAATAAATGGAATCAAGCCAAAAAAACTCACTACTGTGTTCTTTCGATACTTTTCCTGTAAATGACATTTGTCGAGATGCATTCAGTTAACGATATGATTTGTTGAATTATGAACTTACACTGTGTCGTGCTTCTTCTTAGCTTTTGTTTCCTTTTTCTTATCATTTTCAATCTAAAACCATAACATAATTCTATATGTGGCTGACACTATACATATCATGCATTTGAGTGGCTACGTATGCGAACATTCGCTTTCAAACATGGAGCTCTCAAAGAAATATTAGGTTGTTACATAAGTCTTGTTACATTTTAATTTCTTACGACGACAAGTCATGGACCTCATAATTTTAATAGGGCTTAAGGATACCATTCGATAGAGCAAAGCAAGCTCTACAAAATATTGTGCAAAAGTTTGCCCCAACTTCGACCTACTTTAATTTGCAAAAAAGCCTACGAATCTCCAACTTGCTCATAAAAGTTGCACACTATATCAGATACTCACATGTACCGTTGCTATATTTTTTCCTCATCTAGAAATCGAGAAGGAAAATTTTTTAGTTTTTACAAAAACGAAGCTACGCTGTTTCTATTCATGTAGCTGTATACTATAGTAGAGTATACTATAGTATAGCTTGTATACAAGCCCTTAGAAGTATAACCGTAAATTATCAGCTTTCCAGAAGCCCTAGTTTTCGAAAAATATCGAATTCAGCTTTTTTCACTCGAGTGTTCAATGCTAAATTGGGTAATTTTTGAAAACTAAGGCTTCTGGAAAGCTGACAATTTATGGTTATACTTATAAGGGCTTGTAATATACAGCTACATGAATAGAAACAGCTTAGCTTCGTTTTTGTAAAAACAAGAAAATTTTCGTGTTCTTGATTTCTAGGTGAGGAAGAAATACAGCAACGGTACAAATGAGTGATATAGTGGGCAATTTTTATGAGGAAGTTGGGTAGGATTTTTCTGAACAAAGATATAAATTTTTCGCAATTTTTGGGCCTTCACTACGACTCAGATTTTAGATGCAAAGTTACAATGGGTTGGTGCGAACATTTGCACACAATTTTAGAGCTTGCTTTGCCCTATCGCATAGTATCCTGAAGCTCTGTAAAGAATATGAGGTGCATGACTTATCGCCGTTAGAAGTTAAGTGTAACAAGACTTATGTAACAACCTAATACTATCTGAAATTTTTACAGATGAGTTGGTCTTCAGAACAAGTCCGCTCTGCAAAAGTTTTCTCCATTATAACTATCCTAAAATTCTTGTCAGATGACTTCGAAGTCGTCTTATCTGCACCGGACTATCTTTAGACAGTCTTATCTGCTGGGAGGCTTTCTTGTGAACTGGATACAATGATATATTGATTTTGTATGCTGCATACAGTTTTCAGCCTTCGTAGAAATGTAAACTGCTCGTTTTCGCACTTAATTTCTCTTTGGTTTGATTTTTTTGTTCTGTACACACTTTTCTTTGAAAAAATTGGAGGGCAAATCTGCTTTGGAAGCGAGGACTATATGCTTGTGCTAGATTTTCGGTAGTGAAGGCACACTACTAAGACTCCACCCTAATAGGGTTCTCGAGCTTTTGACAGCATACGCTAGTAGGACCCCCTATCAAGCCACCATCCAAGTCATGGAGCATAGTCTCGCTTCGGAAGCGAGGAAATTGCACGGGGCCCTAAGAGTGGCACCGCCCTCTCCAGTAGTGCCCGTCTATCCGCGCCTGCTCAACTAATCACCATTCGCTCCGCAGCCCCGCATGTTCTCCGAAACTGGATTTTTGAGATCTTCGCGAATTCTCGACTTTATTCGAAATCAAAGACATGAGAAGGCCCCGGGATAACAACAAAAAAGGAAATCGAGAACCTGGGTGGGTGCTGCCTTCAAAGGCAGCGTCCAGGCAGATTGAAAGCAGTGTGAGAAGATTCTGGAAATTGCTGTGAGGAAGTTCATTTGCTTCCAGCTTGGATATGTTAGAGAAGTGCAAAGCTGAAGTCCGAAGTGCAACTTCGGTAAAGTGCAATGAAGGCGGTCAAGTATATGAATGATTAGAGGCTTTATAGCCTCAATATCGCTTTGCCAAATCTAGAATCGACAGTTCTGCTCATCTTTACTGTTTCCATTGGGTTACCTCGTGATTTCTTTGAGAACATGATGTGGAGCTGCTGGGAATTAGCTAGCAACAATATGATGGCATCGACTACTCTAGATTTTTGCTCCGATGCTCAAGTCGCCAAATGTCCTGCGAGATAGATTTCTCGGTTTCCAAACCATATGAGAGCTGCAGAATCTCCTATGCATCGGTTCTAAGAGTGTAATACATGCAAAAGTGTCTCGAAGCCAAATAGCGGATTTATAGGTACGAAGCAGTCCGCCCAGAGCAGTTGTTCGAAGGCTACGTAACTACACACATAAAAGGCTTTTGAACCCAAGAGGTACTCCGGGAGATGGGGGGGGGGTAGAAGTGACGGGCTTATGATTTTGCCAGGCTTTAACCTCCCTCATTCTGAATTTTCTATTCATTTTTGGATAATCAAACAAAAACGAGATCTCTTGTTACTGATAGTAGGTGTAAAAACATCGCTGAGCCAAATGAATCAATTCATTGGTAATCAGTCATGTTACGGCGTCTTTTAGGGTTCATAAAGGCAGCGTCCGGGCAAAATTTCGCCTCTCATGTTTTTGTCGCTCTAGGGCCTTTCCGTGGCCCTGATTACAGTTATAAAGTTCAAATTGTCCAAAACCTTAGGAATCCAATTACCAGGGACCGTGTTTTGAGGGCGCGAACGAGTTTCGGGTTGTTTATCCTTCCGGCTCGCCACCGAGGAGGAGCTGCAACTGCATGAGTGCAGTTGCAATCCATGATCGATCGATGCGTGAGCACACGTCCTCAGGGGGAGGTTTGTGATACGAGGGGCGGTTTGTGATACGTATCACAGGCCCGTATCTCCTTTTAGAGGCTCGAAGGATCGGACCTACGCAGATCGGATACTCATGGAGCTCGCTTTACAGCTATGTGCTGATCTGGGCGGATGGATCTTGCCCGGACGCTGCCTTCAAGGTGGACCTATAAACTGGTCAGCACTGCATCACATATTTGTACAGAACTCGAAAGTTCTAATTCAGGTGAAACGGCAAGCGCAAGTGCCGAAAAGACTTCTGGTAGCCTTCGCATCGCAGTGGGTATTACTTGCAATGAGGTTGGATAAGTTGCTCACCTCCGATCGCAGTACAGAGTTGAGTTCTTCGGATAGTGATCTCTCTGGGCTTGAACAAATGTATTATTGCTCTATACAGTCCAAAGAAACAGTAGTAACCTACCACTGCGTCCTCATCAGCTTCAGTAGCTTCTTCTTGCTAAAAGTCACATCACCTTTGTTTTTGCAGAATTGGAAAAAAAGGAAAAAAGGTGCCGCAGTGCTTTTATCATATACAATCAAAAAAATCTAGCTCGTTTTCAAGCAATACACATACAAATTCAATTATGCATCGTGCGGTACTTGAATAGCAAACTAACGTTGGCCCGCTTTCCTCATCAGAATATTTCGAATGCTTCTCCTTCTTCACTATAGCGTTGTTTCCCTCCTTGATTCTTTCCTTACTTGGTTTTTGCTGTAACTATGTAAATAACATTTTGTAGCCTCCTGGACTCTTATCTTCGTTTTACAGTGGCGAAAAGGTATGACCTGTCCTTTAGAAATATTCTCATATGTACCATCAACGTGGCGCCTTTCGATGGTTTTAACACGTTGACTTCAGCAAATTCAAGGCGCTTATTCGAAGTTGTTATGTTGAAACGATCGAAAGGCAGCCAGGCTGATGGGACCTATGGGAACATTTCTTGACAGACGATAAACTGCAGCGCAGAGCAGGGAAATAAGTGAGCATGACATTCATGTATTCAATGTATTCATGACAAACGGTTGTATCGTGCTGTGCATGTTAGGTACGTAATGCAGTATATTGACGGATCACAAAACATTAATAATCTCTGATTCTAACCACTTCTCACGCTCGTAATCCCACTGTGAGATGGCAGTTTATAGTAAGCAAGCATTACCAATGATTATCCAATCAAAACTTTTGGCCACGTTCATTTGAATGTGAATTTGTGAATATATATGCGAGGGTACTGATGGTAAGAAATCATGGGTAACCTGTCATAGGTGAGAACGCAACACACAGAGCACCTCTTCATTTGAGGTCAATTCGTGGAGTATTGGTTCTTAAACGACACGCAACAGTTTTGCGAAAGGACTACTTGTCTGCGGGGCGGTCTAAAATGGCGGTGCTCCTCACTATACCCACCCGTCATACTTTGTTGTAAAGCGCCCAAGCGCCCACGCTGATAAGCGCTAAAATGTTAAACAGTCTAGTATGAGGCACGCTAAACAGATTAGTATAAGACATTCGTTACTAATAATGGAAAATGAAAATAGTTTTATATACGATGAATTGAGTTGTAAAATTTTGGGTACAAAGAAGTGGCGAACGAAATTTTATCCATGTTCGCGTTCAATTATGATAAACAGCGAGTGCATCAGGATGTTTTAGACATAATGACATAATGATGTGTGGTTGCATAGGTCAAGCCCGTGTAAAGGGATATCAATTGCAAACTGACAAAATTGCAGGCGCGCCATGGTCCACTATTCACGGAACTTTAAATGATATTCATTATTCTTTTGGGGAATTCTGCTACATCGTGTGATCCTCTACCAAGGGTAAAAGTGAAATGACATCAACTATCAAGAATAATTTTTCCTTGTTTGCATGGCTGATATGTATTATGCATTGCACTCTTGTTTTGTATGAGGGCATGTGTTGTTGCTTTTTTTTTCAGCAAATGACCAAGAGAATGTGTATTTGTAGCAGACAGGTTGTGTGTTTTTAGCATGGATATCACTGATGCAGTGGCAGCAGGATGTAGATCTGTACAGTGCTGTACACAGCGCTGTACCGGAGGCATACCCGTGCAGGTGGCGGGAGACATACTTAGTCGCCCCTGAAGGTTTCCGCTCGCTCTCCCTAAGCGGGGGCAGCGCTGTAAAGGACGGACGGCGAGAGGCACGATCGCTGCTTCGTGCGGGGACTTCTGTCGCTATCTGATGCTATTAGGTGATTTCCAGCGTTTTCCAATCGGCCAAGAATGAGCGGCATTCAACCGAGAAGCGAAAATGAGAAAATTTTATCGTTATCATTGTAATGCTCTCGTTCACTTACTTCATTCGTTTTAGAATGTATGTGCCAAAAATAAAGAGAGGATGTGGTTGTGCCAATCAGACAACACTGCACAGGAAATTTTTGTCTATGTCCAAACGAACTCGTCTTTATACGAACAAGAGGTCGATTGTGTCGTTGATTCGTTGACTGCACGGACTGCTAAAACGCTGTGGACGGCGCGCGGCGCGGCTGAATTGTCGCGAGAGTACAATGGCGAATGTGTATCGGGTCTAGCGTTTTACATCGCGGCGCGTGCCCCGCAGTGTTGTGCAGTCCGTGCGGTCAACGAATCAACAACTATACCACATCTGAAGCTTTTTCGTTTAACGTTCATACGACGTTCAAGCCAAAGTCTTCAGAAGTTGTTTTGAGTTTTTTAAAGTGTCGCGGATTGGGCCCCCAGCTCCCAACGTCAGTGATATCGTGGCTCTCCTGCATCGGTAGGAGTTAGGGGTCCTCTCCATGAAGAGGGTGCAACGTAAAATGTGGTAGCGTTACCTGTGAGAATGCAAATTCTGCCTGCAACATAACATGTCATGCGCATATAGGGGCCCTTGCCACCAGCCTACTAGATGACTTGACACATGCGACTCGAATCATACTCCCAACCACCGACAGTAGGGGCACGATACTTATAACCGAGGCACTGCCGCGGATCGTGCCTGCCTTTTAACAGATCTTTCCCAATGGGCTTGATTATAAGATACACATACATATTGATGACACCAGATATTCCCGGAGCCACAGCCGAGCTGTAGCCCATCGCATCAGAACAAATCACACTTGTAAAATGCCCACCATTTATCCGCAACTAATCCCTATACTCAAACACAAGGGATGAGCACAACCAGCCAGATCTTAACACATTGACGACCATGCAGATTTTTAGTTGTCTGCCTTCTGGGACCAACCTTTTACGGACCAGCCCGTATTTTTCAGCTATAGTTACGCATACTGCCATCCACAATACACCTACAGTAGATCTGGAAGGCTGAAAATCGGTAGAGATTACCCCTAAACGCAGTGCAGAAGAAAGCTCCTGGAGTGTGTTAATCAAACTATAGTAGTTGTTTTAACAAGATTCAAGCCTTGACACACATGGTGTGTCAAGCGATCCCACGCGGTAGTCATTACTTGACACACCATGTTGTCAAGTGGTCGTCAATGTGTTAACCTAGGGGCCTGCAATATCGAAACCCCCCCCCCGAGGCGGTGTCGCCGGCGTGTGCCAGGCGCGAGCGCGCTCGGGGTTACCTCGGTGCCAGTCTCTTCCGTGGCGTTGATGGAGCAAACGCGTAAGTTGGGATGGCGCTGGATCGATCGATGCTTGAGACGAATTGGAACCCGACCGCTCACGATGGCGACAGCAGTGAAGAGTGACTACGTGACTTATTTAAACGCTGCACAGGTGAGAGAGGTGAGAGGAGGGACAGCACGAGGACGGCATTTTGGAACCCTTCGCAGCGCGACGGCGGCCTCCTTCAAAGGAAGACGCGAATCCGCGACAAAAGGCTTTATTTATTTCATGGATGCAGGCGTTGCATGCACGACAGCTTGTTTTTTTTAAAAACTTGAAATGTTCCATATCGTGCGAATGCAGTAATTTTTCATTTCTGAGATACCTCACCTCTTCAAGTAAACTTATTTCCTTTGATCCCTGAGTTTTAGTGCAACCTAGTGTCGCTACTTGTGTGTCCTGAAACACAAAAGGTACATGGTACTTTATGAAAAGCCGCTTGCATTTTATGCGATCTAAGGAAAACGTGGTCTTACGCGGCCTGGATCTCGGAGTTTTGCGAAATTTGGGGTTCGTAACTCTGCGGGTAGCTTGTGTCCTTACGATATGACCATATGATATCTCCCATGCAACACTGCGCGAAATGTTGTCAATCGCTCGCTCATCCTCCCAATTTTGACCCACATTGAATGAAACATCGGAAAAGAAGAGAACCGCTTCCTTTCCTTTCTTCACAGATGTTGATGTTGCAATGAGAGAATAACATTCAAGATTCATTCCGTTCCTATCTTTAGAAAAAGCTTTGAGTTCATGCGCTCTTCAAAAAGGAAGGATGGCGACGGACAGAAATAAATCATCTTAGATTGTATTTGAGATGATGGTGAGCATAGGTGCGATATTCTGAGAATTTTCTCACCCCCTCTTCACCACTGAGCCGGGACCAAGGTGAACCAAAAGCCGAGAAAAAAATCAACGGTGAGGTAAGGTCAAGCAAAGGAGATATTTGTACGTGAATGGTTTATGTACAGGAATGGAGGAGTCTGTTGAAAAAAGTGTTTGGTGACGGGCGTGAGTAGTGATTTCTGGACATTTTGGAGTTTTTAACATAAAAAAGTTCATAACTTTTGTAGACGAACATCTTTTACGGCGAGATGGTCACCGTTGGAACCGTATCGTCCTTCGCTTTCAGAAAGCATATAGCATACCTGAGATCCATTCAAGAAAGTGCGTTGAAGGGTGTGCCGTGATTTTTAGGAATTTTCGAGTTTTTAACGTAAAAAAATTGATAAATTTTGTAGATAAACATCTTGTACGCCGTAATGGTCACCATTGAAACCGCCTCGTCCTCCCCTTTCAGAAAATAATACTTTCCTGGAGTCCGTTGAAATAAGTGCCTGGGTGAAGGGTGTCCTAGTGATTTCTGGAGATTTTTGAGTTTTTAACATGAAAAATTCGTGATTGTAGATGAACATCTTGTACGCCGCGATGGTCACCACTAGAACCGTCTCGTCCTCCGCTTTCAGAAAATTTATACTTTGCCTGGCGTCCGTTGGAAAAAGTGCCAGGTGAAGGGTGGTTGAGACTTTTATAATGGGAGTGCTCAAGTAGACGTCTTTTCACGATGGTAAAAAAGCCTCTTCTTGAGCACTCCAATTACAAAGGTCTCAACCACCCTTCACCCGGCACTTTTTTCAACGGACCACAAGCAAAGTATATATTTTCTGAAAGCGGAGCGCGAGACGGTGGCTATTTTCGTGTACCAGCTATTCATCTACAAAAGTCATTAATTTTTTTATGTTAAAAACTCAAAAACCTCCAGAAGATCACTAGGACACCCTTCACCCAGGCACTTTTTTGAATGGATCTCAGACATTTCATATACTTTCTGAAAGCGGAGGACGAGACGGTTCCAATGGTGACCATATCGGCGTACAAGATATTCATCTTCAGAAGTTACGGATTTTTATATCCTAAAAAGTCGTAAATATTCAGAAATCACTAACCACACTCTTCACCAGGCACTTTTTCAACAGACTCCAGGCAAACTATATATCCTCTAAAAGCGGAAGACAAGATGGTTTTAAAAATTTTTCTTGCTGACGTTGTTGTTCATCTACAGGAATTACGAATTTCTTCTTTAACGAAATTCGTAAATGTTTAAAAATTGTTTAATTTCCGAAACAAATGTTCTAGCATGCACATCTTCTATGGTAATTCCAAAAACAGGCAGGATGATGTAAAAAAGAAAAAGAAATGTTTAAAAAATACAAAGTGCTGGTCAAAAATTGTATGCTAATCCAGCAGCACATCGGTTCACATTTAAGAAAAAGATAACCAGTGATGCTAAGGAATAAATTATGAACTTTGACTAGGAAAAATGATGAGAAAATGCCATGGCTCCCCCCCCCCCCGTCGACATTTTATAATTTCTCTACCAAGTGAAACACCCTTCACCCTGGAGGGGCTGCACTATGACCCTCTTCACCCTGGAGGAGTCATTCTCACCTTATCGCACCTGTGATGGTGAGTTCGAAATAGAAGTTGAGAGGCAGATTCAGGATTGTTGTGTATGAGAAATGTAGTATGTATTTCGCAACACATCAGGAAAAAGAAATGTAGACCTTTATTCTGATGAAGGTATTGGCTGTTCCATAGTTCACTTACCAAAATCCCCTACAGTCAATCTGACTCACTGGTATCGAAATCGATGTTTACTACAGGGTGGCCGAAAAGTATGGGCATCACATTTTACGTTTAATGATTCTTCATAGCAAACAAAATTCTGTAAGATTATTTCTGCATGCCAGAAACATAGGTATCTTGATGTGTTAATCCTGCAAGACTGGGTTCATGCACATGCATACAGACTTTAGCAGCTTACCTTGAACTTGATGCGTCAAAAATTCTACTCGAAGAATGCACCCATTGCGAATCCGTTGAAAAGCCCAACTATCAATCGAACAGATTCTAGACCTGATTTTTTGCATAGCACATTTCAAGCATAACATAGTGCTGTGACAGCAAAAAATTCTCCTCTCCAAAATGAGATACAGTACTATAAACATGGTGCTAACTGAGCGCGCCGCAGCAAGAAAGTAGACTCAGGCGTCCCGTTTGCATCAGATGAATTCAGCTCGCCTGCTTTTTACTTATCTTAATATAGAGACTGTCCATAAGCCCGGGCATATTAGCCGTCATGATAAAGTATTCCAGAAAAAAGATATATTACATGCTGTAACGCATACGTTCCGGCCACCCTGTATATTGTAACCGTAATACTTGTACTTCCTATGCATTTCAATTGGACCTCCGACAATAGCTAAACAAGCTCGGCGACAGTTTTCTGAAGGAATGAGCAGCTGCTCAAAATGGAAGTTGCCTCAGCGAGGTTTGCCGCTCTAAAGGAGCCTTCGCTTCGCGGGGGCAGGCGGTCCGCAAACTCGCATTTTGTTGCAGCCGGTCAGCAGAATTTTGGGGAGTGGCCAGACCTTCAGCGGGCGGTACCTCCTTTACTGTCGAATGTCCTGCTAGCGGCGCAGAACACAGAGTTTTCTGTTTTCTCGTCAAATAATCTCTTTCAGCGAGCGCTGGCCAAACTTTCAGCAGGCGCTCTGACTCTTGTCAAGCAGTTTCGGCCGTACGCCGAGGTAGGTAACACTCTACATGGCAGAGATGTCATCGATGGTTCAATTACTCAAGATTGAGGTACTTTTTTTTAGCGGAAAGTACCTGAGGGCTGTGGGATCCTTCGCAAAGGACCGCGCGGCCCCTCGCAGAAAGTTCGCGAGAATACGGCCATTGCGCCGCAACTAATCTATAGGAAAACCGCGGCAGTTCTTCGAGCATTTATCTGAAAATTGGCCAGAATTCTTCCAAATTTCTGCAAGCGGGCCGCAAGAAACAGCGAATTATTTTTGCGGTATCCGCTTGCTCAAAATTCGCATGGCCGCCTGCCTCGGCGATTATCTGAGCGGCAGCGGCCCCCTCCATGTGGTGGGGGCCCCTTCGCTCTTGCCCATATATACGACTTGGATGACATTATGGTATGATTAATGTAAGCTCCGAGCCAGATAAAGTGCAAACCGGTACACTACTAAAGCGACGGAGATTGTGAGTTTTCGTCCCTTCTACAGCTGTCCCTTGCTCTGCATCACTGACCTGCGGCACGCATGGCCAATATGTGGCAACATGCAGCAACATGTTGGCGCTGAGGCTAATAGCCAAAACGTTGTGCCAACGCCAACATGATGCTGCAGTTGCCAACAGGTTAGCATGTTGCTGCAGTTGCCACATGTTGGCCATACGTGCCGTAGGTCAGTGACGTTGATCAAAGTGGCAGCAGCTGTGAAGGGATGATGCTTTGAGAAATGCTTTACGCTCGCTAGAACTCATAGTATGACCTGTTCTTTATCTTCTTTCTTTTCGTCCTTCTTCTGCTCAGACGATTTCTGATCAACTTGCTCCTTTGATTTTGTCACGTTTGTTGCGGAGGACTAAAAGCATGTGTGTTGTAAGTCGCTCAAACCTAATCCTGTAAGTATGATAAAGCTTCAAAAACTAGATTGGTTCCTACAGTTATTGTAACTTACAATAAATGTTTTATCGTATACCGTATTGCGTAATTTACATTTTTTAAATGCATTTACGCTAAAGCTTGTGTGCATTTTTTGGACAAATTTAAGATTTTTTGCTCTATCGAGGTTTTATATGCATCTTGGAGCCTTTGTTCTGATTTCAATCCTCCTTAACTTTTGCTTATCCTGCTATTCTAATGTGTTGTTTCATATTATCGCAGCGTTTTTGTTTCGCCGTTTTCTGATGGAAAGGTTGTTTGGCACACGGTACTTCTTTTTTCTGAAAAAGCTAATCTTGTTCTGCAAGACTTGTTCTTCATTCTCGAGCAATCTCGATGCCCCCTATTATAAGCCCCAGGTTTTTTAAGAGGCAAAAATTGGCAATCTCAACACCTGCACTTACCCATTTTGTCGGCATCTCACGGAAACTTTTTCTAAAAGGAGTAGGTAGCCAACAAGTTGAAATTTAGCGAAGAAATGGCACCACTTTCATAATTTGTAAACAGCTCGAAGAAACTCTCAGTAATTTGTCTCAGCTATTACAGCTTGAGTCTGCGTTTTGTTTCGCAGCGGAACATCCTCTTTCTGTTGGGCCTTAACCAATGAAGTGCTTTGTTTGTGCGGTGTTAATGATCGAATGCAAGCCCACCATATTGAGCTTTCGCGAGGAATTTTGGTTTGAGAATTTATTCCGTTTTACTGAGCGCGAAACATTTACACATGTAATAAAAGACACTCCTTCTCTGTCCCTCTTGACGAAAGACCAATCCTTATATTCGTCATGAATTGCGTAAAAGTTGTTTTTCATCACTCATAGCAATTCCGAAAGAATTTTTAGCTGTGATTTCTATAGGAAACGGATTATGCAATGTCAACTTGATAGCAGATGATAGACGTTGCAGAGCGACTAGCTCTTTCGAATGTCATAGATATCGTATTGCACAACCAATAACCCAGAGATAGCGACGAAAAAATGTTAGTTCTGAAATAGCCTAGTATTTAAAATGCGACTTCAGAGGCAGCGTCCATGCACCTATCCCCACTACTTCACGCAATGGTATGCAGCACGGTGCAAGGCGTTAACCAAATACTATGCGTCTTCAAAGTGTTTTCACCTGCTTCACCAGTGACATGTCCCTAAATCTGTCCGAACGCTGTCTCCAAGATTGCTACACTCTTTTGAAAAAGATATCCATTTCCGACATCTGCTGTTATACTCCTTCCGATTCTGATGGAATGCCGCAATAACAACTTCCCAATCCGTTGAAGAGGATGCCGAAAATTGCTCAAAAGCAATATCAAGTTTTAAAAATTGATTTCACGAAATAGACCTCTCTCTTCGATGTTCGTTTGTCTTTGTTCTTTACTATGCAACAAGGGGAGGTCATTGAGAAATGGTTTTCAAAATATTGTATCAAAGACGAGAACTTGAAGATCTAGTCTCAAAGCGTTCAACCTCCGTTAAACGTTGTTCTCAATTAAATTATGGCCCATTTTCGCAATTCGAAATGTAACTCGTGAATGTCTAAAGGGCCAGGCACACTTCACGCAATTTCAGTCGCGACGCATTTCGGCAGTATTCCAGCTGTGCATAACTCATTGTAAGAACGTTTTAAATGCACAAAAGATAAAGCATTCTATCATTTTACACAAGTTATACACACTGTGCATGTGCAGTTTGCAGGTGTTGAATCTGAAGACTTCTAGCGAGTTGCCAAATCGCGTCGCGACTGAAATCGCCTGAAGTATGGCCGGCCCTTAAGGCCCCGGACAGACTTCACGCGACTTAATCGTCGCGATCTAATCGCCAAGATTTCCATTCGTTTTCATTTCACATTCAAAAATTTCGGGTTGGAAAAGTATCACAACCGATGCAAGTTGATCGGCATGGAATGATGTTGTAACAGTTGTCTCGTCGCGACTGAGTCGCGACGATCAAATCGTGTGAAGTCTGTCCGGGGCCTAAGGGAACGCAGACAACTGTTAGGTTGATGCAAGAGTAATGAGCATCCCTAATACGAACAGTGAAAATATATTGAAAATGCATGAAGTATACTATTCGATAGATCAAAGAAAGTTCTACAAGACAATTTACAAATTTTGATAGAGTTCGTATTCCACCGTAAGTTGGAACTTAACGTCAAAGAGTATATAAGTATATAATTACCTAAAGGCTGGGTCTTCGCACAAAAGAGTCTTACAAGCCTTCCATCTGGTCATCACTTAGTAGGCATAATAATTTTTTTTGAGGACGAAATTCAGAAAAAAGGATTGACTAACGCGAAAATATGTTTTTCGTGCTTGTTAAATGAAAAGATTTTCACAGTTTTACCTTTGAAAGTTTGTAGTATACAACTATATATGCATTACTAGCGCTCCATTGCGATTGCGCCAAACGGCCCTTGTTTTGTCCTCAAAAAATTGTAAAAAACATCTTTGCAGACTATGCTTTCCTCTATCGGACAGTGTCCCCATCCCTTTTCAAAATTATTCGATTGTCTATTTTGTCGTTTCGCGAACTTTTTGAAAGAAATGCTAAGAACCATTGGTGCCGCATGAAAGAGTGAAGGCAATTCAATAATCTGTAAGCCAACCAGAACGATTTATAACTTGAATTATCTTGTCTGGCATACTTCTACCAGTTTCTGGACGTTGGACGATCAATGATTATGCGTCGGTTGACGTTTATTTCCAACCTAATGTTTCACGGAAAGCCTCAAGGATTACGAAAAGAACACCTGAAGCATTTTCTCCTGCTGGGATGGGTTTGAGAGAAACTGGCAGTGTTTTGCACGCCTTGTGTGGTCAAGCACTATAAGCAGTCCCCAGCAATATGATACAAGAATCGGAGAGGACGGAAAAGAATGCTAAGCAAGCGCGATGAGCTCCAGATTTACAAACGGGCTTCCACCTTTACCAAGAGCGTTAAGACATTTAGAGGGAACTGCATCTGTAGCATAAGCATTCTTCGATGCTATTTGCGCGATGAGAAACTCGTACTTGGAAAATGGGCCTTGTCTCTTGTCTTCTTCTTCGTCACAGAGACGATAGATTGAAATTTACACGTTAAAATATGGCGCTCGAATGGGAGAAGGTAAAAACCATGAAAATTCTGCTTTGAAGTTCGATTCTCTATGTCTGATCTTACATTATTTGGACGAGAAGAATTTTAATCTAGACGCCTGATGTCTTCAGTGGCTATTGGAGGGACTTGCGCCAAAAGCCACTCCTCTTTCCAAAACGTGATTTTGTCTGAAGAAGATGGTGCGTGCGCGGTGTCCATTGTTGGGTCTCTCGGGACGATCTGTAAAGAGTCACAGTTTAGCGTCCTTATCACAATAGCCACTTTTGGGGTGTGAATGACTATAGCAATGGCAAATTTCATTTGAACACGTCCAGAAACTGGTGAGAAGTATGTAAAACAGTAACTTTTGAGAAAATGGTTTGATTGTCTCACCGTGATCAGCTTGTCTTCCCCTGTTGTGACAGTACGTTGTTTTTACAAGTTATTGAGGATACAGAGCATTGCGCGAGGCGTTAGACAATCGTGACGCTCAAATTTATAGCACAATTTTCTGTTCCAAATTGTCACCATTTTCCAGGTCTGTACCCTGGGTTGTTTTCGGCTACTCTCTTTCACATGTTACCTATGGTCCCTTGCTTTTTTTTGAAATTCTGGGAAACGGCAAACTATAAAATGTTCGTATAGCAATGAACCGAACTTTGTACACACTGCGGCTTAAAGGCAGCAGCTCGCCAAAACCGAACTCCTGAAATTTTGACACGGAAGATTGCTTGCATCCCAACATGAGAACAAGCAATCCGAGCGCACAGCATGCTTCCTTTGCCTAGAAAAGCCCCTAAACCCGTTATGCGCAGGCCATTCTATTACGCTCGGACGAGCTTACGAATCTCCCTGACTGTCAGAGAAGGCATGCCACAATGCTATAACTGCGAGAGTCCTGCAACGATTCTCCTAAATGGCGGGACGTGCTCCACTCGTTCAAATTCAGAACGGGAGGCCTTGGGAAATGGAGGTTTTTGCCATTTTCGCGCTCTTCAAGGTGGAATTTTGGAATCAGCGCCTTGATTAACACCAGGTAAGCAAAACAACTTCAAGTCGAGAGTTTGTCGCGCCGCTGCCTTCAAAATCAGCGTCTCGGCAGAATTTCGTTTTCCAGATTTTTACCTTTTCGGAGCCTTATCGTTATGAGAAACCCATGTCTGGGCTTTTCAGCGTATGACAATTGCGAAGATGAGCTTTATCTGGAAGTTTCCAAGTTCACATTCAGTGAAAAAAAACCTGCAAATGGGCGGAGCGCGACTGCCTTTCGGAACTTTATTAGGAGTTATAACAAATGTAATAGTACTTGTGTGACAGTTGCATTCACCATTGCTACACGCCTGCTGTCATTATTTTTCTGCGCCCCATGGATGTACCCGTATGCGCACTTGCATCTCTTAACGCTTATAACTTTTGCATATAAACGCTTTGCAGATATTGAAGGAGAATTTGAAAGCAGTCATCTCAGCTCTTAGTGCGAGTTTGTCATCGCAAAAGGCCACTTCATTTTGGTGACCTTCACTTGTGAGAGCAGTCTAGAGGACACCACATAATTTGAGTGAGCAGCGCGAAAAAGAAACCCGAAAATAACTCTACGAAAACTGCAACTCTCATGCAAAAATTCTTCTTTACTTCATCAAAGCGGAGCCATGGTGCCATCAGCTGATGGTCCGATTCATACTATCAGTCATATTGCTCTGCAGATGGTGTTTTCGGTCTTAAGAAGGCCGATTGACATGCGATATCTTCTTCTTCTTCTTCAAAAAAAGGATAAGCTCATTTGCTTAATCAATATGTCTATCCGCTTATAATAAGGATACAATGGAGCTGGAGAGTGTTGCTGAGCTTTATCTATTATCGCCGTAAGAAGTTAGAGTGTCTCAATACTTATGTTACAACCTAATACTTGTATGCTAAAGAGACTGACCACGGCTTTTATGCTTGGATTTTGAACGACTCCATTCTAAACAGATTCAACTTTGCCTACAGGAGAACGAAACATTTAGAAGAATTTACCTTTCGCTTTCTATGTTTTAAACAGCAAGAGATTATAGCAAATGAAGCACTATGACAAAGCAGGGCCAGCACCATCAGCCAGAACATGAAGACGGCCGTCCGTCTTCGCTGCTTACTACGAACTGCACAACTCCTCTATTGACAGCAAAATAAAGTTTATTCGATTCAACTATGGTTGTTATCAAAGGCGGTCGCTAAACTTAACAGCAAAGGATAGTAAGTTGCACAAGGATCTGGAATGAAATTGCATTATTTAGTGCTTGCTAATAAGATGACTGCAAGTCTGGCTGCTCAGGGCCCGGCACGAGGTGGGCAAATAACAAGCTAGAAATCGTTTTGGGGTCAAAAGCAAAGGGAATATTGTTTTTGCGAGGTCCGGGGCGGAGCCTAGAAAAAAATTGATAGTTAATGCTCTTTGCGTATCTCAACATGTTATATGCCTCAACAGAAGCACAACAGAGTTCGCGCGCGTCAAACCGCCTCGTCGCTAACCGCCGCACGTGACGTCGCTAACCGCCGCACGTGACGTCGCTAACTGCCGCACGCGCGATGTCGCTCAAACGATGCTGTTTGTAACAGCATATATGAATAGCTCTCAATGTACAGTCGCTTTATTTCATACCAGTGCGTCACCTCTGCTTCGCAGAGGCTCGCACTGGCCCTACTTTCTGTATGCTTTACTCATTCCCGCATAACAGTGACATTAAAACTCACCGCGTTATGCAGCCTATCACGAATGATTTGTAAACAGCTACTCATTCCTAGATCTTTTTTGCATGAGATCGGTATTTTCACGTGGATGAAACTTTTTTCGAAACAATAAATGCAAATATGTGTAGGTTTGTGGACTTTTTATGGCTTGGTAGTCGCCATAACGACATTAATCATCGTGGGCTACATCTCTGTGCAAAAATCGTCTCAAATGATCAGTTAAAATCTTGGGAAACTGAGCATTTACGCAACTAATTCTTTTTGACGCCATCTTCGTAAAGTAACCAACTTTAGTCGAATTTTTTGGGCTGAAGTCTATGGCTTGTATAGTAGCTTGTCAAACATATCCGCGACTTTGCAAGAAGTTTATATACGGACCCAATTTTGCTGGCCAGAAGTTAAGTGGACCCGTTTCACGCGCAATTTCTAGGGGATCCACTTATCGGACCCGCTTGTGCTTTTGCACAATGGACTTTCCTGCTGCTAGGATGTACTATGCAAAATTTGGGCCAAATAGGTTGGCTGGAACTCTTCCTACGAATTTCGTGACAGACAGAGATTCACACACAAAGACACACACACAAACGTAAACAACCCTTAGCCCGCACACATGATCATATGAAATGAAGAGACTGTATGCGTTATTATATGGCACCAAATTTCGTAAGCGAACGAAGAGAGGCTAGTGGAAACAAAGTATGAAAGATTATGAAGATTATATGTGAATGGAAGGTGTAATAAGCATTTATTCCAAAAATTTTGCATAAGTGGTGAATGAAGATGTGAATTCAAATGGCTCGTTTGCAATGCACAGATGACGATATGGTATGAGACTTGGTAGGTACATGGGGACGGGCCTGCAGGGGTTGAGAAATTTCAAAGAAAATTATGTGACTGAAGGTCGTGGCAAGTTTTTTCTAAAAATTTCCCGCCACCAAAAAATGGAAAAATGGCTCGTTTGCAACGCAGAGATGACGAAATCGCGCGAGACTTGGTGCGTATACGCGCAGTGAGTCCGAAATAGCAACGACGCCGGTCCTTTTAAGGGAGAAAGCGCGCTCTAGTCGAACAACCTACAAAGCTGGCGGGATCAAGTAGGAAATCGTAAAACGATGGAAACAAAGGCGAAATCGTTTCGCCGATGCCCATTTGCCACTCCGTGCTGGGCCCTGTGCCTGCTATCTGCTGAACAATCCTGTAGAAGCTGTGTGTGTCAGACCAAACTTAGCAATCGTCATACGACAACTAAAGGGCCGGGCATACATCGCGCGATTTCATCGCCTCGCGATTCTTCCGGCAAGACAACTATTACGAGTCCATTGCATGCTGATCATTTTGCCATTCGGTTGTGAAAGTTATTCGGCGCGACTAATCGCTGACCGTTTTTTACCCGGGCATACTTCATTCGCTGAAATCGTCGCGACTTGTCCGAATCTCAGCGATATCGCGTCGCTGACTTCAAACGAGCGACGCGACCTAATCGCTGAGATTGGACTTCTTTTCTGAATGTTTTTATGATTGTTTCTTAGCTTTTCGGGCTGTTTTCTTGCTTACTATCTAAAAAATAGTTCTATTTTGCCAGAGTGCGTTGCTTCTCCGTAAATCGATCCTCTTGTGCCCGTTTTGGCGCTATCCGTGACCCAAAATTTAAATTTCAAAGTCGTCAATTTCGCACTCGGTCTAGGGGGAGGGGTTATTCGACCCGCTGGTGCCGAATATCATGGTTATTTTGTGTGGTAGCGCCATTTTCTGGGGCTACCGTGGGTATACCGTAGAGCGTCAGAATCGCGGATTCGCTCTAAATTTGTTGTTGGGAGAGGAGATTCCTTGGCAAGCTGAACCGAATTATCAAGATGAATACTCAGGAAAGCGGACAGACTGCGAACTTCTCGCAACCACAACAACCACAACAACAATTAGCAATTTTCTTGGGTCACTAGAAACAAAAAAGACTGGTAAAGACGTCCTCAACGAACTGAATACAAAATTCGTGATGAGAACATCAAACAGCTACACTGTGCATATAATCCGGCAAATCTAGGACTTTGACAGCTACCAGATACTCAACTCCGCAACTCCAAGTCTATGTCCAAAATTATATATGAGCATGATTTTTGTGATCAGCATGTTGATAACTACTCTAGACGGAATTCCAGCCAAATCTATGGTTTTGTTCCGTTACGAAGCACAGTGATTATGATATTCGGCATCAGTGGATCGAGTAACCCCCTTGGACCGAGTTTGAGCAAAATCCGGAAACAGTGAGGCCCAGATACCGAATAGAGTAAAATTTCGATGTGATCCTAAGGTTGGAATTGATACTGGAATGATATCCATGAAAGTCCCCGCGAAATGGGCTTTTCGTGCGAATAAAATGGACTTAGTCCATGCGGTGCGATAAGATATCGCATTTGCGAATCCATTCATTCCATACAAAACTTCTTCAGCAAACCTTTCTCCAACTTGCCTCAACCTGTTTACTCACTCTTGCAAACTCATTTCTACCAAGTGGTCGGTATCTAACTAGGGCTGACCTAACATTACGATGACAGTCACATGAACATTCTCTGCTTTTACACCTTATTACACATCAAAAAAAGTCATTTGTTATCGATAACTATGCATCGAAAACATCTTCAAGAAAATTCACATAATATCTTCGCTTCTCAAAACTTCTATGGATCTGCTTTAAGTCAAATTCGTATATAGGGCTTTCTGGGGAAGGCAAACTTTGGCTAGACTTGCACTGCAATCTGTGAAGCAAAATGCATCTCGTAGGAAACATAAAAAACTACGAGTCGCAAAGGATGACTTCGCAAATGTTCTACTTTAACTCTTCTTTGTTTTTCAGTATTAATGTTTTTATCTCTAAGTAGTTGAATGTATGGACTATTGCTAGTAGAAAATTTTTCACAACATTTTTCTTGCTAATTAGCGGCATTTCAGTAATTCTTGCGACCAATTTTAAAATCGCGTTTGAAACGCCGTCTTTGAGGTTTGGTTCTACGAGAATAGTCAAAAGATAGGTTCTGAGTAATTGTATTAAAACGCAAATCTTTCTTATTCTCAAATACAAATTATGAATTTAGTTTTGATTGATAATTCAAAGAGTTAACAAACTTTATTCGATTTACGTAGAAAGACCTGAAGTATGGAAGCATTTGAGTTTGTTAGTGAATATTTTGGTGAATTTAACCTTCTTCCATGATTTTTATAGCGTTTGTATGAGTTTAGAAAGAATCACTTATTTCAGACTTCATAAAAGACAGGAACTTTTTCCACTCACTTGTTACCTTAGAATGAGCTGAGGAACACATTCTCAAAAAATCGCCGTCAAAAATATTCAAAAAGTTCAAAAATGGGCTTAGTCCCAGCTCACCTTGCTGCTGGGAGTAAAATGGGCTTTCAAGTCCATTCAAAATGGAGGTAAATGCCATTTTGCCCCATTCTAAATGGACTTTTCGCATGATTCTTTCGCAAGCGAGAGCTCAAGTAGGGTTGAATCATTTTCATCACACCGCTTTGCCTCGTGGTTGCGATGAGATAAAAATTTTTGGATAACGCTAGCGAAAGTAGATTCCGACCAGTTTCTACCGCGAACGAATAAAATGGGGTTTGGAAGTCCATTTTCCTCCATTATGGACTTTCGTGGATATCATTCCTGGACTACAAAATGAAAGTACAAATGAAAGAATCAAGCCGCGCAGAAGTATGCCCCTTAATAATCAACTAGCGATTTAGTCGCTGCGATTTCGTCGCTACTTGCAGCAAATCGCAACGACCAGGAATCGCGGCGATGAAATCGCGTGAAGTATGCCGGCTCTTAACGGATCAAAAACACTTGCTTTATTTCTGGTTAATGCTTTTAGTAAATGAGTTTCGTTCAGTATACACAACAGCAATCATCACGCTGTCCCAGGTTCAACTTTGAACACAGTATTCATGAAGATCTTATTGTTAGATGCTTTCTAGAGGCTCCTAATCCCTTTCAAAAAATTGCTCAGGATAAGATGTAGCGATTTTATGTCAGCGTTTGAAACTCTTTGGTGATATACATCTGTTCAAAATTCGCTGGTGCGACATGAGATATAGTTACATTTTAGAAGATTCGCATGTTGAAAAGCGCACATGACGATAATTCCGAGAAAGTTCTCTATATTATACTTGGGAAATTCGATTTACATCAACTGAATGGTTATCGAATAAATTCGAAAATAAAAATTTCGAATAAGCATATAGAATACCATTGAAAATTGAATTATTCGAATGGCTAGACATTCGGACACATGTTCGATTATATGAATACTAGCTGGCTTACCCGGCTCCGCCGTATCCGGACCAAACTTGGCACACATACACTTCGGGCCCCGGCGCGTGTCACAGTCCACTTTTCGTTATCGATCGATGTCGATCTTACCGATTTTTATCGATTTTTTCGCAGAGTTCACCTACAGGGCTAGGAGTTGGCACAGGGGGGAAGTGAGCATGGGGATTCCGAATACAATATTAGTTTTCAGAATTATCGGTTACTTTTATTGATTTTATCGATTTTTTGTAAATTTTGACATGCGAGGCTGGGATTTTGCACAGGGGGGTAATCGAGCATGCTGATTACGAACACAATATTAGTTTTCAGGATCGTCCATTACTTTTATCGATTTTATCAATTTTTTTGTAAAGTTTGACCTGCGGGGCTGGGAGTTTGCAAAGGGGGGTAATCGAGCATGCAGATTACGAATACAATATTAGTTTTTGGAATTATCCATTACTTCTATCGATTTTATCGATTTTGCAAAATTTGAGCTAGGGGGCTGGAATTTGGCACAGGGGTGTAATCGAGCATGCTGATCACCCCCTTGGGGATGATCAGCATGCTCGATTACCCCCCTGTGCCAACTCCCAGCCCCGTAGCTCAAACTTTGCAAAAAAATCGATAAAATCGATAAAAGTAATCGATAATCCTGAAAACCAATATTGTATTCGGAATCCCCATGCTCGATTACCCCCCTGTGCCAACTCCCAGCCCCGTAGGTGAACTCAGCAAAAAAATCGATAAAAATCGATAAAATCGATATCGATCGATGACGAAAAGTAGCCTATGACACCCGCCGGGGCCCGTAGTGTATGTGTGCCAAGTTTGGTCCGGATCGGTTCAGAAATGGAATTTTCTATTCGGAACATACGTACATACATACATACATACATACATACATACATACAGACAGACATACAAACAGACATTCAGCTTTATATATAAGATTTTGAGTAACTTATTCGAATATCTAGAACAACCATATCTAAAATTTGCTGACATACCCGGTTCCATCGATGTGGCTCTGCACCGTGCTCTAATTCGAATACAAATTTCATTCGACTATGAATTCGAGAAACATTCGAATAAAACATTCACAAAATATTCGTTCGAAGTCTCGCTTTCCTATAACTCGAGCACACAAATTCTATTCGAAACCCTTTTTTTTTAATTAGTCGAGCTTTCGAGTTTATCAGAAAATGGAAAATTTAGAGTTTCGAGTTTCGAATGCAAATTTACTCGAATGTCGATGCGGACCGAAGTATACTCTATACTGTTATACCACTCGCTTCAATACTCGTATACTCTATACTGTTATACCACTCGCTTCAATACTCTACTAGAAACTCTTCTATGCAGGCAACTGTTGGTGTCTCTCCATTCGTCCAAACCTACTCCAAGAGGTCATATTGCTTTGCTGCTGTTCCATTTAGCTTTAGTCAATGCGATGTCCACACTCAATCTCAACTTGTTTCAATGTTATCAATAAGCCAGCGGCTTTGTGTTACTGATGACTGGAACAAATCTCGTTGACGGAAATATTACAGGGTGCATGAGCGAAAAGGTCCTAACTATCGACTTGTTAACACATCTCACATCTTCGTTTGAAGTCTGTACGCACCATTTTCTCAGACAGTCGAAGGGATACCTCGTTCACCGTGACGTCACGGTGACGTCACAAGCAGGCGAATGGGACCCCTCTCCGGGACGTGCAAATCTCTGCTCCGGACGTGCGCCAGTTTTGGGAGAGCTCCGGAGCACCAAAATGGGTGAAATGGCAGGGCTCCGGAGCGCTCCAGAGCGCGAAGTGGCAGACTCGCGCCATTTACTCGCCGGAGGTATCCCTTCGACTGTCTGAGTAGGTTTACAGTATTGAAACGTTGTCCTTACTCTTCGTTACCAAACAGCTGCAGTAGGCACTAGAATGAAACAGTATTGAGAATTGGCCGCAATCTCAGGATATTTCCAAAACACTTGCAATTTTTACCAATCTAGTTTAGGCTCCCGCCAGAGTGCCGAAGTTATGCCAGCGCTACGCCAGCATTTCGATCGATACACGTGTATTTCGTTGGGGACGTCAGCTAGCCCCGCCCCAACGAAATACAAGTATCGACCGAAATGCTGGCGTAGCGCTGACATAACTTCGGCACTCTGGCGAGCCTTAGAAGCGCCCATAATTAATACGGCTATGTAGCAGTTGAGTACTTCAAATATTGGAATCACGTTTTAACGCACGGGATTACTACTTCTGGATGCACCTGATAACCACTACACAAAAGATCCACAATGTCTATACCTGGGATCACCGCTCCCGAATTATTCAGTAAATTTTTTAGTCTTCTAGAGTCTGTAGTGGGCAGAAACCTCATTCTCAACGCAATACCCTTATCAAAATCCTGCCGTGTTCTTAACTAACGAAGAGAGATCTATAGATTTTGCAAAATAAGGCTGCATTCATACTGACCCGGAAGTTCTGGCAAAGTTTCAGCACGGGGCGCAAAGAGTGCCGCAAATTACTGCATGCGATGCAGCCGCCCGCTTGAAGGGCAAGAAGTGGCAGGTTTTGACCGTTCTCAACGGTTTACATCATGAACGATGCTCGTTATCGTTTTGATCTTGTGATGAAGTTCTAATTTCAGGGCGAGGTTTGAGAAGGAACGCTTTTCGTGCTTGTACGCAAAAAAAGCTGTTTTGGTATTTTCGATTGCGTAGAGAATATAGGCAAGATTTCATAGAATCTGATTATGAACATGTATAGTACAGCATGACAAAGTTCCTTGAAGTAATCACAACTGGATAGACTTGGTAGGTGCATAGATAGGACGCCTCTTTTCCAAAGCACACTTCAGTCCTTGATATTTGACCAAATCCAACTCGGTGAGCATATTTACCAAAATGCGTTCGTCATCAAGGGAGATATTTTCTCCTTCTAGATGCAACGGAGAAAGGAAACGAGACAAGTATACCTAAAGAAGAAACATATAAATAGAACATGTCATCCGAACTGTCAATAGAACATCTGGAACCCACCAAGAATGATATATTTGTTAATGAAGCTGTGATGAAAGCAAGAAGTGCTGCATCTGACGGAAAACGTCTTTTTACGTTGAAAGGAGTAAGGAGTGAGCCTCTGTAGGGTACAGTGCGCAGCAAATTTGCATTCGCATCCAGCACTGCAGCGTTGGGTGGGTCAAGTGCAGCTGATTCGGTTCGAACGTGGCATACCCCTACCACACCCTTTGGACGGCTGAAGATGCACACAGTAAGTCTGTTTATGTATGAGTTCGCTTGAGTTCATGAGTTTCCTTATGATAATCTGCAGTATGAATAGCACAATATAAGGGAGATTTTTATGAATTTTACAAGGAAAAAAATTCTCGATCGCAGTGACGATTGGGTAAGCGATGTACATCACGTTTACCGTCCCTAAACGGTGTTCTCTAATCCGCGTTCCAAAATCTGCTATGCCACCATTCTGAAAGACTTATGAAGGATTTCTGATGAGGCACGTTCGAATACCCGAACTGTCGCGTAACAACGGAGCTAGTCGAAGTGCAAAGGATAGTAAGTGCAAAAAATAGTGGCTTGGACTCCGGAGCTAGACCTAGGTTCGAATCCCTTGACATGCCATAAGTTTCGCATTTCCATAGATTTAAGCAGAAACGGACAAAGCCTGTGGACATCAAAAAATGTTGATAGACTTTGCACCTTTTCTGCTAAGATTCACAAAACTCAAAACGCGAGGCGTTTCAGAGGAATTGCGCTCACGACCAATCGCAGTCCAAGCCACTATTCATTGCGCTATTCGACCACCTCCTTGTTATGTGGCAATTCGTGTCTTCGAACGTGCCTGCGGTAACAAAAATCCTTCATAACTTTTTCAGAGAGATGGCTCAGCAAATCTGGAATGCGGATTAGAAAACACCGTTTACTCAGACATTGTAAGAAGTCAAGTCCCACAGGAGATCCGCCCACAAAATAATAAATCGCGAGAAAATCGGTACTCTTGCGCGACCCCGAATTTGTTCCGACTTTCGAGATTATCTCGAAAATTTAAAAAAAAAGCTAAAGTTGAGACGAGAAAAAATCGAGAAAAGCGAGTTGTTTTCAATTTAGCTTTGACCTCTCCAGTTAACGTGTACCTTAACAACAAGTACCTCATTTTCAAGAATATATTTCATCGTATACCTAACATGCACGGTAAAGTTTCAAAGAGTAGAACGGATGCAAGCAAGCATATCGACGTTGCTGCAAGTAGATCCGGAGAGCTGTTCAAGTGTTTGCGGCTATCTCGGGCCTCTTGTATGGAGATGAAGGGAATAGAGGGAACTCCAAGACGAGGTAGTCAAAAGTGTGAAGTCAACTTGATCTATGATTTAAGCTCGAGTCTAAATATCATCGGCTTCACGTTGTATGGAGGCGGAGTTGTGGCAGCTTGAAGCGTGAGTGATAGCGAGAAGTACGAAAAGAAGTACTATGACGTAGAGGTATGACATGATTACTCGTCTAATCAGGAAAATTCCGCAACTCGCTTCTACACAAATCTTAAAGCCAATCTTCTTTTAGATATATCTGTCTAAGTTAATTTTGATTTGGTAATTTGATTCTTTGTTTGGTCATGAAAGCTAATAAATAGTGGTTGCAAACTCTGTATCGCGCACAGCACTATTTTAAAATGTGTAGAATGCATTTTTGAGTATTTTTAAAGAAGAATGTGCTTTGAGAAAATTGCTCGGTCAGTAGCTGATCAGTTAGTTGCGATATGAGTTCCCCGCAGGAGCTCCCGATTTTCTCAGTACAAAACATTTGGGACAACTGCATCTGTCGCGCAGCATTGTCCCGAATGAAATGCAGGAGTCCCGGTTTTCTCGCCAAACCATTTTACTTGTGTTCTTAGTCATTCGTGGAAACACGAGGTCTTCACTGGCGGGACATGACCGCAAATGTTTGATTAGAGACGGTATAGGCGATATACATCGCTTATCCAATCGCCCGCGATCGCTTATCCTTCCCTCGTTAGATTTTTTAAATTCTTCTAGAACATACGACAGACATTACAGATCTATAGCAATCAGTAGCGTACCGAGAAGGTATATAGAAGAAGGTGGGGTGAGTTATGAAAATGTGCAAGTGACTGGTTTCTACGTGTAATCAATTGAAATATATTTCCAAAATTTCTGAAAATTCATTTTAGCTTCATAAAAAAAATTTTTGGAGGCGTGCTACCGCCACGCCCCCTTCTAGATTTTAGAGATTATGGGCCACAAACATTTTGAAAAGCGCCCCAAAAACTTCGGAGTGTGTGGCTGACGCCACGCACCTTCATCAAAAAAATTTTTTGTCCCCCTCAATAAAACCAGAACTTTTTAGTTTTTTTCAAGGGTCGCCAAATCATCCCTGATTCCTGGAGCAAAAAACTTGCTTAGCTCGCACTCAGGCTCGATCGCACTCTGTTACAAACCATTAGCATTTGAATAAAAATCTGCCTGCCCTCGATAGCTGCGTAAGAGACATAATGTCTCCGTTTGATAGAAGCTGATAATCCAACTACCTTTCCTTGCTGTCTGTCCACAATACGACCTTGTGATTAGGATGGGACTTCGGTTTGACAAAATTTATTTTGTCAACAAAGTCTACCACAGTTTCTTTCCGTTGCTCAGAACCGCAGACTATCATATCATCGCCTGCGAGAATCGGGAAAAGTATCTAAATACATCGAAATGATCGAAAAAAGTATGCGACGAACTCCCTAAACTTACATTGTCCAAATGTTGTGAGACAGAGCGCAAATTCTCCTCAGTACTTGCAAAAATGCAGTCTTTGCTGAAAACTCTGAGTGGTCAAACGATACAGAATGATGTTACTGCATACTTATTGGAATCGGAGGTTTTAAATTTCATTGGAGATGTGCGCTTAGGAAATCGTAGGATAGGAGCATTTGCAGAATATAGTACACCCTTCTCCAGATGAGTTTCTGTACACTGTACAAGGAAGCCATGTAGATTCGCAATAAAGCTATCATAGGCCTAAATAATCGCACCATCTATAAAACAACAAACATGGGTTCTATGAGGCTTACGCATGGTGCTACGTCGGAAATCGGGTCAAGAGGGGAATTTTGGAGAAAAGACATAAACATCTCTTCTGCTGCCGCGTTATCCTCGCCACAGTGTCCAGAGCAATCGGAACCTTGATTTATAATATCAAATTGGAGCGTCTTGCGTAATTCGAGAAAAATTCATAACCTTTCAAATCCTAACATGCATTCCTCATTTTGCTTTTAAAAACTAGTAAAGGGTTTACGTTCTGTGGTAGATGTTTAAGCACGTAGTTTGTACAAGCTCAAAATTTTCTTGATCCAATCTCAACTCGCAGTACTCAAAGTCGAGGTTTTGAAATTCGCGATCTTGAGATTGGTTCAAGAAAATTGCAAGGGGGCGCTAGCAAGTCCCAACAACGTCGATGAAGATATTTTTACATAGCATTTATTCATTCATTGTTGTGGCAGGCTTCGACCTCGCTTGGAAATGTAAAAATTATTTCTATAATTCTATAAAAAAACTGCTTGGCAAAAACCTCACATTGTTTGAGGTAAACCTAGATCAATTTCTGGCAATTAATCGTGTTTTTTTTTGTGGGACTGCAGCATGAAGGCGATTTTACCTGTGAAAGACATTTTTTACAAATTTCTTGTTTTTGCAATCCCATAAGAGACTGGAGCCAGCTAGAGCAATGAATGGACCACTGTAGCTTTTCGGGCCTAGCTAGCGGCCCTTCACACTTGGCTCGAATTGCAGTGTTTGAAAAGTCAATTTTGAAAGTTCGTTCTCGATGATTAGCTGATAGAAGATTGCGCTTGAACATCTGTCATGCAGCGCATACCATTTACTATAATTAGAACATAAAATGGTGACAGGGAGGAATTGAAAACTTACAAGGGAATGGTCAGAAGTCGAAGTGGCCAAACCAAACAAGCTGTATACCAGTCGATGCAGTATGAAGAGCTGACTTCGAATCTGTCTTCCTTATCTGCTTATCGCTTCTGTGGACAAAGCTACAAGCAGTTTTATTGTGAAAAAATCGTACATAAAAACTGTGAAATTGAGCACAATGTTGCATCAGGTCAGCTTTAGGCTTTGAGAATTTGAAGTAAGTTAGCTGCATGTTTTGGCCCAGCATTAAGCCGAATCTGGCTCTATAAGGCCAAATTTCCACTTTCACGCATAATTTCCTAGCAAAATATTGGCCTTCAATGACTTATGGCTTCGTCCAGAAAAGCGATAAGCAGATAAAGAAGACAGATTTAGAGTCAGCGCTTTATGCTGCATCTAACGGTATGCAGCTTGTCTGGATTAGCCACTTCGATATCTGACCATTCCCTCGTTAGGTAATTTCGTTCGAACTACACAAGAACTTTCGTTCCAGCCTAATATTTCGACATTTTCGATGAGTTCGAATTTGACAAGATCTCACAGCTGCTAGTTTCGGATAAAACATCGTACATCGCCTGCATCCTAGGACGCAATTTTCTCGCCTAAAAAATTGTTTTGAGAGGTGTGACATATGTGAAGATGCAAAAGCTTGTTGTCTGGCTTACGGACCTGCTCAGCAACATTGGAAAGCTTCCTGTTTGGACCAGACTGCTTCAATACGTCCGCGTCCAAGGTGTAGTAAGTCTGTATAGTATCAGTTTCTGAAAATTTGCAACATCTCGATGGAGGTACTTCTGCTTGCCCTCTATTTCATACCTACGGCATCCGAAATTTTGATCACATCAGTGAGCTGTCTTAGAAACATTCGCCGATTACATCTAATTAACGGTGAAACGAGTTTCCGAACACCAGATGAAAACCGCGTCAGTTGACTCGATGTTGGACGTTCCGATGTTAGCAGAGCGACACAAACTGGGCGCTAAATGGATGTATCTTCAAAGCTCACCGTACCCATCGTGCTGAACCCTCTGATTTACCGAGAACTGCGCTCCAATTCATAAAGAAAAATTAATATTTGTAAAGACATTTGCAAAAATTATGCGTAATTTGCACTAGATCACATATTTTGCTCAGTTGGACACACTACTCTCAAGCTAGAGTAGCAACCAGACTTCTTTCACAAGTTTCCTTGCTATGATCCTGGGACTTTTCGCAAAAGAAGGATGCTTGGTAGTCACAGGAGGATAAGAAAGCAGAGATTTATTGAGTGCCCTCCAAAAATTTCCTGTCATTTTTTCAAATCATGGAACATAGATATGACCCAGAATTCTTTTTTGCAAAACTAATCTGGGTTCAAATTTTCAATTCACATAATCTTTTTGATTATTCACAAATAATGAACGTTTTGTTTTGATTAGTATATGGACCGACATTGTTGATTTCGTCATCATGTTTAGCCCCAATTATCAATCTCTTTTATATTGCAATTCTATGATTCCGATCACTTTGCGAGTAATATTCCGCGAGTAAAAGAAGAGCAGAAGAGATAACATCGGAAAACATTGACTTACTTGAAAAGCTCGTGCCTTTATGTCATACATATTAGCATAGTAAGACAATGCATATAATCCCATTTGCTGATTGTATATCATCAAAATTGATCCACTCAACGCTTCACAGCTCATTAGCCAAACTGATAAACTGTCCACATCAAGAGGTGAGGGTTTCCTGCCTAAAAAATTGATCATAGCTGCTTTCACTTCTTTTTTACAAACGTTTTCCAACTTCACTGACTTTGTCCCAAAGAGACTGTCGCTAAGGGTCGTGGTCCCTGTATTTGGCAAAATTCGACGACGGCCAGAAAAGGATCAAAATTACATCCAAGTCGATTGAAAGGATCAATTATGTGTTTGTTGCGTAGCAGAAGATCTTCAGCTCGCGCGGTTGGTGAAGACATTGGTATAACTTACAAAACTTTCAGTACAAAACTAATCTAAAAAAAGCAAATTGTGACTACAGACGTGTCTACAGAACATAAAGACAAATATTGAGATAACATGTTTGAAACGCTTGCATTCACATATAAACAAAAAAACTGAACATATTTATCTTACAATGACACGCAAGCGAAACTTGACGAAGTGTAACAAGAACTTTCTTCAAAAGAACAAATGACTTGAAGAAGCAAAATGTTGGGTGGATTCTTTTGCAAGCTGTACTTAGAAGTCTGACTAACGACGACGAGATCTGCGCTCGCCTGTTGATTCACTAGATTCCTCTCCGCTAACATTACGCCCGCTTCGATGCTTCTCAGTACGTTTGGAAGCACTCACTTCTTTGGAAGCTGCTCTGCCTGTCTGCTTCGCTACCTGAGATTTCCTCGAATGTCCACGATCATCGTCCATGCTAGATTGGCTTGAAGAACGAAAGGTTGGGGCAATCCTGGATTCTTCGTGTGTTCTAGCTCGATCTTTTCCATCTTTCTTTTTTCCTATAGCATAGCGAGAATCGGCCAACTTCTCCAAAGAGCTTGGTTGTGACATGCTCGCAGAGTGGGCACTTTTCTGGGGTAGATTTTTGACAGCCACTTTTTTATGCTTCATATTGCGCCCGTCTTTGACAGATGCATCGTGCAGATCAGAATCATCGCCAGACGAGAACGACACAGAATCCTTTGCACTTCTAGTCACTCGCACATTCGACTCTGCCAGCAAGGGTGAGGTGCCACCAACTTTTGCAACCGGCTTTGCCTCAGAAGAAGTCTGAGCCTTGGGTAATTTGGGAATTTTGTAATTTTGTATGGAGGGGATAGAAAATTCCACTGGTATCTTCGATGGTTGTGTAACTTTTGGCTGTTGCGTAGGTGACCGATGCGATGATGGTTTATCGCTTTTACCAGCGCTATGTTTTCCGCTCTTCTTGCCTTGTTTCTGATCAGCGGATCGCATACGTTCGGGGGAGGAATACGGGGACGACTCCGAAGTGATATTGCGTCGTCTAGACGAGGGACTGGTCCTCGACTCCTCGCCTGAAGGTTTTGCTGGTTTTAATTTGCCCTTGTTTGGAGCTGTGGATGGTCCCGCTTCGCCCAGTCCCATCTTAATCTTTTGTGGGGAACGAGTTCTAGATGTCAATTTTTCTGACTTCACCTTGCTCGGCGACTCCTTAGCAGCCGATGTAACTTCCTTTGCAGCTGGCTTTTTGCTATCGCCCACGATCTTGCGGCGACTTTCAAGGTTACCAGGTTCTTTGGGTCGATCTTTTTGAAGGTTACTAGGTTCTTTAGGTCGATCTTTTTGGGAATCTGAGGGCAAGTTGGTGACGTTTTGCTCAATTTTTCGATCCTTAGACTGCTTCTTGCTCACATCACCCTTTGTCTTCTCATCGACTTTGTCTACATCTTTTGACGTCGAAGCCGCTGGGGTTTTGGCTTCCTTGCCAGAGCGTAATCCTGGTTTTCCAATGGGGACGGAATCATCGATGGAAGACTTTTTAGGTAAATCACGGAACAATTCTTTGGTAGCGGAAGTGTCACGTTTAGTAGGAGATATAAAGGAGTTCGGTGGAAGAACTTCAAATGAGGACGCTCTCCATGCATCAATGATCGCTTGCGCCGTCGAAACTCTGGGAGAATGACGAGTAGCGGCGGTACCTTCCGACTTGCGAGCGCGAGACTTGGTAGTGGTTGGCTGAGCGACTGGCGCTGCTCTATTCCTTTTTGAACCAGATGAGAACTCTACGACCTTTCTGTACAAGTCTTCCGCCGACCTACTCGAGAACTTTGTCATCGGTTCAGCTGGAGGCGGAGATGGCATATCGCGTTCGAAGGAGACATGATGTTTTGATACTGCACTAACACCTTCTCGAACAATAGTAGGAACACGTTGTGAAGCGACTTGTGGTAAGCGAGTGGATGTAGGCTCCTTCACAACGTGCGCTCCTTCAGCGGTGTATGAGTAGCTCGCCTCCACCGAGCCAGGTCCAGCAACTTGCGGAATGACCTTGGCAGATTTCCGTGATGGTCTCGAAGTTGAACCTGGCATCGCCTTGCTCTGTTGCACTGAGCTCAGAGCATCCGATTCCCCAGACAACTTTCGTTTCACTGGTTTTGTCCTTGTTGAAAACGAAGTGATTCCGCTAACTTGGGGTCGCGCCTCTATGGGAAGTTCAACTTTTTCCAGATGCTGCTCAAGACCAGGCTTGAGCAGAAATGCCTTGGCATTCACTGCTTGGCTCGGAGCAACTTGAGACGCATGCTCTCTAGCACGAGTGCGTGATATGCGTGACGACGGCTCTTCCACAGGTGTTCGGATTTTCTCTTGCACAGCAACTACTGAGAGCGCAATACTATCGAATACTTCTGTGGCTACCAAAACTTCCATGCATACATCATCTGGGATGCGAGTGAAATGCAGTTCAGTAGAGGTTTCAGCGGTCGGTAGACTTTTCGGATGCAATGATGTTCTAGCCGTTGCAGCTTGTGGACTTTTTTCAATGACAGAAGACTCTAGTTTCAGGAAGAAATCAGCATGACATTTCATCCGCAAGAAGTTGCTCGTCTTACTCCCAACAGGATGCTCACAATTCTGGAAAATGATATTATTACTATCAGAAAGTTAGAAGAGAGTAGATTACATATTCAAACATTGCACATATTTTGATTTCTGAGTAATCAAGCCGACACAGTAGACAGCCTCAGCTTACCGATGACATATGATTGCCAGCCAAAACAAGTATTTCTAGCTTCGTTAGAGAATGCAATTTGACGTTGGTAAATAGCAAATGGGTATCAAGAAATTTCAGGTTCAAAAGTGAAACATAGAACAACATGTTGGATTTTCATGACACGGAAAATTTATGCGAAGAATCCAAACAAAGGTATGAGGATGTAAATCACACTGGAAAAACGATTGGAACAATCAAACGTACCGAAAACGAGTCATAGAGATCCGCAATTGTGATTTCATTCAGTGGCGACGCTTTGCTAAAAGATATTTTTTTTTTCGAAAAGCGATGTGATCATATTGTAAAAAACCAAGTAAAAGCACTATATTACGATCATGATTTCATGTCAAAGAGTCAGCCTTCTAATAAAAAAGAACCCATTCGTTTGCAAACTGACTGATGAAGGTAAAAGTCAAGTTATCACTTACAAGGGAATGGTCAGAAGTCGAAGTGGCCAATCCAAACAAGCTGCATGCCTTTCGGTGCAGCATAGAACGTTGATCTCAAATCTGTCTTTCATATCTGCAGAACGCCATTGCAGGCGCAGTCATGAGCAGAAAATCGTACACAAAAAATGCAAAATTAGGCACATTATTGCCCTTTTAGCTGACCTCTTGGTACCATAAGTGACCTAGTTGCATGTCTCGATCCAACACTGAGCCGACAATGGCTGTGTACAACAAAGTTTGCCTTTTAAACGCACGATTTCTTAGCAAAATAATGGCCTTCAGCGGCTCATAACTTCATCCACAAAAGTGTACAGCAGATAAGGAAGACAGATTTAAAGTCGAAATTTATGCTGCAACTAATGCTATGCAGCTTGCCTGAATTGGCCACTTCGACTTCTGACCATTCCCTTGTTAGCCGTTATCATTCTAAAATTGCGTTTCAAAGCATTTGTTTGAAGAATGAAGAATGAGAGGAGTATTGTGTCCAGGTGAATTTGGTTGGTGAAAATTCTAAGCTCATAAAAGCTTACAACTTAGCAAGTGCCCAAAATATAATACGTGAGTAGAAAAACGGACGCTGTGGCCTCTTACGCGCACTTGAAACGAAAGATCAGTAAACAGCGGGCGGCTTCTACCACCGTTTCTTGTTCATCTAACCTTTTTTGTTCATCTACCAAGTTCCGCTAGAGAATGCATTTCAAAAAAACCATAGCGGATACGTGAAACATGAGAGAGAAGAGAAAGACCTTACCGAGTACTTTTGCTCTTGTGAAAAGAACGATCTTGTGACTGAGGTGATATACTGGTTGCCATAACATGCGCTGCACAGTCGATCCGATCAGCCATAATTCCCTACACAGCTCAAATAATCAGCAAACAATATTTAAAAACAGAGCTCACCTTAATCGCAAAGCTGAGCAGATGTCCAGCACTTGGATCTGGAACTGCCCAGCCATTCTCTAGACACCGCAACACAAGTAAGGCGTTGACAACAGCAGCAGGCGGAACCAAATTTTGTACATTAGCCACTTTTTCGGCTGCATCCTAGATAATTAATCTTTACAGATCGAAAGATTTTGAAGGCAGCGATAATTCACCAAATGACAGCCTTTCGATAGAACTTGAATGAACCGGTCATGGACGTACAAGCATTCGTCTGCGAGCACTTCTAGTACACAATGACGCAGTTGATGTAAAGTCAGTTTCCGTTTCACGTATTGTTTCACCAACACCAGATACCTGAGGCCAAGTAAGAGATAATTTTCTAGTCTCATGTCGCGCTGTTAATGTTAAGGAGTCTAAAGTCTTCTAGGTAGATTTAATAAGATTATTCGAGCACGACCTATAAATCGAAGCTTCGAGCAATTTTCTAGAATTTTAAGGCACTCATAAATGACTTAAAATTGCTTTGAATTCGATTATTCTCTACGAATGAACGAGAGGGAGAGAGGGAGAGAAAAAAGGATACAAAGTTTGATGTGAAACATTCGATCGCAGATTACTCTCAGCCAAGGCATATAAAGAGCAAAAAATTGATTTGAATAAATCGTGCAAGATGTCACAGTAAAAGAAAAAATTAACAGAAAATTTTACTCGTGTGTCATGTGTCAGATACAGAGAAATGCTTGGAATTTGTATTACATTGGCACAATAACCTACAAAAGTTGCGATATTTCCAGCCATTTTCCGCCATACAGAAAATCCAAGCGCACCAATGGCTATGAAATAGAAATAGCCTTATTAGATTTACACGATCTTTGACCTTCCTTTGTTATGAGAAACTAGCAAGAAAAAAGATTTGTTCATTTGTTGCCCAAAACGCCCAGAAGTATGCATAAAACAATTCATTGCTAAATTTATAGAATTAAATACATACTATTCCAGTCCTCACTCAGAATGGATGTGAATATTTGAAAAAAAAACAAATTAGTAATAGTGAGTGGAAAAATCTCAAACTCATAGAGATAACGGATACTCACTCATCTAGTTCCAATCCTAAACTGTCTTTCAGCTTGTCAAATAAGTCAGCAAGCTCCCCAAAAAATTCGGAAGGTCTGTATGAAGCTCGGCCGCAAAGCGTTTCAGCCATTCTCGCGAGTCGTATGAAAAATCTGGAACATTCAACTTTGGAATATATGGCTAAGTCAAGTTTTATAGACCTTATTGTCACCTTAGAAATTCAAGAAGGTGTTTTATTATTCTGCGCCTAATTGACGTAGAGCCAAGTCTACGATTGAAAAGATATCTGTACCATCGAAGGGTTATGTCAGGGTCAGACACGAGGAGTGGTGCTTGAATTTTTCTCCTCGCCCATATTGTACTCACTGCAGCAGTTAAAGGCAGTGTCCGGGCAAAAGTCGACTTTGAGATCTTGTGCTTACCCGGGCCTATTCGCTATGGTGAATCCGAAAATTACTGGAGAGCGCGAAAACTGCGAAAAAAGACCCATGTAGGAGGGAAATTAGCAGGTGGGAGGGGACTTCCCCACTGTGACCTCACGCTTCCAGCTTCCGGAGCGATCCTCTCTATTCCGCTATCGCCCTGATCGCCTCGGGCCAAGCGCGAACGCGTGACTTGAAATCGGAACCGAGAAGATCGCTCCCGAAGCTTAGAGCGTGAACTCACAGTGTGGAACACCCCGCTCAACTGCTGATTTCTCTCGTGCGTAAGAGCCCTTTTTCGCCGTTTTCGCGCTCTCCAGTGGGGATTTTCGGAATCAGTATAGCGAATAGGCCCAGGTAAGTGCAAAATCTCAAAATCAACTTTTTGCCCGGACACTACCTTCATTGCCGTGCATGCACGGTTTAGTTATAGCTGCACAATCAGTTTCTACATAATACACCTTATCAAAGGGTTAAGGGCCTGTCCAATGCTTTTTGTGAGTATCGACCCAACCCAGTGGCACTGTTTTCGCTTACCCACTGGGATCCTTGACGAATACGGTTACCGCGCACCGGCTGAAAGTCTAGTAAGTGGATATACTGCTAAGTTGAGCACTAATTCAATGTGCCCGGTGCAATGATGGTCCAGCTTCTTATAGTCTAGCAGCACTCAAAAAGTGCGCCTTGTATTGTTCACAGCTTAACAAAAAAAAAACAATCTCCGCAGCTCTGCTCCACCAAGTATACTTCCATCATACTACTACAGCATGAAACTCTCGAAACTCCCAACTGGGTAACTAACAAAAGCTCACCGAACTATAGCATCCTGCAATGTAGGAGTCGACTTGTCACGATTCAGCAGTACTGGGTCGGTATTTCCGCCTGAAGTCACAAAAATTGTCATTCATAAGATAGAATAGCAATCACAAGCACGACTTTCTGGTTGAGTATGCGTGATTTGCAACTCCGAGACAATACAGCATCAAAGCTGGCAAAATGTGGAAGGAAAACAGGCGAAGAAAGGCTTGAAAAGACAGTCGCGTTTACGCGCTCCAGTTATGCGCGAGCGCCATGTGCGCGACGCAATCGACCTACCGATCATGACGTCATCAACTCCGGTGAAAATTACCGCATTGTTTTATGAATGTAAGTCCAAGACTTTCTTTTGAATTAGGTTGTGCAGTCCAAAATTAGACATCTTCAAGTTCTCATCGCCAACGTTTTCACTTTTTTTTCACTGTTGCAAAGTCTTGATCAGCTCAAACGTCCCTCATTATTACGGTTGCTATTCGGAGAAGTTCGCGTTTTGTGTTCGGCGCATATGGCCTTCAACACCCATCACCGAACCATGATCTTATCTGCAACCGGTATCTGGTCCATGCTTTCGTTGTCTTATTGTTCCTACTTCTGGTCATGGGTCATACAGATTAATTTTCGGCTTATTTTTTACCTGCCATTGCCGGACTCTCATGTGTGGAACCATGATCATCTTCAAACCAGTTTCTTCATCGATTGCCAATCTGGAAAGCAGTCGAGTTGCCCTACCGTCTCACAGTGTGTGTTCCTCAGGCACTTTACTGTAGTCAAGTATGTTTTCACAAATGCTGTCTCCACGATTGAAATCCGAAGGAACTTCCTATTCTCTATCGAACGCACACAGTAGAGCCATTATACAAGTGCTTGCCATAATATTCAGACAGTCATATTATACAGTCCATATATCTTGAGACCTGTATCCGTTCGCCATCCGAAACTCAGTGTGTGCTAAACATTTCTTTTATAGATGTTGACATTACTTTTTTGAAACTATACCCTCTGATTTGCATCTCAGTGTTCTGGCAAAGAGATAGTTTCGATGTGTAGTGTTTCTCTTTCACACTATTCTTGATAAACATCAATAGAAAACTTCAGGATTTCTATCTGACCTCGCACTTCTCTCAGATAATTTTTTATCTGACATGCTTTGTTGCTGTTCTCTAATAATGTTAGGTTTTGAATCTTTGTGGATTGTGTAAGTATTATACCCATTTTGATTGCATTTGAAAGAACAAATCCTGTGATTCTGATATTGAATATCGAGTAGGATAAGTATTAGGTGGGAACCTCCTATAAAACTTGGTTTTCTTTTGCGTTCATTGGAATTAATTGCAAGTTTTGCTCTGAGTAAAGAAACAGAGCATATGATCTTGTGATTCCATCAATTTTTGTTCAAAACTAAAGGGGAGTTTTGGTTTAGAAATCGATGAAGCCCTTTTTGAGCTGTTCCTCCATTTTTTACCCAGTAAAAGTGTCTTACAGAAATTTATTCTAGTCATGTCGCGGTACCAAGGACTTGGCTTGGTGCTTGGATGTTTGAAGAGCTATTGCGACGTATAAGTGATCTTCGCTTCGATACGATGATTATTTGTTGCTCAATAGCTTCATTGCTATTGGCACGAAACTTTTTCAGGTAGAGATGGGTGGGGGAACTGCGTAAAAAGATGCGCATTCGATTCGCAATATGATACTTTCTTCCTTCAAAGAACAAAACCTTCGCCACAAGATCAGCACGCACTCGTGACCGTTTTCTCGAATGTACCACTAATTCAGGGATGGAAGTCGCTATTGGAATCTTCCACTGTTCTGAGTAGGAGCTGCGAAAACTCTGCATGTAGTACAACCTCTTTTGTATACCAAGTTTCGTCATAACATGTTCTCTTGCATGATAAAACTGATACAAAAAGGAATTCTGGTCAAGTAGTATCTATCCTTAACTCTTCTTAAGCTTTGGCCTTCACATGGTCAATGAGTCTTCGTGAGGATATTATCATTCATCGTAGATTTGAAGATTCTGGAATTACTATTACACAGTTGATTCCAGGCTACCTCGTCTTGGATGACTGACTGTTTGGCTTAGAAAGAAGGAATTTATCTTCTCAGACAACATGACGTTGTCAAGTCTCCTATCCTAATTTTTTCTTTCTCAACTGATTCTGTTGAACAAGTGCAAAATCTATACATATATAAAACTCAATGTCTGTGAGGATGTTCGTTTAGTTGTTCGTTCGTTATAGAAACGCGCGCCACTGAACCGATCCGGCTGAAACTTCGCACACGTATATTTTCGACCCCGGCGGTGGTTTAGAGCTACTTTCCGCGGCGATTCGCCGGGCCAATCTATCGATTTATTGATTTGTTTACTCAAACCTAAGAAAATGAACGGCCATCATGGCAACCGATCATTTTTACATATAAGCGTGTGAGCAGGGGCGGTAAAGTCCATTTCAGTCTTAAAGTTGGTAAGGTGCGGCAATTAGTCTGAAAGCGCTTTATGCGCATGTTAGAAGAAATCTAGAGGCGTAAGTTTACAAGTTCTTTTGGCTTAACTAACTTAAAGTCTCGGGTAAGACCGGGGCCACCAGCTAGTTGGGCTATAATATTGAGTGACGAAATCATGTTGAATATGGTCAATTTTGGCATTCAAGACTAGCTTTACAAATAATGCTGCATCGAAGAGAAAAGAAACAAGTGAGCAAATTTCACATTCTCAAACTTTTCGAAAAACATTGAGGGTTAAGTAGTAGTAGTTAGTAGAAAGGCAATGTCGCGTACTGATCCTCATGTTCTCACAAACTTCCATACTTCCTTGTCTCTAACAAATTTATGACTATACATATGTGTGATTGATATCAAAGCGTTTTAAGTGGGATAACGATGTGAAGAATGTAAGTGTATACGTATACCTTATTGGGAAGAAAGCTTTCAACAGCCTATCACCAAAAACACCATACGTGTACCTATAAAATACCATATTATAGTCTCAAAGTTGGTACGTCTATAACTTAGACAAACAGCGAAGGGACACCTGCTATACATTGCAACATTTTCTCGGTTTCTCACCATCAATGCTAGCAGGAAGCCGAAGCTGGTCCCGGCACGCAGTGATGGCACGCGCGCGACCGCCCGCGCAGCCGGTTAAGTAGATTTAGATGGCGCCGTCTCAGTGACACTGTCGCTGAATCGTGCGGCTCGAGCCCGTGTGACGACATGCTTGGAGTATGCGCTGATCTGCGGACGTATTCTCTGGGCATTCCGCCTCAGACAACCTTAAATTTCTAGGCGTCGAAAATGCCCCAAGAATATGTCGCAGACGCGGTGCTTTCCAAGCGAGGCGGCCACGCGAGATCCGAGCCGCACGAACCGGTGACAGTGTCAGTGAGACTGTGATTATAGCAGCTATCCAGTAAATCATCAATCGTTTCTGTAAATTATCCTGTTGTCGATTTGACATTGGTACAGAAAGCTGGTGCACAACAAATGGAACAGAGTTATTCTTCTGTGTTAAAACTGTCATGGTCGGGCAGAGTTGTGTATGCAGCTGGTAATTGATAGTACATTTTGGTTAGAACAAGCAGTCAGGGGCGGACGCCATACCTCTAAATGTGGCGCAATTTGGCAGTCATTGGACTGAACGTGCTAGTAACTTTTTTCATTCCTCAAATGCTAGCAGCTTCTGTATCTAAATAAAGCGCGCCTTCTTTTGGCAAATAGTTGAGGTTTCAGACTTTTACAAGAATAGAAAGCTTTAAAAAGAAAGCATAACTAAGGTCACGCTTGAAACCCCGCGACAAGAGAATCGGCGCCATCTCGAAACTACCGGCGCCTTTTCCCTCCTCGCAGGCACTTTTGTGCATGCGACCCTGTTTCAAATTTATGCCAAGATTACAGCGTTTCAATCGAGCAGGGGGTGGTGAGACTCAGACGCATCACCTATTGGGGTTTTTACTAACCAAATGAAGTCTCACTACGAAAGGTGAATCGTATCCAAAGCGAGTGAATCGCTTAAAGGAAGCGTCCGTCAAAAAATTCGTCTTTCATATTTTTATTGTCATAGACCCTTTCCATGACGCTGATTTCGGATGTGAGGTTTGGATTACCAGAAAGCTCCAAAATTGCCCCTTTCTGAAGCCCTCTTTTGGCAGACGTGGACGAGTGCCCCGGCGCTAGTCACGTCATATGCAACAGGAAACTTCGTCGTGTGTAACACTGCTACATTAGAGACTGGGCATCTTGCTTGCTTGCCATGTCAGAACACGTCTTGCAGTCCGTGGATGGGTGGAGCGCTATAAAGTAGGCGGAGCGGAAAGAGATTCCAGGTCCGTTATCCCCTTCTGTAGGCAACATTAGGGGGCGGACCAACGCGGTTGGTCTACTTTTAGGGTCTGCTTTTAGGATAAGTGAATAGATTTTGGGTGGTCGCTGCTTTTAAAGGCAGCAGCTCGCAAAACTGAACATTCCGAAATTTTGACATGGAAGGTCGTTTGCACCCCAAGCATGAGAACCAGGTCCGAACGCACAGCATGCTGCCCTTGCCTGCCTAGAAAACTGCTCCTAAACCCTTTACGCGCAAGATACGCGCGGACGAGCTTGATAACTGCGAAGGTCCCGCAACGATTCTGCCTCTCTAACCATGGCGGACGTGGTCCACTCGTCTAAATTCAATATGGGAGGCCTTCGGAAAGGGTTTTGCCATTTTCGCGCTTCTCGAGGTAGATTTTCGGAATCAGGCCTCGAATTACCCCAAGTAGCAAGAAAACTTCAACTCTGGAATCTGCCGAGCCGCTGCTTTTAAAGGCCGCCCCACCAGATTGAGGGGTATCTGGCTCTGGTATCAGTGTAATAGTAGACCCCCTAACTAAGCGACGACGGAATGCAGCGCGAAAGGGGGTCTACGAAGTCTACAAATCCCCCCCCCCAAGTGGCCCGAATCTTACAGTAGGCGAACACCGCCTACCGATCAATTTCGAACTGCAAGCCCAGAGCACGCATAGCGCACACAGTCATGAGTGCAGGGTCCCAGAACGACTCTGCGTCTCTATCTTGCATGCATCTCGTACTTGCCCGAGCTTACCATTCGGGCCACTTGGGGGCGATTTGTAGACTTCGTAGAACCCTTTCGCGCTGCAAACTTCTGTCGTCGCTAGTTAGTGGGTCTACTATTACATTAATACCAGAGTAAAGTACCCCCCCAATCTGGTGGGATGCTGCCTTTAAGAAGGTAGAAGTGCCACTGGTGACTCCGCCCACTAGCGTGGTTGATCGGAACGTAGTGATTCCGAAAGCATGATTCACTGTTGCTAGAGACTTCGAGAATCTGACTTCAAGATGCGGACCCGACAATTTTAGATATAGTGAGTTTAGGCGGTTTAAGCGGAAATTGGACTGGCGGGAATCCGCTTCGCAATGATTCGCGCCGCTTTGCAGTCTGCGTCTCTTCATTCTAATCCTCGCTAAACGCTGGCGGTGCGGACGCGCTGCTCCACTTGAAATGTTTCGCCTACTGATGGTTGAAAAAGAATTCAGATTGAAGCCCTCTTAAACTTACGATTTTCAGACCCCCCACGTAGGTGGGCGGGGTCAGCAGCCCCGCTTCTACCTTCCGGAGCTGCTTTTCGCTCCGAAAATTTATCCTTTGCTGAGGATTTAGATGATCACTTAATTAGGTTGCCCGCTATCACTGGAATCTCTCTACTTTTAAATTGCGTGGACCCCCTTTCATACTGTGGCAATACTTGCATAGCAGTGGCGGTCCCAGGATTTCCGTCGGAGGGGGGGGGGGGGGGAGACAAAAAATGTTCTCAAATGAAGGTGAGCGGTGTAAGCCACGCACTCCGAAAAAATTTCTGGGTGCTTTTCAAAATTCTTGGGGCCCATATCCTCTAAAATCTAGAAAAAGGAGCGTGGCGGCACCACGCCTCCAAAGAGAATTTTCTATAATAATGCTAATTTGAATTTTTTTCAAAAATAAAAATTATTTCATTTATTTACAAGAGTGAACAAGTCACTTGCACATTTTTAAAAAACCTTGCTAGTAAATTCCAACCTCCACCCGTCTCCCCCCCCTCGCTACGCATTGCGAGGCTGTAGGGCGCTTGGCGACACTCGATTTTTTGGACCTAAAAACTCTCCGTGCAAATATTCGGCGGCAGAAACAGGAGGGGGGGGGGGGGCGAGGACGGTCGGGGCCGATACATAACTTGATGCCATTGAAAAAATGGCCCATGATTGTGAGTTACGGGTTCTACGTTGCTTGCGTTTTGCATGTTTTGTTGCCTAACGCTTGCTCTCCACGAAGGAGCGGTGTACTCAAGGGGACCAGACCGTTTCTTAATGGCCGACCATTTACCGACCGGTTGTCTTTTTATCTTCGGAAAATTTTCTACGAATGGATACCGTTGCTGAGTGTGTGTACGCATGACGATCCCACTGTTCTATGAAACTTGTCTAGTGCTTGCTGGAAAAATCCAAAACAGGGTTTTGCTTCCCAAAGAATGAGACTTTTTTGCTGAGTACATTAGTGTGTCATCATTTTTTAAATTTTTCTTGGAACTCAACAAAATCTTCAAGGAATCACGTCATGCAGACCGAATCGATGATCCCTACGCAAGCGTAGCGTGGAGTACACGTGGTCAGCGCATAAAATCCTGTTTTATCTGCTCGCGCAGGCGGTTCTGTGATGCGATGGGCGACACATCGACAGCTTCTCATGGACTCGAACGTCTTTGATTTTCACGATCCTCAGTCTGTTCTGACATACATTTTTTCTTGATCAAAGCTTTTCACATAATTTTTTACGCGCTTAGATTGACTAGGTTTCCCTTCAGAAACTAGTCATCTTTACGGCTCTAAGATGATGACTGAGTAAGAGTCAATAGAAACTGGTCTTCTCCAAAAGATCACCTTGAAGTTTCCTGCGCGAAAGACGGGAGCCATGACCCCGAACGCAATTGCGATGCAGTGTTGGATTTTACCGATAATTGATCGACATCATTTCAGTCCCCACTCGTGTTTTTTCTCTCATGTTCGTTTTTTATGTCGTAGTCAGTTAGTATCCCTGTCTTCAAATGTGATCACTCTTTTTGTCATTTTTCGTATTGTCATCATGCTTACTGCTTGCTGAAGAAGAGTTCCACGTGTCCGTTGCAAACTAGCTTGGGTAGTTGAGTTCATTCTTCGTTGCGCACTTCGGCCATTTCATCACCGTTTGGGGCATGCGTAAGTTTGACGGAGAGGAGGGGGGGGGGGGGGTAAAGGTAATGCAATCTATCTGAATTTGTTTACATGTCTATCAACCATTAGAAAGGAAATGCTTTGCACGGAGCCGATGCTTTGACTATGCTTATCCTGCGGCCCAATCAGATCCTATCCGGTCCGTTCAATTGACGCGCAAACCAGGAACTGCAAAATAGCTCTATGCAAGGTTTATAGCATATTGCTAAAGAATCATGGAAATGCAGAGTCGTGTTACATTATAACTTAGCTATTTTCGTCCCCACTACGACAGTCGTTTTGTGTGATAGCAGACTAATGCTTAGGCACGCGCCATACTTGATCCACTGGATCCGCTTCACCCACTTCATCCACTTCGCTGTTGGTCAGTTCACTATTTGACCATTAGCGAAGTGGATCAAGCGGATCAAGTATGGCGCGTGCCTTAGCAGCAGAGTAGTCTGGTGGAGAAAAAAGACCTGAAAAAATAATACAAAAAACTCAGGGTAATAATGATTTTTTTCGGAACTGCTTGCTAGTGCAAATTCAAAAGAAATAGTGCAATTACACGAAGGGAATGTCAAAAATGAGGTCTAGTCTATTGCAGCCATATCCTCTGATGCAAGCTATTCAGCAACAGTGGAGCAGCTGACGAAAGAGCTTGAAAGTATAGTACCTTTACACGTTCCCGAAATAATCCTCAAGCAAAGTTCAAATTTCTTTCGTTGACCGTTTCACTTCTCTGTCTCTATTTTTTCTACGTTAGGTGGTCATTGGGATTTATGCGAAAGATAATGAAGACGTTTTTAGATTGACGTTCCGAAAGCAGGGTAACATCAGTCTTTCAGTTCATTTTGTCATCTGCTTACAATATATTTTGGCAAACTAGTTTATCGTTTGTGTTGCACCAAAAGTTCACGTTCATATTTCTGACGGAGGGATTAGGCAAATCATTGTTGCACGATCCAGATAAAAATACTGTGCATTGTTTGACAATCGCTGTGCGCGAGCATGGAACGGGAAATTCACTCTTTTTTAATCCACGTTTCCAAAAACATCGAACTTCATCTCAGTTACATCGGATAAATCTTGTGTTTTTATGATTTTGCAGCAAAACTTCCCTCTTTAGTCATGAAGCCGCCAGCAGCAATAAAATTCAACTTCTCCATACTTCTTTTCACCTTTTATGCTATCCATAATTTGCGTATCATCACTTCCCAGGACAAAGCTGTTAGAGATTTTTCTCATTTCAGATAGATGTCTTTACTCTAGTGCGTGATTACAAAGAGAACGATGTCGAACATTCAGCTATTAGCTACGATGTACTGCATTTTCCTTTCCTTCATTGCCGTGTTTGCCACGCTGGAGCATCAGGTGTGTATAAAAGTTTTGTATCAAGATGATTTTTTCTTTTCCTTTATAGTTTCCTTCTCATGTTGAGTGATTATCTTCCATTCAAAGTTTGTTTTTCACTTTTTCGTCGACCGATCGCTGTAAGACTTTAATTTGCGGTTGCACTCAATTCTGAATTTTTTTCTTTGCCGACAGAAAACCAAGTTTGGCTGCATTTGGCAAAGTGCACCTGGATCTCTCCCTTAAAGGCAGCGTCCAGGCAAGTCTGGACCTATGGGGATTTTACGTGGAAAGTACTTTTGGGGCCCTAACTAAGCCACTGCCCAACCGGCAGCTCAAGTAGTGCCCGAACGGCTGAGATACTCGCCTCGAAACTGGACCCCGCAATCGTATCGCATGGATTCATGGCAGTTTCGCGCCACGATCCACACTTTGCGCCTGAATCCATGCGAAATACGATCGCGGGGTCCAGTTTCGAGGGGGATATCTCAGCCGTTAGAGCACTACTTGAGCTGCCGATTGGGCAGCGGCTTAGTTAGAGCCCCAAAATCACTATCCACGCGAGATCCCCATGTGTCCAGACTTGCCTGGACGCTGCCTTCAAAGTTTTCATTTGACTATTGAAAAAGTGTTTTTTGCTACTTGTTTGAGCAGTTATTTTGAACTTTATTAATCTATCTAAAATCTGAACATGCGCGCCTGTTTATCTCTCATCCGTAGAACTATTCACTGAAGTACAGCTTAAAGGCAATGTCCGGGCAAAACTCGATTTTGAGATTTTGTGCTTACTCGGACCTATTCGCTATGCTGAACTTGAAAATCCACCTGGAAAGCGTGGAAACGGCAAAGGGCTTTAACACAGGAGGGAAATCAGCAGGTGGACGGGGCTTCCCTAATGTGAACTCACGCTCCCAGCTCTCGGAGGAATTTTCTTGGTTCCAGTTTTAAAGGCAATGTCTCACCAAAATTTAGTTGCCGAGTTTTTTGCATTTTGCAAGCCTGTCGGACCCTGTCTAGCACTGTATGGGCCTAAAATCGCACGAATTTCCAAAAATCCCGTTTTCTGGAGGCCCCCGGAAGCAACGTGGACGAGTTGTACCTTCCAACTTCAGCCAGCCACAGTGGCAGCAACACAGGGGAGGTGGATGCCAAGTGGAGGGACATGTTCAAACGCGTAAAGGGGGAGACCGAAGGAGTTGTCCGCGCTTACCAAGTCGCTATCCGCGTACCACTTTGAGCGAATTATTCTCAGCGTGGAGGGGGTCAAATTGAGTGGGACTTGTTGCAGTGGCCTATTTAGAGGTCCCCATAATAGAATATGTGAAAATCCGCGCGACGTCAACTTTGGTGAGACACTGCCTTTAAGTCGATCGTTCGCACTCGGCCGGTGGCGTTGTCAGGGCCGCTAGGAATTGAGAAGATCGCTCTAGAAGCTAGGAGCGTGAATTCACAGTGGAGAAGACTCCGCCCACTTGCTGCTTCCCTCCTGCTTTAGAGGCCTTTTTCGCCGTTTTCGCGCTTCTCGGTGGGAGTTTCGGATTCAGCATAGCGAATAGGCCCGGGTAAGCACAAATCTCAAAATCGAGTTTTTGCCCGGACACTGCATTTAAAAGAATGCTTGTATCCGAGTTGATTTATCTCAGACTTCATCTGCAAGAGGATTTTAATTCTTAGTCTAGACCTTAGAATGTTGCTTTATCGTTCTTACCTTTGTTACAATAAGCATCAGTCTTCGTCATCGTTTCATTGGTTAAATGAGATACTTTTAGTGGGTGACATGGGAGTCTGGTATTGGAGAACTGCAGCCTTCGCTAGATGAGCTCCCAGTATTGCATACTGCTTTTGTGCAAACTGGCGAGGAGCTTCATTACTTCAGTGAATCCGGACGGTTTGAAACAGAAATGTTAGTAGGACACAGAGTACAGTCCGACGCAGCTAGCACAGGAACGAAGGCGAAGTTTGTGCAATATTTTTGTTGGTTGAAATGCATTGCATTTCTTTATCAGCCATACTTAACTATTCCAGGGAGAAGAAGTACAATGTGAGGCGTATGGCGGGAGACGACTCGCTCCCAGTAGAGTTCGATCCTCCTTTTGTTGATTTCGGTGAAAGGTATGACTTCGACTACTTCAAGTCGTTGACTTTTGTTTTGATTTTGCCTTGCTTCTTGATCTTTCTTGGTTTCCTTCCAGCGCCGTGGGACAAACTTCCAAGCGACGAATATTCGTTAGAAATCGACTTCATAAAGCTGTTGTGCTGGATTCCATCATCGGCGCTACTGTCAATTTCCACACTTCCTTTTTCAACACCGTTGTAAGTTTTGATAAATCTCGGGCGTTTAGTACTAGTTTTTATTCCACTTATATATACTACTTTTAGGAAATTTCTCCACTGGGAACAGCATTTTTCGAAGTTGCGTTTCTCCCGCGGGATGAAGGAAAAGCCAGTGTTGCCATAAACATCCATACCTCTGTTGGTATCTTTGTTTATCATGTAAGTTGCAATTTGTGCCATTGTTACATGACAGCTAGAAACCATGTTTTTTGAAATAAGAATCCATAAATCGACTTCATTGCTGATGTTCTTACTGGCATCAAGCCGGTGAGGGATCACTGATCCTCCAGGTACTCATAGAAACTCTGATTCTGTTAGTTTGCGGGAGTTTGATTTAAGAGTGTTCGAGGCAACTTTGGTCACATCACCTCTAACTTTATAGGTTTCTGGAAGAGCTACGTCAAATCCCTACCGCTTAACTCCATTTGTTGGCACTCGGTTGCCTTTCAATGGTACCGCATACAAAGATATTGTCATACACAATCCATTCAGCAGCACATTGAGAATCAAAGAAGTAAGTAAATCTAACATTTTCGACTGCATTACTGCTGTGCATGTTTATCCTGAGATTTTTGTTATGCCTCCATTCTCTAGGTAGTTTCGTCCGGAGGTAACATTCATGTAGAGATGGCATACGATATAGATGGAAAGATTGCTGCTGAACCTCCGCAATACTGGGTAAAAACACGGCGTTCTTAGATGACTGCAAAGCATTGAGTTGTCATTTTTTTAGGATATACGGCCATTTCAAACGAGGACTGTCTGTCGCGCCGTAATTTTTGGGCATATCATGGAAAATAGTACAAATTTTGTGCGAGTTGCAGGCACTCTTCGTGATGAGAATGGGTGAGTTTTCGAGTCTCCTAATTACTGCTATGCTTCACCTTTTCACTTATAAAAACGCTGTTAAATATTTTTTCCTTTTAGGAATGATGGAGCGCAACATTCTATCGTGTTACCTTTTCCGTTGGAAATAAGTAGAAGGCGTGGGGTTTTCACCACAAAAGACATATTAGACTTTGGCCTTTTGAGGTAAATGTTACTTTCATCACACTGGTTGTATATTTCTGTACTCGTATCTCGATTAACTTCCATTAGTTAGACTTTCAGGCAAGGGGAGAGGTCTCAACCTCAAATGTTCTCTGTGTATCAGTATATGCTGAACGGGAAGCTTGAGTTTGAGGTAGGTGTTTAACAATATTGTTCTCTTACGAAGTGGCGTGTTGTAGACATTGTATGTGGATAGAGGTGATCCCACAGGAATATACATGGAGTTTGCTTCAACTCCTCCCATTGCTGTAATGCCAGGGAAAAATGGGCAACCAGGCAGGTTTTTAGCTTCCTTGCGTGAGCTTCCCGTTCTTATGAAACGACGCAAATATTGACTAGAATGTTTAGGTAAACCATCAGACTTAGTGAAGGTGTTTTTTGACGCTTCACGGATTACGTTTGAGACGCAGCGGCCAAGTGCTCGTCTTTTTCACGGCAGAATAATCGCTTTGAGTCGAGGAGGGAACTATAACGTTACCATCCCTTTCCGAGTAACTGTTTACCAAGGGTCTGTCTTTATCTTACAATATCAGTCTATCCATATCCGATGTTTTTTTAGAGATATGCATTCCGTTGGAAACGATCTAGCACTCCAAGATGACTTGAGGGCCCCGCATAAACGTAGTGTTCGTCTCAGAAACGGACTACCATTCCCCGTAGCTGTGTGGAACATTTCAATGTCATCCGATGCAAGACAGTACTTCACGGTACGTGTTAGTTGCATACTTCAAGCACTGCTTCCGTTGAACTGTGTCCAGTCCGATACTGTTTCAGGTGCGTCTTTTTGAGAAAACAACAGTGATTGGGATAGATGAGGAGCAACCAGTGTTCTTGCTGAAGTATAACAAGCGAGTTCCCGACACATTTGGCCAGGCTGTTGTTTACGTACACACCAATATATCAACTTATCGAGTCAACCTTTGGAGGTATTCTGGAAAAGTCCAGGTCCGTTATGCCATTACATGGAAATCTTTAGATGTTTTTCTGCTCCCTGGCTTTTTTCGCTCATGTACATTTGTTTAGGTTGAGCTGTTTTCCGTTGATCAAGAGTCGTTTGATTTTGGTCTATTGGAACGGAACGACACGAGAACGATCAGAGTATGTAGTAGTTTTATGAAAACTCAAACCAGTTGTTTATTCATGTTTAGTTTGTGATTCGCAATAAAAACCATGCGCTGATGACAGTCAGGGGGTTGGCAGTTCCGCTACCATCTGTACATAGGCTTTACCTTGTTTCTATGCTTGAGAAGAATGCAGCGGGGACTTGGATACCAAATGAGAGTCGCGAAGAATGGCCACAGGTCGGTGGAAAAGTGGATCTTATCTTTATCCTAAGCTTAGCTGGGTAGTTCTATAATAATTTGAGTGTCCACGGTGGAGTGCAGACCAGTGTAGACATGATCGCATAGGTTGTGCAGATCTACAACTTCGTTTTGGATTGAATTCAAGCGGTGTATACTTTCAGGGTGCTGATTTGGAGATTCCTCCACATAGCGCTGCATTTTTGGATTTTGAGCTGAGATTGCCGCTAGATGGCGTATTTCATCCTTCGCAGATGGTCATAGCAACCGAATTCGAAAGCAAAGTGTTTCCGGTGAAATACGAGGTAATTTGAATAGATCGTGCTCTTTGAGATGGTCTTACTTTGAGCTTGGTTTAGATCGCGCAGGGAAGTCTGACATCAATTCCTGACCGTATCTGTTTTGGGAAAACTCATCCTGGTAAAGTAGTATTTATGAATCTGCAGGTGGGTAAGAACAGAAAGTCAAAGTCAATAGTTCGATACACTCTTCAAAATAGTTTTTCAATCGTTTATCTCAGATTTTTAATTCGTTTGCGGAAGATATGCTGGTCACTCGGCTGTCGACTACGTCAAGAGATCCTAGGTTTTTCTTTGAAGGTTTTGACCCAACTCACCCTCCCGTACTGAGATCTGGTCGGCTTACAAACTTAGGTAGAACTATCAAAATTTTCTGATTAGCCTTATGGGGTAGACGACAAGCATTCCAGGACGAGTGATGTTCCTTCCTGAGACACCGTGCTCGCATGACTATTGTTACCTTGGCCTTCCCCTGCACACGACTGGTAGGTCTTTTTGATAAATTCGCTTCAGTAACCTTTAATTTATCTCACTATATGTTTTAGATGGGCAATGGTTTGTTCACGGCTTGACATTGCCAGCCAACTTGGCAGAGGTTGACAGCTACCTGTATAAGAAACAGAGAGCTCGATTTGATAACCTCGTGAAGGCTGGCAAGCATCGCGTGAACACTACTGTGTTGGTCGACACTGACAAAGCAAAAAACATCCAGGTAAGCTTTCATGAACTGTTTTTTCCTTTTTTTCTTCCTCTTCAAATCATTTATTTCTCATAGTGCACCTCTGTTCAGTATTAGTTAGTGGTTTTTTTTTTCTTAAAGAAGTCGGATGTCTTGAGGCACTAGCGTCGGAGGCCGAACTGTGATAGTGACATCACCTTAACCTTGTTTATTAGATTGAGTCTACCGCTGAGATGATTTGGCCCCGTCTTCTGACTCGAAACTCCGTCCACTTTCCTTTGACTGCTTTGGGGAACTTCACGGTATGTCTGGTTGCTCAGCTAGGTCTTGGCGAATTACCCACGCGATTTGTTCACAGATTGTGAATCTCACGCTTGCCAATCCCACTTCTGTGCCAGTTGCTGTACAAGTCATCCCCTTGGTTATCTATCCGGATGCAGATGCTGTCGTCGAATTTTTCCGAGAGCATTTGATCACGCCCCTAACGTCAGAAGTAGAAATGAATGAGACACTGATGTTTTCCCTACGTGACACTGAGCTCTTCACGCTAAAGCCGGATAGTCCGGTGCCACGGTTACGTGAAGAACTCGAAGCTGCTATACCACAGACCGTCCCAAGGTAAGTTGTTTTTGGCTTTTGTAAATCAACATTTCGAAATGCTCTTGTTGGGTTGATGCGTTTTTACTTGCTTAGTACAATCTGTTCTACGACATGATGGCTTTTCCAGGTTTACATTGTCGCTGCTGTTGAAACCGCATATGAAAGTGAGGCTTCGACTCGGGTTTCTACCGTCTGATTACACTTTGCGATCTTCACTGCTACTGATAAGGTTACTTTTGGTATTTGTGTGCGCTGCTTCTATGCTTTTTCGCTTTAGAAACAATCTGACTGTGATTGAACCAGTTGTGGTTTACGGAAGAGGAGCTCGTATTGGAATGCGAGTGGAAAATATGGAAGCTCGTTCTAGACATCCGCTACTTTTTGAGATTCGCCATGACCATCTCAGCGATTGTAACAATCCGAAAAGTTCGTATGCATAGAAGTTTTTAGCAAATAGAAAAAAAAGATGTTTCTTTTCAGGATTGATGCACAAGCTCAGCTCTACACTAACAGTCCGTCGACCCTTTTTGGTGTTAAACTCCGGGGAAGTACCATTTACTGTTGTCAACATGAGTATCAATGGTGTGCCCTGTGAAAATCGAGGTTTCCGTATACTGAACTGCTATCCTTTCCGCTTGCAGCCGAATGAGACCTATTCCCTTGATGTTGCGTAAGTGTTCATGCCTTGTCATCGCAAAGGAATTGCTTCCTAATTAATTCCTGCTCTAGATATACGCCTGACTTCCTCACAACAACTAATGAAGCAGATCTGCAGTTGTACATGCATATGAACGGAAGCTCGTGGATGTTCCCATTAGCAGCCACTGTGCCCGAAGATATGATGTCTCGGTGTCATCGTGCTCTTCCAAGGCCACCTTTCGAAAATCTGATGTACTATAGTTGTGTGACGGCACTCATGTGAGTCTGAACCATACATTCCTTTCTTTTAAGAACTTAGTGTTTTGCAGCTTCTGTCTGGTGTGTGTACTGGCTTGCGCATATCTTGAAGGTGACAGAGCTATTGCATGTGCTATAAGACAGCATCATACAGCACCCAGATCTGTGTTTGATTTGAACAACCTGGACGTGAAGAAGGGTGCGTCGGATGGCATCGGTCGTGCAAACAGCGGAAAATCGTCAGGTAAACGAACTTTAGTCTTACTCCGCTTTTGATCACCCACATTCTAGCGCCATGGACTGAAACATCTCCATCAGGGTTGCATGCGGCAGCCGATGCTTCAGTAATCTTGAGGGTCTTCTACCAGGCAGCTAATTCTGTTCTGAAGGCTGTTCATTTTGTGTGGCGAATCTCACTGTTATACAGAAATGATAAGCAAGAGCATCCTAAGAAGGAAAACAAGGTAAGTTCAATTTTTTACTTATTGTAACTGCACATTCCAAAAACTTCTCTAGAAAAAGAAGAAAGCGCAAGTATCTGTAATTCATTCCAAAGCCAAGGACGCGAAAGAAAAGGAAGTGATGAAGGAATCCCCTGTTCAATCAACTAGCAAATGTTAGTCTTGTTGTTGCTGTTAATTTTGTTATGCTTCTTGCAATCATATCCGCTTTCGCAAAGGGCTGGGAAAAATTCAATAATATGTAGTGATTTTCTGCGAATCTGCTGAAGCATAGCTTCTTTTGGATCTCAATCGAAAGCGCTCGGAGTTTTTTTTTCCAATGGTTTGGCCAAGTTCTTTTTACACTTTTGGATTTCATCAAACTTAATATGCTCCATAGTATTTCATCGGGCACCTTTAGCGCTATAGCCCTCTCACATAAAGGGCTTGTGCATCGTTACCTCTTTTAAGTCTTTCTAGCAAGGGAAGGATACCAACATAAGTTGAAGATCGGAGACGATATTGATAGACGCGTCTTCACGTTGTCAAGTCGCCTTCCTTTTTTGCGGAACAACTCTCCCAAAGAGTTTGTAATTTGAATGTTCAAATTTACCAAGTCTTAAGTGGCATAAAATCGGCGAAAAGCTGAATTTGAAAATGCAGGTTTGGAGATTTATCTGCAAAGTTTCATTGAATTCTTGAAGAGGGGTTAAGTCTCACCATCGCATATCTATTAACTTCAGCAAACAAGCCCAAATCTGTGCAACAACAGCAACAGCAAATGTCTGCCAGTGGTAAGAAAGTACAGCCGGTGGCGCCAATGCATAAGCTAAGGTCAGCATTTTCATCCACAGAATTGTTGGTTGGAATTATCGTCTGCATTTGCACATACAGAGGCTTTCAGTCTGAGTGTCACGGTTGACGTGGTTCAGATCCTCGCGAGCCGCCTCGCTTAGTCTTTCACGTGGTACAATACCGCATCCGCTAAGGCCTTCGCGTATCGGGTGCGTATCATTGTACTACGTGAGATCTAAGCGAGGCGGCCTTCGAAGACTTAACCACGTGGACCCTGACAGTCAGATTGAAAGCCCCCTGCACCAGTATATTATCTCAGTGCCAAGTCGTCCATGTCACCAAAAGCTCCCACGAATCAACGAAAGAAGAGCAACGCATCAGTTGAAGCAGAAAGACGACTCGCGAGAGCGCAACAGATTATGGACGGAAACCTGGAACGTCCTGCTCCGGCGGATTCGAGCGTGGTTGACGGGTTCATGGAATCAAACACTTCAACAAATCAACAAGAAAGTAATGTTCTGCAATCTATGCCTGCGAAACGTGAGGACAGATCTGCTGCCTATACCGATAAGGCATCTGCTGGTGGGATTTTTTGACTCTTTCGCGTCTTTCTCTTCACCACTTATTTCCAGAGCCACCTCGTCAAAGACCACAGCCTGTTGCCGTCGCTCCTGTCCAGCTGAAGAGGTCTGAAAGTCAATCTCCACCTTCGTCAGGGGTGTCCACTCCTCCTTCACCCAAAACCCCTACACCAGGAACCGCCATGAATTCTCAAAGTCTCCCTATACCTGCCAATGTTGCTGTGCCTCAACCTACATCACGTCCTTCGGTGATACCAGTATCAGCAGTACACCCTACAGTTTACACGGGAGCACTAGCTGGCGCCGAGCCCATTCCCATTCCGGTAATGCTTCCAGTGATACCGACGCTAATACCCGGCTTGACCCTGCCAATTGGTGGAGTTGACATGACTGGCGTCTCGCTGGGAGCGTTGGCAGAGTACTACGGCCAGTTCACAGGCTATGACGATTCGAACTTGCCTCCCACTCCAACACCGTCACTCGCCTCCAGCGTTGGCAATGAGCGCGCGGTGAGATTCTAATTTTTTGTAAAGTTTTACATGGAATCAGAAATACGACTTCCAGCCGAACTTGCTGGATATGAATGCAAGTCCAATGAATCGATCTAGACAACACAGTGACAGTGAACAAAGTGTTGCCAGTGAACTGAGTGCAGCGCCAGACTGGCTTGATGAAGTCGTTGGTCCAGGTTCGATTGCTTTTTTTTGCAGTTTTTCAGTTACTTTCTATTCAGTACGTTTATAGCGTATCAAATTTACTTCTTGCATTCTTTATCACACAATATGCTTTGAAAGTTTACGTTTCTCTCTTACCAATCCGCTGTAGACGAATTCATTGGGAGAGATATTTTCTTCCCATTCTTGCTGAGCCAACCAACCCCTTTACCCTCCAAGGCCGGTCACCGGAGTAATCAGGGAGGGTAAACGCACTGATTTGGTAATCGGCTGGCTCCCGCAAGTCACTGTAATAGGCTCGCACACATTCATATCTCTTCGACAATGAATAGGGTGCGTTCGGCGAATGCCCACAGAGGATATTAAAGAGACCGAATCCTTCATTTCTTCCTTCATTTCACTGAAATTAGTTACCTTGATGACAGCATGTTACATACTCGCTTCAAGTCATGTTCGGAAAGAACCGCACAACAGTAAGCTTATCAGATTAGAGTCTTAATACTTACAGATGATGTGGACGACGATTTCTCTGCTATGGCAGCCGCGAGCGAGTTCATGTTGAGTGGATCGGGAGAGGATGCAGGCAGTAGCCGAGCTGAAACACCTCAGCCGGCTACGCGCTTCGTTGCAAATCAGCAGGGACCACAGAAGAAGCGAGCGCGGCGTGAGAAGCGAAAACGTGGAGGAAGGGTTAGCGGAAATGAAAGCACTAGCAGCGTGGAAAAGGTTCTTTTTTGCATTGTTCTCAATTTTTCAGCCATGAAAATTCTGCTTCAGACAACTCGCAGTGGACCTGGAAAGGAACGTGTACCAAAGAGAACATTAGCAGCTGAGTTGAACGAAGAACGTCGACGCAGGGAGGATGAATATATGCGCACTAATACAGGTGAGTTACTGTCTTGAGGTGGTTTTACTCTCCAAACTTTACCTTTTTAGGAGGTTTGGGAGATTGGCCGATGCCTGATCTCAATCTTGGATCTCTTATCGAGGCTGATGAAAGGGCTCAAGTCTGTATGCTTGCACCATCTGCGTAATTGTGCTCATCGGTTTATTTAGGGATCAAGGCTTTGGCCTCCGACTCCCGTAGGATCAAGAGCATCGCTGGCTTCTCAGTGGAACGAGCACTTGCAAGGTTCCAATCCATCTGCATCAGCTAACGTGGAGAACGTGTCGTACGATCCGATGTCTCTCGGTTTATCGTTGGGAACCACTGTGGCTCCCGTGGATCACACTGCCCCATTCAGCATTTTCGCGGGCGCAGACTTCAGTCTGTGGTCGAGCGCAGCTACAGGCGAATCATACACTTCTTGGAGCAACGATTCCGAAAAGTCAGCATCCGAGAAGAAGTAGGTGCTTCCCCATGTCTTTCACCATCATGTGCTATACTGTCCAGTTCACCGCCCAATACCATTTTCGGTTACTAACGTAGTTCTTGAAGTGTTATCTTTACTCAAAGTTCCGATAATTTACCATGTTGCTAAATGTCATGAGTGCTTTGGCCCAGCCATGCATCAAATGACTTGAAGTTTACTACTCAAATGAGAACCATCAAGTAGCTGTCGACTGTGCTCGGCGAGTTGTCGAAAATGCTTTGAACAGCTGACAATTCTGCTCCATTGGCGCTCAATAAAGATCTGAAATCTACCAGGAATTCTCCCAAGATTTGCAGAAATCAGTTGTTTTTCACAGAATCAAGTGTGGATCTTCAGACAAAACGATGATTACGGTCTCATATCGGATGCTGCTTGGACTGCATCATCACAAACTCTGAGTCTAGTATGAGGTTAATGACAACCTTAGATTGATATTGAAAATTAGTCTAGTATGAGGTTAATGACAACCGTTAGATTAGTATTGAAAATTAAGTGGCTACACTTCTAGAGCTTTGTAAAGGGCTAAGGGGCCGGGTATACTCACCTCGATTTTATCGCCTCGCGACTACCAACATGGCAGATATTACGAGGGCATTGCATGCTGATCATCTTGCAATTTGATTGTGATAGTTAGTCGCGATTAGTCGTGTCGGGGAACTATTACAATCGAAATGCAAGATGACCGGCATGCAATGAACTCGTAACCGTTGTCTTGTTGGGAGAATCGCGACGCTGTGAAATCGTCATGAAATCGCTATGAAATTGCACCCAGCCCTTGAAGGCAGTGTCCAAGTAAATCTGGGCGCATAGGTTTTTCGCCTGTAAATTGATGAGGGAGTCCTAACTAAGGCACTGCCCAAGGGGCAGCGCAAATAGTTCATTCACGGCTGATAAATCCGACCCCGAATAACCCGCGCCTGCGCCGTGACCGTAATTCGAGAACGACCTCGCTCACTTTATCATTACGTTCGCGCTGGGACCCATGCTAAGTACGGTCACGGCGCAGGCGCGGGGTTTTCGAGGACGGATTTCTCAGCCGTGACTGAACAAGTTGCGCTGCCCATTGCGCAGTGCCTGTTAGGACCCCCTCATCAATTTCCACGCGAAAGAGCCATGCGACCAAATTTGCCTGGACACTGTCTCTAAGAGGTAACACTTAACATGGAAGAATGTTCATTTGAGGTGGCTTTTTGAGATGAGATGCACATCTTTATGGAGAGCACGAAACCTGATTGCAAATCTGTTTTCATTAACTGCAGAGTACTCCTGAGCGAGATGATGGGAGAGCTTGTAGGTACAAAAAATGGAATGAGTACCCGTAATTTCACGAGTACAAGACGCACACATTTTTTCCAAACTGGACCAGCCTTGACACAGGAAAAAATTTTGCGACCAAGGAACCCTCTACCATGCCGTTTCTTACCTAAAAGAATTGTGAGGGAGAGCGATCATTTCGCGAGGCACAGTGGTCTGCTTGCTTGAAAATGAGGAAGGTGCGTTCTGTATACTTGAAATTAGGGTAGAGATCGAAATCGTTATTAAATCTTCTCTAACTCTAATGAGGCAGCGGTGAACGAGGCTACATCCAAACTAAGAGTATTTATTGCACTGAGTGCGCCAATCATCACTGCTGCTTTGGAGTTCTACAAAATATTATGAGCGATTCTATCTGGTGGCGCATTCAATTCTCTGTTCTATCAAACGCTCTATTTCTCGTTTAGAAACGCTCCGCAGATAAGGAGCAGATTTGGAGTCAGTTTTATGTCATCTAAGATGGTATGCAATTAATCTTATAAGGCCACTTCGACTAAATATCCTTCCTTTGTCAGGAGTTTTGCAAAGGAAATTCCCCATTATTTTCAAAACGAGTAATTTGCATCGGCTTAGAGAACGAAGGTTGATGGACATATTCATGATATATCGGTGGACATAGAGGAGTCATTTATGTGCAAGGCGAATCACAGATATGCTTATCACTGAAGGAAACAATGCGCAAGGTCGTATATGGAGACGGCTGATGTCCCTTCACAACCTTATTTTTGGTAAGCTTGCTGCAGTCATAGCAGGCTCAGAGTGGAGCCTCCAGTCTGAACCTGCTTCAATCTTCAGGAACTCCATGTCCGATGAGCATCTCAGCAAAAGAGCGTCCTCAAAAGTTGGGCTCGATTTATTGAAGCGCATCAGCAACGTTTGCAGTGCTTTCATTGGTATTTTTCTCTTTTGTAACAAGTGGAGAATACTCGATGACCAGGGTCAAGCAAGGGGTGTGGCACACGAGCGCTGGTTACGACCCCCCCCCCCCCCCTGATTGCTGTCTTAAAGGCACCGTCCACCCAAAATGGGGGTTGGCGAGATTATGATGACATACTAGTGTGAGCCCCAATACTAGACAAACCTCCAAGCTTGCCGCAAGAGACTGCTTCTGGAGCGAGAAATCCGATCCGGAAGTAGCAAAGTAGGCGGGGCAACCAAGGTCGCCCCGCCCACTTGCATGCTTTATCTCGCCTGCGCTTGTTGCAGAGGGTTCTCGAAACAGGGATTTTTAGGGGTTTTGCAGATTTTCGACTCCATTTTCGGAATCAGGGCTTTCAGAAGGCCTGAAGGCGGCAAAAACATTGAATTCGAGATTTTGGGTAGACGGTGTCTTTAATAAGACCCCCGCCCCCCTGAAATATACACTTAAGATAGCATTACTTGAAGGCCCTGTCAATCATAATGGGCAACATATCCATAATTAGCATGTCAAATAACCCCCTGTAGACAAAGTGTGAGCGAATTCTGAAGATTCAAGATACTAGGCTACCTAAGTGAAATGGTTAAATTCCAACATGGTTAACTTTGTTTCAAAGGTGAATTAGCTATCCGTTTTTGCACTCAAGACAAAGAACTACTCCTTCTTTGTCCACCTCAGGAATCCCGCTTCAGAAGACCTCCAAATTGTGGAATTAGAAGCCAACCAAAATCTCGATTTTCCCATTTTTCGCTTTTGATCGCTGTGCTTTCACCAACTATTACTCAGAGCAAAGAAAACGAATCAGGCTCAAATCACTCATGTGAAAACTAGGAGATCTATGCTATCGATTCCTATAAATAATGTTCGCTAAAAGCGTTATTTTGATGTAGTGAATGGGGTGCGGCACACCCCCTTGAAAGCTATCACACATTCTCTGCACGAAAACGTCTCCCTGCACGGATACGGTAGGTTTACGGTAGGGGTCAAATTCACGAATCGGCAAATGTATCTTCTCCCTGTGCTTTGCTTAGGCAAAAGCCGCAGCAGGGTGTGCAGCGCGCGGCGGTGGTCGTGTGTGTAAAGCTTCACAATCGTCCGAATCGCCCTACACTCGTTTCAGGCAGAAGTAGGGCTTCCACCCGTCACCGTGTACCTACCGTAACTCGAGAAAATGACGCTATGGTACAAAAGCAAGGTGATATTTGGCATCAGCGGGCCGAGTAACACCCCTGTGTCAAGTTTCAGCGAATTCTGGAATTTTGACCCCTTACCGTATACCTACCGTAACCCGAGAAAATGACGCTATGGTACAAAACCAATGTGATATTTTGCATCAGCGGGCTGACTAACCCCTGTGGGCTAAGTTTCAGCAAAATCCATGCAGGAGAAATTTTGGGGCCCGGATACTGGAATAGCGCCAATTTTTATTCATAATCAGCCGTCAATTACCTCCCTATACCAACTACCAGCCCCCAGATCAGAAATTAATCAACACCTAATTTTTACTACAACTGCAATGTCCTTTACTCAAAATAAACTCGTCATTCGCGAAAAATCTCTGGAGGTAGTGAGGCAGTGCAATATAGCAAGAACAAGCATGAATGTCTACTAGCTGCTTACTTCTCGGCGGACCAAAACCATGAGCAAGCCAAAGGAAAAGAAACAGGCCGGTCAACATATTTCCTTCCAGTATGTGACCTCGGACCATGAGCTCGAATTCGTTAGCTGTTCGTTTGCTGACGGTGTCAGTGGCAGTGCGAACTATCTCATTGATTGATCGAAAAAGCAATAAATCAAAATCCATATCTGATTTTGCCCGGAAACTTTCGTTACAACCTTATAATAACATAATTTAAAAGGCGCTTTTTCGCCCCAGGCTACAGTAAAGCCTAGAACCATCGATACAAGAATGCGTTCGCGCATGCCTGCAGAGGGTATTGAAGACGTCAAATCCTTTATCTTTTATACTTTTAGAGAAAAATCATGCATATGTTCTTTGGTGAGGTAAGGACTGTATGTTGCCGACAGGCTTTATCCCGCGCGACAGCTACTTCAAACATGTAACGTCTGTAATTTGTGAACTGCGAGCTTTGTTCAGATGTCCGCGTGCGACCACCCCTTTTCGGCGACATAGTCCTCCAACCCCTTTGGTGCCACTCCAGTTGAGCTTCAGGTGGGCGGTGCCGTTCGTCTTGGAAAACAAGATCATTTATTGTTTCAATTTTCATTACGCCTATACATCTTGGATCTGGCTTGTTGCTGTTGAAGGCAACGTCCCGGCAAAAGATGGGTGCCGGATTTTTGTGGCGATGTTAAAGTAGACCTCCTACCTAAGCGATGACAGAAGTTTAGAGTGAAAAATGAGGTTTACTAAGCCTGAAATTTGCTCCGAAAGTGGCCCGAATCTTACGGTAAGCTCGGGCGAGTACGAGATGCATGCAAGGCAGATACGCAGAGTTGTTTCGGGACCATGCGCTCATGACTGTGTGCGCTATGCGAGCTGTAGCCTTGCAGTTTGAAATCGCTGCGAGGGGTGACATTCGGGCCTACCGTAAGATTCAGGCCACTTTTGGAGCGAATTTCAGGCTTGGTATCCGAATTTCAGTCATCGGTTAGGTGGGGTCTACTTCAACATCGCCACAAAAAACCGGGCACCCATCTTTTTGCCGGGACGCTGCCTTTAACTGGAACGTTGTGACCAAGCTATCCGTTCATCTGGGGTTACTCAGGTTTCCGCGCTGAGGGATCCTATTAGAGCAATCCAGTGGTCCCGATTCATTTAATCGCAGATTCGAGGATGTCCTGAAAATGCACAATTTATTTCAACCCGGTGTAGGCGAAGCATTTCATTTGGAGCGGCATCCCTGCTAGGCTTTGGGATGATATTGTCTGTGTAACTATCAGATGGAAGAATTGCTTATATCAAGACAGCTGCAAAAGTAGTAGGATTCTCAACAGGAAAGCAGTAGTTTGCATTTGCTTGCCTTCAACTGCGGAATCCCTGAAATTTGATTGACGTAATCTATGTCGTTCGACAATATACAGAAAAAGAGCATTGAAGACTAAGCTATTTGCTGCATGATAACTCTTCTGATAGGTGGATCCTACTTGTCTTAAAGGCACCGTCCACCCTAAGATGAGAGTCTGAGTTTTTGGCAGCATATGGTATTAGGGTCCCATATCGAGCAAATGCCCAAGTCGCAGCGCAATATGCCGCTTTGGAGGCGAGAATGTCTTCGGAACAAGGTCAAGCATGTGATGCGACCGTCGCAACGGGGGGTCGTAAAGGGGGCCTACGGTAAGGGGGGGGGGGGTCGTAAGAGGGGCTAGTTTGGATAAATACGATTGAAAGCAAATTGCAAATAGCAAGTAATTATTACATGTTCTTAACAATAAATTCATGGAATGCCGTGTACCAATGTATCAAATAAAAACGAGCGAACAATAATTTGAAAACATTTGCAAGCGTAAAAATTCGCTTCATTTGCTGCACTTTGCAAAGATTATGACTTAGTTCTTTTTTTATGGGAATCGCTATTTCTCCCGCAAAATATTATCTCAAACGGGGATCGAACCCTGCTGGCATGACTAAAATTCAAAAAAATAAACACTTTCAGAAGCTCAAATGCTACTAAAGGCATTATGTGTGTCAAGATGTTGGATGTACCGATTGGTGTAGACATCCTGCTTCCGAAGGCTCACTGAAGACTCGCACACTCGTCAAAAGCGCACATGTAGATCAACGATGACAATTAATAATTCGTAAATCTTTTTGTGATGCCACTTATGCGGCCCTTACAATTTATATGTACTTTAGATAAGCTCCGCTACTGCTGTGCGAAATCTGGTTTATTTTATAAACTGCGGATTTTCTTATGATTTTATGTATGGTAGCAAAAAATGAGAAATGGGTGGTCGTATCTGCGCCTGATCTAAATTTCTCCAGAGCTATTGAAGCTTGTTAGCTGCAAACTTGCTGTAATACGAGGCCATCCCTCTAGTTTTTATCATAAGAATTTCAGGCTGTTTTATAACTTCTCTGGTAAGTTACAAACTTTTGAGCTCAAAAATCCCAGTTTTTGCTTTTTAGGATCGTATCTAAATTTGCGAGAGCCTGATCTAATTTTTTCGAGCTCACTGCTCCTCAAGGGCTGAAACTTTCTCCATGAATAGTCCGGGCACTATGCTACAGAACCTGTTCTTTGCACCCTCTCAGTCTTTTCCTGGCCTTAGTTACGAATTTTTAAACTACCGTGCTCATGCATATTTTTGACGTCGTTCTGGACGGCGCTAAAGCGGTTTTTTTTTTCGCAGGAAAAACTGTGGAAGAGGTGAGAACTGAGCTTCTTAGTCGAAAACATCTTTTGTAGTTCAAGAATGCCATTTTGTTCTCCGTGTAAAAATTTGTGTCGCATACGGGAATCGAATTTGCTGGCCTAAAGTATGCTTGAAAATTCAAAAGTAAGCTTGCAGAATCTCAAACATTATTCAGGGTGTGTATATGTATGTGCTAGAGATGCTGGGCACACCCATTGGCCTAGAAATTCTGCTTCCGAAACCTCACTGAAGCTCTCACGCAGGTGTTTTTTGAGATTGACATTCGTTTATGCAGGTTACCGCGAGAAATGTGGGCAGGGGAGGTAAGGGGGATAGACGGGGGAGGGGGAGGGGGGAGGGGAACGGGGGGGGGGGTCGTACGGATGGGTACCTTCAAGGGGGGGGGGGGTCGTAAATGAGGGTCCAGGATCGCATCAACGCGCTTGACCCTGCTTCGGAATAAAAGATGCACGAGGATTCTTAGACGGCCACCCACCCCATCCATGCCCACCCGTCCGTGCGCGCCGATCCAATTACAGTTCCTTGAAGCCGGCCTGCGGGTTCTCCGGAACGGGGATTGTTGGGGTTTTCGCGGATTCCCGACTTCATGTTCGGAATCAGGGACATGAGAAGGCTCCGGAACAATCAAAATATGAAAGTCGACTGGGTGGAAGGTGCCTTTAAGTACCCACTGATGTAGGACATTCACTAAGCTATTCTACAGCTTTGGCGTCTAATAAACAGGGTGATAATCTCGTGCTTGTAGCTGGCACTTCCTCAGTAAATTTCCATTCTCCTTGGTAAGATCAATTATTCTTCATTTTCAAATCACATTCGCCCTCTTCCCTTCATTTTCTGTTGAGTGTTGCCGTCTTCGGTCGGTCGTATTCCAAAAACGATATAGCCAAGGTGAGCTCTGATTTGGGAAGATTCAATGAAGTGCAATGTTGCATATTTGAGAAACTGCCGATTTTCCCCATTTCCCTGAGGTGGTGGTTTAACGCTGAACGCTGCTCATCTAATTTTCTGCTTCGTTGTAAGGCAAAAATGATCTACCATTGTCAGGGCCCGGCACGAGGTGGGCAAACGGGGTTTTCCAAAACGAATTCCCCATTGATCCCAATAAATTACGAATACCCCCTTGAGCCCAAAAATGACGTTTTGTGCTTGTGCGACGAGATTACCGGCCACACTTCGCCTAAAAGCGCTCAAAAGCGCCCAAATTGCTCAAATTCCTCAAATTAATCCTCAGCTGGATCAAGATAGAAAACAGGAAGAAAAATAAGCAAGAAAATGATTAAGGAATGAGAAAATATCAAAGAAACGCAGTCATAGGAATGAGAGACGCCGCTCCCACGCGTATCGATTGACTGGAGCGCGCTTTCCATCTTAAAAAGCTAGGCTGTTGATGCGATTTTGGGCTCTAACAAGGTCAAGAGGAGGAGTTTCGGAACCAAAATTTCACCATGTAGTAAACTTTAGGTGTACAACAGATTTATGTAAAAATTTTGAAAAAATTATGTGAACTGAGAGTTTTGCCGACCTCAGGTGGGAATTAGGTCGGCAAATGCCGACCTAATTTGGAAATTAGTTAAGGAAACTTTTCATTCACATAAGTTTTTCATAATATTTCATACTTAGTTACTTAGTCCTACTGCGCATACACACACCGAATCCCGCGCGATTTCGTTACCTCTGCGTTGCAAACGAGCCATTTTTCCATTTCTTTGGTTTTTCAAAATTTTCAGAAAAAAGTTTGCCACAACCTTCAGTCACATAATTTTTCAATGAAACTCCTCAGTTAAGCCCTGCAAGTCCGTGTACATGTACTTACCAAGTTTCATGCCATATCGTTCATCTGCGCGTTCCAAACGAGCCGTTTGAATTCACATCTTCATTTACCAGTTTTGCGAAATTCTCGGAAAAAATGCTAATTACTCGTTCCGTTCACATAAGTTTTTCATGAATTTTCATACTATGTTTCCACTAGCCTCTCTCCGTTCGCATACAAAATTTGGTGCCATATCGTTACACATACATTGAGAACTAGTCATGCATGCTGTTACAAATAGCATCGCTTGGGCGACGTCGCGCGTGCGGCAATTAGCGACGGCGCGGCTTGACGCGCGCGAACTCCAGTGTTCGCCTGTTGAGGCACATAACATCATGACTTATAATAATGGGCTAAGGATGTTTACGTGACTTTGTGTGTGTGTTTGTGTGTCTGTTACGAAATTCGTGGAGCGTGTTCCAGCAAACGTCCTGGGCCCAAATTTTGCACAGCACATGCTACCAGCACAAAACTCCACCATGCAAAAGCATGAGCGGATTCGTTGAGTGGATCACTCAGAAATTGCGCGCCAAACGGGTCCACCTGGCTTCTGTACCGCAAAATACGCTCCGTATCACCTCTTTTTGCAGAGTCGTGGATGAGTTTGGTAAGCAAATGTGCAAGCGATGGAGTTTAGGCAGAAAAGTGGTCGAAAGTTTACTGCATAACGAAAACGGCGCCAAAACGAATTGGTTGTGTAAATGGTCAACTTGCCAAGGTTCTAGCTAAGCGTTTGAGAAAATTTCCGCACAGAGATATAGCTCACGGTTATCATTACCTTTATGGCGACTACCAAGTCATGACAAATCCAAAAACCTATTCAAATTTGCGTTTGTCTTCCTGCGAAAAGTTTCATCCACGCGAAATCACCGATCTCACGTGAAAATACTTTCTAAATGAGTGGTTGTTTACATTTTATTCGTGGTAGTCGGCATAGCGCGGTGAGTTCCAGTGCCACGATTTTACGAGAATGAGTAAGGCACATAGATAGTAGAGTCAGTGCGAACCTCTGCGAAGCAGAGGTGACGCACTGGTGTCAAGATAAGTAGCGAGCATGAACTACCAATTTTTTCCGGGGCTCCGCCCCGGACCCCGCAAAAACGATTTCCCCTTTGCTTTTTGGCCCCAAAACGATTTCCAGCTTGTCATTTGCCGACCTCGTGCCGGGCCCTGACCATTGTGCGAATGCTGTCGCCTTTTTTTTACAAAGTAAACTAGCTGCAGGTTCTGGCCCAGAAATTAGCCGAATGGCTCTGTACTGAAATTGCGCTTTGCATGCACGTTTCCTAGCAGAATAATCTTCAATGGCTCGTAACTTCGCCCACATAGGCGCTAAGCAGTTATAAAATACAGATTCGTCAGCGTTTTATGCTCATCTAATTGCTTGCAGCATATTTGGATTGGCCAGTTCGATTTTTGACCTTCCCTTTACATTAGCGGTACATCTTATATATAGAGCTGAATGTGTGTCTGTCTGTCTGTATGTACGTATGTGCGGAATAGAAATTTTTATTTCTGAACCGATTCGGACCAAACTTGGCACACATATACTTCGGGGCAGGGAGCGTGTCATAGGCTACTTTTCGTTCTCGATCGATATCGATTTTATCGAATTTTTGCAAAATTTGAGCTACAGGGCTGGGAGTTAGCACAGGGGGTAATCGAGCATGCTTATTACAACTATGCTTATTTACATTATTGACAGGCCCGGGCGGAGCCGGGTTTGCCAAGTATATATCTAACAAGGGAACGATCCCAACTTAAGGTGGCGAGTTGGAATAAATCGCATACCATTAGATGCGTCTTGATGAGCTGATTCCAAATCTACCTTCCATATCTGCGACAACATTATCTGGAAGAAGTTATGAAAGGTTAAAAATGTGAAGTAACGGGGGTTTTGATGCATAATTTGCTTTGAAATCCAACTTGGAAGTGCACGACTAGCATCATATTGAGTGTACTGATTTCACGGAATGCTCACATTCAAAAGAAACGCAAATAAATGTTTTTGAACAGCTAAAAAGCAACCAAAGTTCTTAGGTGAAAGCTATGAGCAATGAAAAGTCCAAATTTGGCAAATATACATAGCAATACCTCGAAAATTAGTTGTTCAAAAACACTTATTTGTGTTTCTTTAGAGTGTGAGCATTCCTTGAAATCAGTACACTCAATATCATGCTAGTCATACACTCCCAAGTTGGATTTTGAAGCGAATTATGCACTAAAAGCCCCATTACTTCACGTTTTTAACCTTTCATAACTTCTTCCAGATAACGTTGTCGCAGATATGGAAGGTAGTTTTACAATCAGCTCATCAAGACGCATCCAATGATATGCGGTTCATTCCAATTCGCCACCTTAAGTTGGGATCGTTCCCTTGTAAGAGCTTCCGAAAAATACTAGAAAGCAGCTAACTGCTAGAGATGAAGACGAAAGGCTAAAGGGTAATATGCTGCTTCCTCCTTTCTTTCTTGTCATCGTCCCCAACCATGGGGTATAGTTTTAATTTTTCGCTCTGGAGAAAATGTCGTCATCCAGCAAAGCTCTGAAAGACGATGCAGTTTCGAAGCAATAGCGAGCGATATTCGTTAGAAAAGAATAGCTTTAGATGGTACAGTTGGGTGGAGAAGGAGGAGAAATGAAAAGAATAGCGGCATCCCGTGGTTATGGGCAATTTTCAAACTCCAGTTCAACCAAAGTATAGGCCGTCCGCGCTGCGCACGGAGAGCAACGCTGTTGCGTACACTGAAGGCAGTTCACGACTGGAAGAAGCGCAGAGAAAAACAGGCTTCGAGAGTGCACGAGGAAAGAGGAGTAACACGCAATACACACCTTGCGCACTCTCCGCGCCTTGCGCGGACGGCCTATATCACCAACATTTATCGTTGTCTTATCCTCGTATTTCTGGCATTCATTAAGAGTTTGGATGGTAGTTCTGGGTGTTCTAAGGGATCGTGACCACGCTGATACCCGTCCAAATCCGCTCAGGTAGTCCAAACCCGCCCAAATCCGCTCAAGTACGCCCAAACCTGCCCAAATCCGCTCAAATACGCTCAAACCCGCCGGAACTGCCAAAGTGCAGCAGATATGCGTGTAAATTGGCATTTTAATGTATATTAAACTGCATGTAAAGCTGAATCCCCACATGTCGTTTCACTATTGCGAAATGCAGAACAGAGGTTTTGCCTCAGTAAATCGGAGTCGAGACAATCCCGCCTATCGCTTTGGGAAACGCATGTTTCCGCCGTTTTCGCGCTTTATAATGTGGATTTCGGATCTGCGGATAACCTTGATCAGTGAATTTGCTAAAAATCGACTTCTTGCCCGGACACTGCCATAAATGAATGGGTTTTTGGCCTGGCAAATATCTAAGTTTTAGAATAGCCTGTTTTAACGCTCTTCAAGTTGCGTTTCGAAATCAACACAACGATCAAGCCTAGGCTAGCGAAAATTCAGAAATCGAGTATATACCGCTGTCCTGCTATTGAAAAATTGAAATGACCATGTGAAACGTGACCGCTTATTGTTTCTTCTAATCTTAGAATCAGTGGGATATTTAAAATGACATGGAGCAAAAAATGTCACTCGTTAAGCAGGCTCACAAGTGAGTTTGAGTCTGCTCTAACAAGGGAACGATCCCAACTTAAGGTGGCGAATTGGATTAAACCGCATATCATTAGATGCGTCTTGATAAGCTGATTGCAAAACTACTTTCCATATCTGCGACAACGTTATCTGGAAGAAGTTATGAGAGCTTAAAAACGTGAAGTAACGGGGCTTTTAGTGCATAATTCGCTTCAAAATCCAACTTGGGAGTGTATGACTAGCATGATATTGAGTGTACTGATTTCAAGGAATGCTCACACTCTAAAGAAACACAAATAAGTGTTTTTGGATAGCTAATTTTCGAGGTATTGTTATGTATATTTGCCAAATTTGGACTTTTCATTGCTCATAGCTTTTACCAAAGAACTTTAGTTGCTTCTTAGCTGTTCAAAAACATTTCTTTGTGTTTCTTCTGAATGTGAGCATTCCCTGAGATCAGTGCACTCAATGTGATGCTAGTCGTGCGCTTCCAAGTCGGATTTTAAAGCAAATTATGCATCAAAACCCCCGTTACTTCATATTTTTAACCTTTCATAACTTCTTCCAGGTAACGTTGTCGCGGATATGGAAGGTAGATTTGGAATCAGCTCATCAGACGCATCTAATGATATGCGGTTCATTCCAATTCGCCACCTTAAGTTGGGATCGTTCCCTTGTAAGAACTTACACTGTACTTCTTCCAAAGTTTCTTTGGTTCAGTAAGTTGAACCTATACAACAGGCATAGACAACCAAACAACTGAAGTTCTGATATAATTGTATTTCCCCATATAAAATTGCTCGTATGCTTAAGATTTACAGAAACAAACTGTGAACTCACCTTGCAGTTAAAGTTGATGTACCTCAAATAAATCGAAAAAAAATTATCAAATCCCACGAAGCTGCCGATGTTTCGGGGAAGTAGGCTCAAACTGTATTTGAAATGTCAAAATGATTTGTACAGGGTGCTACATCATTGGTCAACCAATCGTGGTGGACATTGCTCCTTAGAGAAGAAATTGGCGACAGGTTGACTGAAACTATGGGTATGTGCTAGATCAAGTTTTATCATTTTTTTCTTGAGATATCTACTGTTGCTTACCAACTACAGGTAAAGTCTAGCTCCACCGGAGCATGTAGTTGAAATATTGCTGCAGCTTACTCGACAAAGTGAGAGATTGCAAATCTGTCAGGTTTCAGAGTGAGCAAGTGGAAATTGAACTGCATGTAATCACAACTTGGAAATAGGTGTGTTGCAGTAAACGCAAATTTGACATCCAAAGATTTAGCTGCGAAAGCTGTGCTGTGCACATATGCGCCGAAGTTTCCTCGCATTTTCATTTACGAGTTGTTCAGATCCCTTGTGATAGCCAAACGGTATGATTGGAGAGTGGGCGACTAAGGCGACATCGCCTGTGTTTTATATTTAATCATTTTTTTCGTATCTACTTGAATTGAGTTCTTAGGAAAAAGAAGTGAAGTTTACATCTCCGTTCAAAATTAGAAATATGAAATCATTCATACTCTATAACTAGCGACCCTACGGGTCGCTAGCAAGTGGGTCGGGGGCAGATACATATAGGGCTTAGGTTTGACTAAAAATATTTCTAAATAAATTTACTGTTGCTGAGAACATTTTTGCGAAGAGCATTCTACAAAAGGAAAACTGCTCTAAGAAGCAATAATCTTCACAAATCATTCATTTCTCGAAGTTCCTGATCCATGCATGATATTATTTTTATCTCGTTTACACGCTTTTTATGCAAATTCCCTCCTCACACAGACATTCAGATAACCCCCTCCCACTTTTCTACCCTCTCAAAAAGAATTTGCTCTTTCAGTTCTTCTCATCAAGTTCCATAAAAGATCGTTAAGTAAGTAGCAGAACATATCGTTTTGGAAGTAGAAGTACCCCATAGGAATTATGTGTATTACAAAAAACACTTTTCTCTCAGAATCAGTTCCGACAGCAACGAAAGCAGTCGTCTAAAAACTTTGTCAAAGAATCCTTCAATTTTTTCGCCAAAGAAATATGAAGCTTTACTACAAAAGGGAGCCACCCAAAAACCGTCAATCATAAGAACTGCATAAACGAGTAAAAAATTTCTTTCCCTGTCCGATCAAATTGCCCTACGTGCCGTTTACAAACCAATTATCTATCTGAAAGACAGTTCATGCCCTACGTGCCGCTTAAAAACCGTTAAAAAATTACAAGAACTGCCATAACATACAAAAATCTGTTTCCCTACCCGATCGGGTTGCCTTACGTGCCGCTTACAGACCGATAGTAACTATAAAGAAAGTTTATGCCTTACGTGCCGCTTGAAGACCGATAGTAACTATTTAAAAAGAAAGTTTAAGCCATACGTGCCGCTTGAAGACCGTTTAGGAATTATAAGAACTGCCCCAAACATACAAAAATCTGTTTCCCTGCCCGATCGGGTTGCCCTACGTGCCGCTTACAGACCGATAGTAACTATTTAAAAAGAAAGTTTATGCCTTACGTGCCGCTTGGAGACCGTTTAAGAATTACAAGGACTGCCCAAACATACAAAAATCTGTTTCTCTGCCCGATCGGGTTGCCCTACGTGCCGCTTACAGACCGAGAGTAACTATTCAAAAAGAGTTTATGCCCTGCGTGCCGCTTGAAGACCGTCAAAAAATTACAAGAATTGCCCCAAACGTACAAAAATCTGTTTCCCTGCCCGATCGGGTTGCCCTACGTGCCGCTTACAGACCGATAGTAACTATTCAGAAAGAAAGTTTATGCCTTACGTGCCGCTTTAAGACCGTTTAGGAATTACTAGCTGGCAAACCCGGCTCCGCCCGGCACTGTCATTATTATATTCGTAATCAGCATGTTCGATTACCCCCCTGTGCAAAATCCCAGCCCCCTAGCTCAAATTTTGCAAAAAATCGATAAAATCGATATCGATCGATAACAAAAAGTAGCCTATGACACGCTCCCTGCCCCGAAGTATATGTGTGCCAAGTTTGGTCCCGATCGGTTCAGAAATAAAAATTTCTATTCCGCACATACGTACAGACAGACAGACATACAGACATACAGACAGACATTCAGCTTTATATATAAGATAAGAACTGCCCCAAACATACAAAAATCTGTTTCTCTGCCCGATCGGGTTGCCCTACGTGCCGCTTACAGACCGAGAGTAACTATTCAAAAAGAGTTTATGCCCTGCGTGCCGCTTGAAGACCGTCAAAAAATTACAAGAATTGCCCCAAACGTACAAAAATCTGTTTCCCTGCCCGATCGGGTTGCCCTACGTGCCGCTTACAGACCGATAGTAACTATTCAGAAAGAAAGTTTATGCCTTACGTGCCGCTTTAAGACCGTTTAGGAATTACTAGCTGGCAAACCCGGCTCCGCCCGGCCCTGTCATTATTATATTCGTAATCAGCATGTTCGATTACCCCCCTGTGCAAAATCCCAGCCCCCTAGCTCAAATTTTGCAAAAAATCGATAAAATCGATATCGATCGATAACAAAAAGTAGCCTATGACACGCTCCCTGCCCCGAAGTATATGTGTGCCAAGTTTGGTCCCGATCGGTTCAGAAATAAAAATTTCTATTCCGCACATACGTACAGACAGACAGACATACAGACATACAGACAGACATTCAGCTTTATATATAAGATAAGAACTGCCCCAAACATACAAAAATCTGTTTCTCTGCCCGATCGGGTTGCCCTACGTGCCGCTTACAGACCGAGAGTAACTATTCAAAATGAAAGTTTATTCCCTACGTGACGCTTGAAGACCGTATAAGAATTATAAGGACTGCCCAAACATACAAAAATCAGTTTCCCTGCCCGATCGCGTTGCCCTACGTGCCGCTTACAGACCGAGAGTAACTATTCAAAAAGAGTTTATGCCCTACGTGCCGCTTGAAGACCGTCAAAAAATTACAAGAATTGCCCCAAACGTACAAAAATCTGTTTCCCTGCCCGATCGGGTTGCCCTACGTGCCGCTTACAGACCGAGAGTAACTATTCAAAATGAAAGTTTATGCCTTACCGTTTAGGAATTATAAGAAGACCGTTTAGGAATTATAAGAACTGCCCCAGACATACAAAAATCTGTTTCCCTGCCCGATCGGGTTGCCCTACGTGCCGCTTACAGACCGATAGTAACTATTCAGAAAGAAAGTTTATGCCTTACGTGCCGCTTGAAGAACGTTTAGGAATTATAAGAATTGCCCCAAACGTACAAAAATCTGTTTCCCTACCCGATCGGGTTGCCCTACGTGCCGCTTACAGACCGAGAGTAACTATTTAAAAAGAAAGTTTATGCCTTACGTGCCGCTTGAAGAACGTTTAGGAATTATAAGAGTTGCCCCAAACGTACAAAAATCTGTTTCCCTACCCGATCGGGTTGCCCTACGTGCCGCTTACAGACCGAGAGTAACTACTCAGACAATCGCAGGGGGCAGGCGGTCCGCAAACTCGCGTTTTTCTGCAGGCGCTCAGCAGAATTTTGGGGCGTGGCCAAACCTTCAGCGGGCGGCACTTCCTTTACTGTCTAATGTTCTGCCAGCGGGCAGGAACACAGAATTTTCTGCAGGCGCTCGGCAAATAATTTTTTTCAGCGAGCGCTGGTCAAATTTTCAGCTGGCGCTCGGACGGTTTTTAAGCAGCTTCGGGTGTACGCCGAGCAAAGGTGAGGCTCTACATGGCAGAGGAGTCATCGATGGTTCAATTACTCAAGTTTGAGGTACTTTCTCTCAGCGGAAAGTACCTGGGGGCTGCGCGGTTCTCCACAAAGGACCGTGCGGCTCCCGAAAATTTTGCATATTCTCGCGGAAAGTCCGCGAGAATGCGGCCACTGCGCCGCAACTAATCTGGAAGGAAACCGCAATTGTTCTTCAAGCATTCATCCAAAATTCCGCTAAAATTCTTCCAAATATCTGCAAGCGGACCGCAAGAAATCAGCGAACTATTTTTCCGGTGCCCGTTTGCCCAAAAATGGCATGGCCGCCTGCCCCCGGCGATTATCTGAGTATTCAAAAAGAAAGTGCCTTATGTGCCGCTTGAAGATCGTATATATAACAAGCCAATTTTACGACTCTAGAAGAAGAAAAGGAAATCAAGTATTTGCAGCGTATTCTCAAACTGCCGTGCATGCTACTCTTGGACTTTCAATTCTGAGAAATGCCCCAAAAGTACAAAAATCTGTTCCCTGTCCGATGGAATTGCCCTGCGTGCCGCTTACACACCGATACCCAGTTGAAAAATGCGGGACTCAGTTACATAAGCAAAAGCAAGGCTGTTGTTAAATAAACGCTTCCAAAAGTACCAGCGAGACTAAGTTATTCACGCACTGTCTTGTGTACACGCGGAAGCAAGGTAATCCTAAAGTGACTGTTGTTAGAGCATTTTTACGAAAACTTGAGAATATAGATGAATTTAGCTCAAGTCACGCTTTCACGCAATTTGGCATCATTTCAAAAGCAACTAATAGGAGTAGAACATATTTGAAAGACACATTCTGGGATAACAAGTTCAATTTTGAAAAGCTGGTACAAATAACACACCCGGACACTGGCGTCACAGTCTCAAAATTATTGCGACACTCATGATTGCCTTTCGAAACCCGTGTGACCCTTTTACGAAAATATGTTTGGTCACTCTTTTGAAATTTGGCAGCGTTCCAAAACGCATGCCACTTGGCAGCAATCCAATTCCAAAGATCAGTGTATTTCATCATAATTTTTACGTCTGCGGCCTCCTCGTTTGCCATGATCCAACTATCGGGCGGCTTAATGGGTAAACAACGAATTCGTTATATATTACGTAGTGATAAGACCCGAGGCCAACCCGACGTCAACAACCGGCGATGAATGTTTGTGAAGATCTCTGTCTCAAATTTTGCACTTTCGCATGTTTCCACACAGTTTACCCTAACAACCCTATCCATGCAGTTGGTGCAGAATATGACGTCACCGATATAATGTTTTGCTAGCTTTCTCGATAATGTTTATCATGACATCGCGCTACTGAACACCACAAGCAACTCCTCAGACAGTT